TCTCATGTTGTTGAAATGTCTCAAAGCGCTTCACAGAAGTCCTTGGCATAATGTGGAGTCCTGTAGCGTAGTGGTTAGCGTGCTCGCCTCGCAAGCGAGAGGACCCAGGTTCGATTCCCGGATGGGGCAAAATGTTGCAAGTTGCCTTTACCCGACACGTCTCTATGTACCTATCAAGAAGGAGCAACCCAGTTGTTAATCGATTGGCGAATCACTTTCCCGATGTGGGACGGGGGCTTGAACCCCCAATCGTTTTGGGACACTGCTGTGTGCAATTGGCTGCTACGTTTTGCCCACAAAGTACACAGTCAATTCACTTTACAATATATTTCTGTGAAGCGCTTTGAGATGTCTCTTGTTATGAAGTACTACATCAAATGCAAGGATTATTCTTACCTTAAAGTGCAGTGACTGAATTTTTTGGGTGAATGCGGCAAATCATATGAACAGCCAGGACTTGAATGAGTAATTTTTATCAGGGGGATTTTCGGCCAGGACACCGGGACAAACACCTTTCTCTTTTCCAACAGCACCACAGGATCTTTAACATCCACTTCAACAGGTCAGCAGTCTCGTCCGAAGTACATTACCTCTGACAATTCAGTGCTCCCCCCAGCACTGCACTGGAGCGTTAGCCTGAGTAAAAAAAAAATCCCAGCTTGTACTCACAACTTTCTGACACGGAGGCAAGAGTCAAACAATTGGGGGTTCAAGCCACCATCGGGAATTTGAGCTCACCCAGTTCTAGGCTGACCCTATTGCATGGCTTAAAGATTAAACTCGGGTCCTGCCTGTGCCTGTTCAAGGGGATATCAAATTGGTTGTTAAACATAACGTGGTGGCGACTGGAGAAGAGAGTCTCTCCCAGCCATCTTCTGAAGGTGCTCATGTGAGTGATGTAAGCATGGCAGATTTGGATAAATAGACACAGACACCTCTCCACGTCAGGCAGGGTGACGGGATCAGGTTGAAAGGCAGCCAGTGCCGCCGTGTCACCCGAAGCTCATCAACAGCGCAGGAATGACGTGGGTTTGCAATGGGATTTGGGTGTGACCGGCTCAAAGCTCCCAACTGGAACTTTGTGACACTGGAGAAAAGGCTGAGAACCTGGTGTGAGGGGTTCAGTTGACCACATCTTTGTTCCATTAAAGTGCAGTGTATCGCGTAGCGGCTCACTCCAGAGAGGTCCACAGTACCATGGGCAGACAGACCAGTTACTGGGGGCAGGGAATGCTCCCCCTCAGTTCCTGTTAACCCTGCAAGCCAAAGTCCCTAATGGGTAGGGTGGTCCTCGCTGGACAAGCAGCGGGAAAGCTTGCCAGACAGTGCTCTCGATGACACACTGAACAGTTGTAGATGGTTAGACTCCAGCAGTTACCCCCAACTCACCTTCTGTGGTTCCCCCCAATCTAGGATTACTACCCACCTAGTATAGTGCGAGTGGGAATACTGTATTGTCGGAGGTTCCATCCATCAGATGAGATGTTAAAACCTGTCTGTGCCTGTTCAGGTGGATGGTAAAGATCTCACTGCGCTATTGGAAAAGAGAAGGGAGTTTCTCTCTCTCATTGTCCTGGCCAACAATCTCCCCCAGATAAAATTGGTCGCTCGCTGCTATGAGCAACTTGGCTGCCACGTTTCGCCCACACCCAATGCACTGTCACTACACTTTACAGTATATCCTGTGAAGTGCTTTCATGTCACGTCCTCCTGATGTGAAATGCATGATAGAAAATGCAAGGATTATAGTATTCAGACCGAATGGTCAGACAGGCTAAGCCTGGGTGGAATTTGGAGCCGCCGATATCTGGAGCAATGGAATGGATTAATAATAGTAATAATAATAATCCTTGCATTAGATATAGTATCTTATAACCTCATTGAGACATCTCGTAGCGCTTCACCGAATATATTGTAAAGTGAATTGACTGTGTATTTTGTGTGAGTAATGTTTACCGTCCACTAAGATCCAAAGCAAAGGCCATCTACCTCATTGTATCAGGCCAGATGTTGCTATCCTAAAGAGTGTTTGTCTCGCTTGCAAAAGGAGCCGGTTTCAAGTCGCGGGCTGGGCGAAACCTTAGGCAAGTTTCCTTACTCCACACGGCTCTGATCACTTAGGAGTAAGTAGGAACCTGGTTGATAGTCGATTGGCGGATCAATTTCCCGTGGGAATAATCCTTCCCCCAAAAAATTGTTCATTCAATTCACTCAATGGGACACTGCCGTGCGCAATTGGCTGCTGAGTTTCACCCACAAAATACACAGTCAATTTACTTTACAATATGTTCTGTGAAGTACTTTGAGACATCTCAACGATGTGATGAGGCACGAGCAAATACAACGATTATCATTAATAATCATCCCTGCGTTTGATTCAGGACCTTATCGCATCATCGAGACATCTCAAAGCTCTTCACAGGACTCTACTCTAACGTGTAGTGACAGTGCATTTTGTTGGTAAACCAAGTTACACACAAAAGTTGTTTTACCTACAAAACATTCCCACAAACAGCCATGAGACGAACAACCAATCGTCATGTGGGGGATTGTTGGCCAAGACACGGGGAGAGAGAGACTTCCTTCTCTTTTCAAATAGCGCAGCGGGATCGTTAACGTCCACCTGGAGAGACAAGGCAATATATAAATGCAAGTTGTTGCAATTCACGTTTAAAATGTTGTCCGTTCCCCCCACCCCTCCATGTTTCCTCCATTCCCACCCCCCTTCGCCCCACCTCATGCCCCCAAACTGTGTCACACACCATGCCAGTAAACATAATTAATACTGTTTTTATTTATACACATAAAAATAACAATTGAACGGTCAGTGTATCCTTGTGCCAGAGCGAGAGAGAAACCTTGAATAAAGAATATTTAAATAAAAATATATACTTCTTAAAAAGCTATTTCCGTGGCATTGACGGATCGGGGATGGGGGTGGGGGCGGGGCCGGTGTTGAAACGCGGTACGTGATGGGATACTCGCCACATTTTGGAGATCCCGTTCCGGGGTGTGGGAAGGGGTGGGGTGGGGAGGAATTGCTCCCGCAACCGAACTATTCTAGGGGATTGTTGGCGGTAAAAGGGGTAGTTATCGAACACCTTTTTAAGAAATCTGTTAAGAAACGCCGCACAATAGACCCCACCGTCTCTTTCCACGCCGCCGAGCGGATGGATGGGGACTCCGAGCACCTTGGTATGAACGGTTCATTCCAGTGAGAGGGAGAGAGAGGCGAAATACTATCCCCTGCTTCCTGCTATTATTGTCCTTGGCAAGGGAAGGTCCGAATCGAGTCGGCCCTCTGTGGTGGTCTCCAGTCCGGTTTCTGAGCCAGGCGGGTCCGTGGTATTCCAGGGCACTCGCTGCTGATGACAGCACAGCCCCAGCCTGGCTCATCGGTAGAACTTGGAAGGGCAGACTAGTCACTGGGGGCAGGGAATCCTCCCACTCAGCTCCTGTAAAGTGACTTTGGGACATCCTCCTGACGTGAAAGACATCATATAAATGTAAACTGTATTGTATTGCAAACCAACGCCCGAACGGGTAAGGTGGTCCTAACTGGACAAACAGTCCCCTCGATGCCAAGCTATGAGATGTTTAGCTGGTTAGACTCCAGCAACTAACCAACGCACAATTTGGTGTTCCCAAGGCCTTGGGTCTTGCTAGCCTGCGCCTAATACTCTACGGAATTGGGCAAGCAGAGTGCCTTCCTCCAGGGAGAGAGTGCACATTCCATTCCATTCCATTCCAGACACAGGGAAATTTCCATGTGTAGGTGGCGAACACACGTGGAACTCTCAGTCTGGTTTGGAGACTCTTAAGCACGGCGATGGGGTTTCGGTGTACGTCAGACTCCAGGCTGACCGAAAGAATAATGGACGCCAACAGTGGTGGTTGGAGGCAACAGAGTTGGCTTTGGCTTGGAGTTAGCTGTCGCCTGAGCGCCCTCTGCTGTCAGGTTCAGGAACAACATCTTTGGCCCCAAGTTACAAGGAGTTACGTGGAGTGTGCACGGTCAATCTGCCTGACCAGTCTGCACCGGTGTTTATATTCCACCCGAATCCCCATCCTTCCTATTTCCAGGAGTTTGTCCCTCACGCCCTCCGATCCAGCATTGCCGGCCGCACGTTCGGCCACGATGCCCCTGAAATTCTGGAGCACTCTTCTTCTGTCCCACCGCCTTGCCCCTTCCTTCCCTATTTTCAGGTCGCCCCTGAAGACCCTCCTCTTCGACCGTGCCTACGGTCACCGCCCCCTTTTCCCCCGGCTCGGAATCATGCTCTGCCTCTGTCACTCGATCTGGGGACTCTACCCGGCGCGAGGGGCGCTATTATAAACGCGAGGAGTTATCGTTGTTGTTTTAAGATAATGGAATTGTTTGAGTGATCAGCTCTCGTAATGGACATTTCGAAATCAAAATATTTTCTGGAATAAAAGCCCGGGGAAATGGGCCGAAAAAAAAAATACTTTGTGCTGATTCCTAACTCTTGGACTCGTGTTTCTGGAGACGGGCGTAAATGATGATAATCCTTGCTTTTGATATAGCACCTTTCACGTCAGGAGCAACATCTCAAAGCGATTCGCGGGATGTTTTTATCTTTAGAGTGTGCAGTGACTTGTGTATTTTGCAGGCAACGTATACACAAAAGTAAATTTTGCATTACATTGTATTGGTAGAGTTAGTCAGGCCTATGGTCCTGCTCCTCTCTACCTCTGTGACCTGCTAACGGTGCTCCGCTACCTCCCTCCACTCGGCAGGTGCTGGCTTGCCCCGTGTCCCCGGCCCCCGCCCCGCCATCGGCGTTTGGGCCTTCAGCCTTTCTGCCCCCACCCCTTTTGGAACTCCATCCCACAGTGCCTTCGCCTCGCTCCCTCCTTGCCTCCTCCGAGACCCTCCTTTTCAACCGTGCCTCTGCTCACCCTCCTAGCCTAACTCTCCCTGTCCTCCAACCCCTCCTGATCCCAGCCCCCGCCCAGCGCCCCCAGCTCGGGCCCAAATCCTTCACTGCCCAGCGCCTTGGGACGTCCTCCTGACGTGTATGCAAAATTTAGCTGCCTCTCTCGCCCACAAGACACACAGTCACTACACTTTACAGTGAATCCTATGAAGCTCTTGGTGACATTTTGACGACGCGATGAGATGCAAGGGCTCTAGATTATAAATAGCCTTCGAGACGGGACACACGAGGGTGGGAGAGGGTGTAAGAGGAGTGGGCTGGCAGATCTGACGACTGTCTGGCTCCACTTCAACCCCTAAACCGCGGTCACGTGTTTCGTGTTCTTAGGTACAATGACGGGCTGGTTCAGTATCGGCCACTGGCGTTCCCTCTCTGGAACCACATATTGCGTCTTGGAGGGGGGAAAAGTGGAGAGAAAGAGACATGTCACAATACATACAACAACAATAATAATAATAATCATAATAATAACAATAATAATCCTTGCATTTGATATAGCGGCTTATCGCGTCGTTGAGACGCCTCAAAGCGCTTCACGTGTAAAGTGGATTGACGCATAATTTGTGGGTGAAGCACGACAGCACACAGCAGGATTGTTGGAATGGATTCCCCGGAGAGACGTAATTCCAGAAAGCATTAGGCACAGGTTGTCAAGAGCCAAAGGCTTGGGAACCCCAGAGTGTGCATTGGATGGCTGGAACCGCAGAGGCTTGGGGCATTTCGCTTATTAGATCATAAATTAGTCAGCGTTAGCAGGCAGCAGAGATTTAAGGATTGAGGCTTGGGTCTGTTTCAGTGGGCAATAAGTCAGCGTTTGAAAAGTGACCCCAATTGCTGTGTGAGGTTTGGCTGGTGGGTCGTTGAATAGGGCTGTCTCTGTGGCTGGAATATCTGAGGCCACAGACGAATTATATCAGTGACTCACAGCTAACTCCAAAGTCATTACTGAGCCGTGCTCCTGTCCGCCTTTGCTCACCTCTGAAGTGTTGTTAAGCACCGTTCTGCTGCTTTGCTGGGACTGTTTATCTGTGTAGCCGAGTGAAGGAGAACCTATTAACAGAGCAGTGAGCGAGTAAGTGAGTGAGTGAGTGAGTGAGTGATGTCCGATCGTTTCCGTGATTGAAATGATTCCCTTATTCTGAAGCAACCTCGCGAAACAACTTATATTCCCGGTATTTCACTCGGCCTGGCTCAGTCAGCGGCGCTCTCGCCTCTGAGTCAGTAAAGATCAACAAACTAATTTCAGGTGTTACTGCTGACTTTATTATCCTTCTCTACGACCTCCTTCCCTTCATCTCCAATCCTCTCTCACCTCTCTCCCAGGCCCCACTTTTCTCCTCTTTCCCCCCCTCTCTCTCTCTTTCTCTCACTCCCTCAAACCCTCTCTAACCCGGTCACCTCTACTTCTAATTATGAGCCCTGTTCTCAGCGCCCCAGACTCTAACACGCACACGCACACTCACACGAGCACACATGGCGCTGCTCTCCTTAGCCCCCTCCCCCATGTCAGTTGGCTAACCAAGCCCCCGCTGACTCCTTGATCGCTTGTTCTTCGTCTCAGCGTGCGCATTTTGGCTGCGGCCCCCGACCCAAGCTGTTTTCCCCCAAAATGTCCCCATCCCTGTCCTCTACCCTCCATCACTCGTGCTCTGTCCTCCTCTCCCTCCATCCTCCTCGCCTCATATCCCCTCTTGACCGTCCCACAGCCTCCCTCTTCTCCAGCCTGGGAATCCTCCGGTTGAAGAGGAGGGTCTTGAGATGGAAGCAACGGAGGGGGCAAGGTGGATGGAGATCCAGAGGGTGGCGGCACAGAGGCTGGAGGCCCACCCGCCAATGGTGGGGCGGGCGAAGCGGGGGAAGTGAAGCAGGCCAGAGCCCGCTGAACAGAGGGAGTGGGTAAGGTTGGCAGGGGGTTAAGAGGTCATACAGGTAGGGGGGAGCAAGGCCATGGAGGGCTTTAAAGGTGAGGATCAGGATCTTTAACTTGCGGGACTTGAACCCACAACCTTCTGACTCACTGCGTCAGGCTGACACACGCATTTTGGAGCAACAGGAGGTGTTCGGGGCTGCACAGAATTATTCTGCTCTTTCCTTTAACCACCTGTGTAATTCACAACGCTGTTCATGTCCTCTTCCCAAATTCCCGAGTTTTCCACCCAAGCAATCATTTGCCCGTCACGCGGTATCTCGACTGGGTTCTTGGATGGCACCCTTAGGGAGCGAGAAAAAATGGGTATAAATTATTATAAAGATTCTTACATTTGATATAGACTCTTATCATGTTGGAAAGATGCCTCAAAGCGCTTCACAGGATTTATAATAATCCTTGCATTTGATACAGCGCCTTATCTGCTGTGCGCAATTGGCTTCCGCGTTTCGCCCACAAAATATACAGTCAATTCATTTTACAGTATATCCTGTGAAGCGCTTTGAGACGTCTCAACGATGTGATAATAATAATCATAATGATAATAATCCTTGCATTTTGAGATATCTCGAAGACGAGCTAAGGCATTATATCAAATGCAAGGATTATTATGTTGATGATTGTTATTATCACGTTGTTGAGACGTCTCAAAGCGCTTCACGGGAATTACTGCAATGCGGATTGACTGTGTATTTTGTGGGCGAAACGGGGCAGTCAATTGTGCACAGCAGTGTCCACAAACGGTCGTGGACTGCCTGACTGATTTATTATTATTTTTAAATTTTATTGCTTTTTGGAGGAATTATTCCCCCCCCCGGGAAAGCGATCCACACATCGACCAACAACCGGGTTCCTACAGTCTAGACTGCGTGAACTCAAAGTCCCAATGTGGTGCTTGAACCCACAACCTTCTGACTCAGAGGCCAGAGCGTGACTGACTGAGCCAGGCTGGCACCTGAGACCACTGTAATGACCCTCCAAATCACGTATTACCAGTCTGGGTCTGACTGACCGACCAGAGATTGATTGATACTGGCCTTGCTGTTCTGTGTGAAGCAACATCAATACATGCAATTAACGTTGCAAGCCACATCCAGTGCAGCACCTACACTTAGAGGGATAACATTTTATTATAATATTAATAATAATAATAATCATAATCCTTGCATGGGTATTTAGTGGGCAAAGCGCGGCAGCCATTTGGACACATGGTCCTCACGTACCTCGTCTTGTTCTGGTGAGTGTATGCTAGAGACAGAGGAGAGAGGCATCAGTAAATCCCACGCAACCAAATCTTTTAACCAATTATTAAAATATAGCTTTCACACCACCACCACCTCCACCAGCAACAACAGCAGCAACAGTTTCCATTTAAATGCAGCCCTTTGCTCGGGCTAGTGTCTCAGAACGTCTAGGTATTTTCGATGCAACTCAATTGATCAGTTATTTACTAACACAGTAAAACTCACGTAAGTAGTTTCAGTTGGGACCGTAATGTTCAATATGACTTACACTTACACGAAGTCTGAGTTGCAGGCACACACTCTATAATCGTATAAAATCCGATTTAATCAATAATCTACACTGCACATGTGTGATTTAATGCAGCCGGTAGGTGCCACTGCATTTCCTGCGATTCAATAGGTCTTGTCCTGTTGCCACATACGCACTTACTGTGAAACGTTGGAATCACATTGAATCGCGGGAAAAGAAGTCCTTCTACACATGTGTCGACGGATCAAGACTAGGTTACTCGAGATTCAATGCAGCCGGTAAGCGCGGGAGTAATGGAGGGTAGGGGAGTGGTGTTACGGGTTAGGAGGTGATTTATACGGGTAGTGTGGCTGAAGGCACGGCCGCCGATGTTGGAACGGAAGATTCGGGGGACACGGAGGAGGCTGGACCCAGTAGAGCGGAGGCAGTGGGGAGAGAGGAGGTTAGTGAGATAGGGGGCTGCCAAGGAATGGAGGGATTTAAACACTAGAGTGGAGGATCTTGAAGTCGATCCGTTCTGTGACAGGGAGCCAGCGGAGTTTGGCAAGGACCGGAGTAATCGGGGTACGAAGTGCCGGTGAGAATACGGGCGGTGGGGTTTTGAATGAGCTGGATTTTATGAATAGTGGAGGAGGGGAGACCGGCGAGGAGGGCAGTAGATTAGTCCAGCCGAGTGGTGATAAAGGCATGGACAAGGGTTTGGGCAGATTTGGGGGTGAGGCATTGTCGGAGATAACAATGTGGCGGAGGTGGAAGAAAGCGGTGCTGGTCAGGGACCGGATGTGGGGGAGGAAGGATAACTGGGGATCAAACCCGACGCCTAATTTGCACACGGGTTCGGAGAGTTTTAAGTACAACACATCCGACGATTCCCCCCACAGTGCTGCACTGGCTGTTAGCGCAGTCTATGTGATTAATAATAATAATAATCCTTGCATTTTGATATAGTGCTTTTCACATCTTCTCGACGTCTCAAAGAGCTTCACAGAATATACTGTAAAGTGAATTGACCGTATATTTGTGGGAGAAACGCGGCAGCCAATTGCGCACAGCAGCGTCCCTACAAAGAATCGTGGATTGAAGTGACCAATTTATTATTGTTTTATTTTTTGGAGGGATTATTATTAGGCGTGCGGAGTAAGGAAATTGCCCAAGGTTTCGCCTTGCGGGGAATTGAACCGAGGTGTCTCGCTTGCAAGGCGAGTGCTCTAACCACTGAGCTACAGGACTCCACCCAGATCCCAGATGAATGCGTAGATGAATGAGAGCAGTCAATTCATTCACAAAAGGGTTGGAATGGGAGTGGGGTTATGGGGTGGGGGGTGGGGGGGGTAAAACTTACATGTCCGTCTGGCTCTTTTCCTGCAGATCACAATGATCAGGATGATTATGGCAAGCAAGACAACCGCTGCGAGAGGCACCGCAATAGCGATGATCAGCCAGTCGTTTTGATCTGCTGATTCCTCTGGTGAAGAATCAAGTAGGTACATGGATCACAATCCACAGAAGCGGCACAATCCTCACGCTCAAACTTACGCAACAACAACAACAACAAACCCAGACCCAAACTTACACTACGACGACAACGACACCTTTCAAGTCGAGAGGATTCTCGCAAGGGCTGGACGGTCACGGATTTGCACAGCGCAAGGTAATGGCCCCACACGCAATCGCGACGCTAATTTATCAATTTTTGCTTGGAGGATTCCCCAAATGTCGGCCAGGACACCAGGAGAGGGAAACCCCTTTCCCTTTTCAAATAGTGCCACGGGGTCTTTTAACATCCAACTCAACAGGCCACAGACAAAATAGTTGTTAAAAGAAACAGAGGGGAGGAGAGGAGAATTTTTTTCACACAGCCAGTTGTTCGGATCTGGAATGCACTGCCTGAAAGGGTGGTGGAAGCCGATTAGATAAAGGCTTTTAAGAGAGAAGGAGATAATTATTTGGGGAGGACAAGTTTGCGGGGCTATTGGGATGGGGAGAGAGAGCGGGGGAGTGGGATTGATTTGGATAGCTCTTTTCAAAGAACCGGCACAGACACGATGGGCCGAATGGCCTCCTTCGGTGCTGTATGACTTTATGATTACCTCGTCAAGCTGTCTCAAAGCACTTCACAGGATACAACCCATTTTGTGGGCAAACACAGTAGCCATTTTGCTGACAGCAATGCGCCCACAAACAGCCATGGAGTGAGTGACCAATTTTAATACTAACAATAATACCACTAGTACTAATACTACTATTAATACTAATGATTCTTGCATTTGACATCCAGCGGTGCTTTAGCACGTCTTTGAGACAACAAGAACAACTTGCATTTGTATCGCACCCTTCACACAGGGCAGCATCCCAGAGCCCTTGACAGTGGCGGAGACATGATGTCGAGCTGGTGGTGGGGGGGGGTGGGGGGAAGGTGACCGTAGACACGGTCAAAGAGGAAAGTCTTCCGGCCCGACCTGAAGACGGAAAACGCGGGTGCAAGGCTGACAGCGGAGAAGTGCCTGTGACAAATCTATAACAGAAGGAAGACATTGAACACACCTTGGACAATCAGGTAGGCGTCTTTGGAGTCAAACCCAAGATTAGAATGGACACCGCAATTCACTGAACCGGTGTCGCTTGTCACCACACGGGAGATGGTGACCGTGAAAATGTCCCCTTGAGCGCTGCTGGTGTAAGAGTGGTTCAGCCGCGGGTCTGAGATAATAGATCCTGTCCTAGTCTCGCTCACAACTGGGTTTCCCCTCAGCGACCACGTGATAATTTCCCAGTCGGTGGTCACTGTGCACGTGAACGAAGCAGTCTGGCCAACCGATACAGTGGAGTTGCCTGGACCTCTCACCACTGTAGCAGATAAACAGGTACCTGAAAGGAAGCAGTGAGAGAGAGACTGTTTTTAACATCTTACCACATAATAAATAGTGGTTGCCCTGTGTATCCGAAGGCCGCTCACACAATGTGAACAGCGAGGGGTGGGGGGGGAATTGGAGGAGCTACTGGGCGCACAGTGACCCCACTCTTACGACAACTTGCATTGATATCGCGCCTCTCATTGCAGGGTAGCGTCCCGGAGGGCTTGACAGTGGCGGAGTATGACTCCGAGCTGGGGAGGGGGCGGGCGGGGGGGGTGGGTTGGGGGTGGGTTGGGGGCAGATGGAGGTGACCGTGAGCACAGTTGAAGAGGAAGGGACCTGAAGCTGAGTAAGGAAGGGGACAAGATGGCGAGATAGAGGGCGAGCGTTCCAGAATTTCAGGAGAGAGGTTCTTAGGGGGCAAACAGTGTAACCTGGTATCAAGTAATATCCGATAACAGCACTGGCGGAAACCATGACCCCAGGTAAGCAATCCGCCAATCGACCAGCTGCTTACTGCTAGCTAAACAGAGGCAATTGAAGTAAGGCGGTTTGTGGGACGCCGCTGTGCCCAATTGGCTGCCGCTTTTCACCCACAAGATACACAGCCAACCCACTTTACAATATATTCTGTGAAGCGCTTTGAGACGTCTCGATGACGTAATAAGGAGCTATGTCAAATTCAAGGATCACTATTATTATTATTAACATTAATTATTATTTAAGCGCAAGTCCCTGTTGCTACAGAACAACCCACGCGTCAGTCCGCACCAGATCACTTACCTACAGATATGCTGAGTAGCAGCACGAACCTTCCCGTCACCACCATGACCCAGAAATTCCTGGCTGAGGTTAGTAAAGGGTTAAACAATTGTAGCCAACAGCGCCTCGACAACTTTTTGGCTCAGTTGAACCACTCTCTGTTCCTGGTCCCAAAGTTTGTGGGTTCAATGTGTTAGCAATGTCGGAGGTGCCGTTCTTCGGATGAGATGTTACACCGAGGTCCCATCTGCCTGTTCAGGTGGACCTTAAAGATCCCGCGGCGCTATTAGTAAAGACAAGGGAGTTTTTCTCTCTCCCGGTGTCCTGACCGACAATCCCCCCCAAATAAAATTGGTCACTCGCTCCATGGCTGTTTGTGGGGCACCGCTGTGCGCGAAATTGACTGCCAAGTTTTGCGCACAAAATACAGTCTCTCCACTTTGGAGTGTATCCTGTGAAGCGAGCGCTCGCTTTGAGACTTCTCTAATGGGGCGCTGCATCAAATGCAAGGATGATTATTATCAACAGCAGCAAAGTGAACGAGCAGTTAATCTGGGGGAATCGTCGGAGTAACTCCCTTCTCTCTCTGAATAGCGCCGCAAGATCCTTAACACACAATCTGAAGAAAGGGGGGAGCTTTATTGGTGGTTTTAGTCTGTTAAAAGTCTCAGCCAAAGGACGGCACCTCTGACAATGGAGCACTTCGCACCACCCACCCATCCCCCCACCCTCCCCCCGCCACCCCCGACCCATTCCAACCCCCTCCCCTCTCAGCGTAATGCATCGTCAGCCTGGACTGTCATTCTGACTGAAGCGATGGGCTTTCAACCTCAACTCAGCAAACCTACTTCACACACACACCTGTATCTTTTAGCCACTCTGCCCCTCTCTTTCCCCCCCCCCCCCCCCACTCCCACCCCCCACTTTTGAGAGAGGAACTCCAACCCTTCCCATGGCTCCCGCGACTTTTTGTGGGACACTGCTCTTGGCAAACGGCTTCCACGTTCCGCCCACAAAATCCCAAATCCAGTCCAAAATACAAAATCCACTTCACAATATACCCTTTTTGAGACGTGATATGGCACTGGATCAAATGCAAGGATTAGTATTATTAGCATTGCTTTATTATTATCCCAGATTCCCTTTGCCTCACCCCACCCTCCCTTGCTTCCTGATTTAAGACTTAATCCCTTCGAGCTCACTTTCGGCCAACTCACACTTTCGATCGTCACCTTTTCTCTTTCCCTTCCCCCTCCCAAAGGGCTCCCAAGGCAGCTGTGTAAAGCACAGTCCGCCCACTGTGAACAGTGCTGTGTCAATGTTATATCTCCCCTTGTGTCTGGGGTGGACCGCAAACTCTCAAAGGGCACCAGAAAATATCAGGCCCAAGGTTGGCGAGAAGACAAAGGACGCACAAACTTGCGTAGCGGTTAGAGCACTCGCCTCACAAGCGAGAGGACCCAGGTTCGATTCCCTGGCTTGGCGAAACTTTCAGCAAGTCTCCTTGGGGAGTCCTGTAGCTCAGCGGTTAGAGCACTCGCCTTGCAAGCGAGACACCTGGGTTCAATTCCAGGCAGAGGGCGAAACCTCGGGCAAGTTTCCTTACTCCACACAGAGCCTAATAATAATCCCTCCACAAAACAAAAGCAATAATAAATTGGTCATTTTCAATCCACGACTGTTTGTGGGGACGCTGCTGTGCGCAATTGGCTGCCGCGTTTCGCCCACAAATATACGGTCAATTCACTTTATAGTCTATTCTGTGAAGCGCTTTGAGACATCGAGAAGACGTGAAAAGCGCTATATCAAATGCAAGGATTATTATTATTATTATTCAGCAGCAGTAAGCCCTGGAGTTTAACTATCTGAAACTGCTTGCCATCGAGAGCACTGTTCGGCAAGCTTTCTGCTGCTTGTCCCCTACCGTTTGGGGATCTCTGCACTTCCTACCTGTTAGGGCTTTGGCTTGCAGGGTGAACATGAGCTGAGTGGGAGAATAATAATACAAATAATAATCCTTGCATTGGATACAGCGCCTTATCACGTCATTGAGATGTCTCAATGCACTTCACAGAATATCCTGTAAAGTGAATTGACTGGATATTTTGTGGCCGAAACGCGGCAGCCAATTGCGCACAGCAGCGTCCCCACCAACAGCCGTGGATTGAACGACAAAATTATTATTATTATTTTTGGAATACCGCAGACCCTTATCATGTGGTTACCCCCAGAAATCAATCTGCCAATCGACTAACAACCGCTTTCCTACTTAAACTGAGGTGTGTGGAGTGAGGAAACCTGCCTGAGGTTTCATCCCACACTGGGAATCACCATGTTGCAAACTTTGCGAGGCGAGCAGGACCACCACTACAACTAAGGGACTCCGGCACTCACCTTTTCCACCAGTGTCCCTGGCTCCTGTTGATCAGGAATCTCTCCACTTCCCTGCGATGATGTCTCAATAAAGAGAGAGTGGGTGGCACGGCGGCGGTGAGGTGGGGGTGAGGGGTAAAAAGGTTTACAGTCTAGCAACGGAGAGTGAGGAGTTCACGGAGAGAAACAGAGAGAGAAGCAGACAGCGTTTCGGAAATAAAGTACAAACGTCACTCAGAGAAGGAGGGGAAATTGGCCTTTCAGGTCCAATGTCAGAGAAGCATTCGTTGACCGAAAGGTTAAAGTCTGCAGAGGCTTAATATTTAACCAGTGTCTTGCGTCTTGAAACCTACCACAGCACAGTGTCACACTATGAAACTCCACCCCACCCCAACCCACCCCAATCCCTTTCACCCGAAACCCTGCAATCGCTTGCCAGATCAGATAATAATTGCCATGATGATTGTTAGTTGAGTCCTGTAGCGTATTGGTTATAAGGCTTGTCTCGCAAGCGATAAGCTGAGCCTCTATAACATTGCCCCCATCCGCCCTCCTCACCTATGAACGGGAGTCTTGTAGCGTATCGTGAAGTGCGTAGAGTATTGGGTAGAGCGTTCGCCTTGCAACCCGGGTGGGGCAAAACCTTAGGCAAGTTTCCTTACTCCACAGGCCACTGTTTACCTAGCAGTAAGTAGGAACCCAGTGGTTAGTCGATTGGAGGATGGCTTTTCCGGGAGTAATAATCCCTCCAAAATAATAAATCATAACAATTTGGTTACTGAATACACGACTGTATATGGGATACTGCTGTAGGCAATTGGCTACCGCATTTCGGCAACAAAATACACAGTCAATTAGTGAATTAATAGCATATTCTGTGAAGCTCTTTGAGACATCCCAATGATGTGATAAAGCGCTATATCAAAAGCAAGGGTTATTATTATTATTATCAGCTGAAAATCTCTAATGAAACGGGTCCAACCAGCAGACGTCAGGAACAGAATCAGTCTCTGTATACATCTGCCAGAGGATAGAGTTCAAAATCCTCGAACTCGCTTTCAAAGCTCTCACAGCCTTGCTCCTCCTACCTCTGACCTGCTAAACCCACATCAACCTGCCCAATCCTTCCGTTCAGTGGGTTCCAGTCCCGCCCTGCCCACTCCACCGCCCTCCCCCCCATCCGTAGTTGGCCCTTCAGCCTCTCTGCCCTTTGGAACTTCATCCCACAGTCCCTCGACGTCACCCCCTCCCGTGACTCTTTCACAGCCCGGCTCAAGTCCCTCCTCTTCAACCGTGCCTTCGGTCACCCTCCTGCCCCCACACTCCCTGCCCTCCAACCCTCCCGATCCCAAACCCCCAGCTCGGGTGCAAACACTTGACTGTCCAGCATCTTGGGACGGCATCCTGGCGTGAAAGGCACTGTATAAATGTAACGTGTTGTTGTAGTAAATGAAATCGTGCCCAACGGGTAGGGTCCTACTCTCACTATGTAACTAATGCCTGAGGGAGGAGCAGGAATGATAATAATCCTTGCATTTAATATATCACCTTATCATGCCATTGAGACGTCTCAAAGCGCTTCACATAATATATTGTAAAGTGAATTGACGGTATATTTTGCAGGCAAAACAGTGTCCCACAAACCGTCGTGGATTGATTGACCCAATCATAAGAAAGTAAGAACATAACAATAATAATAAATCATCATTTTTTTTAAAAAGGGTTTATTACCCCCGGAAAGCGATCCGCTTAACAACTGGGTTCCTACTTACTGCTAGGTAAATAGTGGGATGTTGAGGTGAGCGCATGATAAAGGAATGAGAGAATGTAAATACTCAGGACATTACCACTGAATCGCTCCATACAATAAATGATTTATTTCATTTACCAAAGAGCTGACAGGCAGTTTTATTGCTGCAGCTCAGGTAAGTAATGTGTAGTGAATACAAAATACACAGTCAATCCACTTTACAGTGAATCCTGTGAAGCGCCTTAAGACGTTTTGACGATGTGATAAGGCGCTATATATTATATTATATTATATTATATTATATTATATTATATTATATTATATTATATTATATTATATTATATTGTATTGTATTATATTACATATTGTACATTATTATTAGTAGTAAACAGCTGTGAAGTGAATGACCAAATTCTATGTTAGCCAAGAAATTCTCTCCTCTTTCAGAGAAGTGGCAACGATAGCTTTAACGTCCACCTGAACAGTCCTCGGTTTAACGTGTCAGACGAAGGACGGCACCTCCGACATTGCAGCGCTCCCTCCCCAACGCTGCGCTGGAGGTGCCAGACTACGCCGTATGAACCGCAACTCCAGAGTTTCGGGGGTGATAGTGGCTGAAGGCACGGCAACCGATGGTGGAGCGGAGGACACGAGGGACAAAAAGAGGAGGCCGGAGCCGGCCGAGCGGAGGCAACGGGTGATGAATTAGGGGGTAAGCGAATCGGATACATAGGGAGGTGCGAGGGCATGAAGCAATGTCAGCGCTCAGAACCCACAAGCTTCTGACCCAGAGTCACGAATGCTACCCACCGAGCCAAGCTTCTGTAATAACCCGATTAGGAATAGGAATCTGTAAGGAAACATCACTGCTGGGAAAAGTAAAATTATCCAGGGAACAGGCAGGAAACAGCACCGCTAAAAATAGCCCTCAGCAATCTGGCAGCACAGACTATAAATACCCTCTGGAGGGTTTAAATGTTGTTGAAAGAAGCAGTGAAGAGAATTCCTGAGAGAACGACAGAGGAAACACAACCACAGAGCTACTATCACAAGATTTGTTTGGATGAAAAAGGCCCTTTGACCTATCTGGTCTGTTCCGTTCAGAACACGCACTCTATTCGATAGACACCTAACTGTTTCTCCACTCTCAACCCCAGGGATACCTATCATAGGTACATTATAAGTGATAAATAACAATCCATGTGTTTGATACGGCGCCTTTCACGACAGCAGGACATCTCAAAGCACTTCACAGTATACGATGGGCTCTACCTTTCCCTCATCTCCTCATCGAACCTTCAGTGTTTTCTCATTGTACTTTGAAGTCCTGTAGTGTAGTGGTTAGAGCATTTGCCTCGCAAGCGAGAGGACCAGGGCTCGATTACCAGGCGGGACAAAACCTTAGGCAAGTTTCCTTACTTCACACGCCTCTGTTTACCTAGCAGTAGGGTTAATAATCCCCTCAAATAATAATAATAATAATAATAATAAGTTGGTGCTCAATCCACGACTGTTTGTGGGACGATGCTGTGCACAATTGGCTGCTGCGTTTCACCCAGAAAATATACAGTCAATTCACTTTATGGTATACTCTGTGACAAGCTTTGAGACGTCTCAACGACATGATGAGGCACTGTATCAAATGGAAGGATTATTATTAGCGTATTGTAAAGGCTAGGCAATATTTGTACGCCCTCCCCCCACAGACGAGCCTGGCGGCATTTCATCTTTTATGAGAAGTCTGAGGACATGAATACTGTCTGTTTTCCTGCAGCTCCTCCAAGTGGCTATTCTTATTGCAACACGAAAGCATCAATGTACAATGCGATATTTTGCATTCAATACAGTGCCATTCATGTTATTAGGACATCTCAAAGCCTTTCCCAGGATTTCACTATAAATTGCTCTGTCCTCCTGGGTGGGGGGAGAGTAACCAGGGTCTCCTTGGATATGTCTGGCAATGGAATATCGGAATCGAGCCAGTCCTCTGTGACAATCTCGCATCCAGTATTTCAAGGCACTGGTGATGACAGCACAACCAGCCTGGCTCATTGGCAGGTACTAGAGGGGCAGACTAGTCACCAGGAGCAGGGAATCCTCCCATTTGGCGACTGATAACCCTGTAAACCAAAGCCCTAAAGGCTAAGCGTGGTCCTAGCTGGACAAGCAGTCGGCAAGCTAGCCAGACAGCGATATCAATGGCAAGCTACGTGGTTTTAACTGTTACCCCCAAAGCACACTCTGGGGTCCCCAAGCTTTGGTTCTTGCCAACCGGAATTGGGTAAGCAGGGTGCGTCCCTCCAAGGAGAGAGCGCATATTCCATTCCAACAATCTATCTCTGAGATTTCCATGTGTCGGTGGGATGTGCGGTTTCCAAACCAAACTCAGTTTGGTTTGGATACTCTTGGTCAATTCAGTCACTCAATCAAAAAAAAATAAAAACAATTTGGTCACTCATTCCACCATTATTTGATTGACTGATCGTTTTCTGGGGGGTAATAATCCCTCCCCCCAAAAAATGTGGTCACTCAACCCACGACCATTGGCTGTGCTGTGCACAATTGGCTGCCGCGTTTCACCCACAAAATACCCTCACTCCCTCCGCTTTACAATAAATTCTGTGAAGCACTTTCGGGAAGCGTCAACGTCATGATAACGGTGCTATATCGAATGCAAAGATTATTATTATTATACCGTTTTAGCTAAATATCCGCTGAGAACTTTTGCAGTCTTGATACGAATGAATAGTGTCTGTTCTTCCCTAATCCAACGTCCCTGTGTGGTCATTGTAGAAGAGCGATATGTGTCGAGGAGCTTTTGATGCAGAAGTGGGAGTAGGGGCTGTACTCCCACTTCTGCATAAAAGTAACAGGGGGTGTAATGGCAGTCTCCAACTCTGAGAAACAGACGGTGGGAGAGTTACCATTGTGAGTTGTTTCAAGTATTTGTTCTCTTAACAATAATAATCCTTGCATTTGATATATAGCTTCTTATCCCCCAACCACTCCGCCTCTCCCCCTCCTGAGCCTCTTTCAAGTCCCGCCTCAAAACCCTCCATGCCGTCGGTCACCCCTTCCTCTCCCCTCCCTTCTCCCCTCCCTTCTCCCCCGCTCGGGTCTGAAATACTATGCACTGTCCAGCGCCTCGGGACGTCCACGTCCTCCCGACGTGAATGGCGCTGTACAAATGTAATCTTGTTGTTGTTGTTGTTGTTGTTGTCATCACGTCATCGAGGCCTCTCGAAGCGCTTCACAGAACATACCGCAAAGTGAATTGACGGTGTATTTTGTGGGTAAAACGCGAGCAGTCAATCGAGTATTAACATCCCCCCCGCCCCCACCTCCGGAAAAGGGATTATGAACACCCCCCACCCCCGGAAAAGGGATTATGTACACCCCCCCCTCACCCCCGGAAAAGGGATCATTAACACCCCGCCCCCACCCCCGGAAAAGGGATTATGAACACCCCCCCCCCCCCCGGAAAAAGGATTATGAACACCCCCCCCCGGGAAAAGGGATTATGAACAAACCCCCCACCCCGGAAAAGGGATTATGTACACCCCCACCCCCCCGGAAAAGGGATCATTAACACCCCCCCCCACCCCCGGAAAAGGGTTGCTAATGACTGCTGGTAAAACCCCGGCGTGTGGGGCAGGGCCAGGGATTGAACCCGGGTCCTCTCGCTTGCGGTGTGAGCTCTCTAACCAAGAACCCAGGAGAAGTGACCGGGAGCCTGAATGGCCTCAGGGGGTGGGGGGGGGGGGGGGGAATCCTGGATGACGTCAGTGACATCTGGGGTGACGTCAGAGGAAATCCTGGATGACGTCAGTGGCATCTGGGGCGACGTCAGAGAAAATCCTGGATGACGTCAGAGGACAGCCCGGATGACGTCAGAGGGAGGCCAGAAAGGAGGTCGGAAGTGACGATCCGCCCGTCGGGCGTAGCCGGAAGTGACGAATCGGACAACCTGGACCGACGGAGGCGGGGGAGGGGCGGGCGGAAGTGACGACGCTGACAGGCGGAAGTGACAAGGGGGCGGGCGGCAGGTGCGCGCGGCCACGGAGCAACAACAGCAGCAGTGAGTCAAACAGAGACCTCCCACACCCCCCACCCCCCCCCCCGGGACCGGGGGCTGAGATCCCCCACCCCCGACCCCCCCCCGGGACCGGGGGCTGTGCCCCTACACCCCCCCCCACCCCCCCCGGGTCTGTGTGTCTGATCCCGGAGTCTGTGTGTCTGATCCCGGAGTCTGTGTCTGATCCCGGAGTCTGTGTCTGATCCCGGAGTCTGTGTCTGATCCCGGAGTCTGTGTCTGATCCCGGGGTCTGTGTCTGATCCCGGAGTCTGTGTCTGATCCCGGAGTCTGTGTCTGATCCCGGAGTCTGTGTCTGATCCCGGAGTCTGTGTCTGATCCCGGAGTCTGTGTCTGATCCCGGAGTCTGTGTCTGATCCCGGAGTCTGTGTCTGATCCCGGAGTCTGTGTCTGATCCCGGAGTCTGTGTCTGATTCCGGAGTCTGTGTCTGATCCCGGAGTCTGTGTCTGATCCCGGAATCTGTGTCTGATCCCTGAGTCTGTGTCTGATCCCGGAGTCTGTGTGTGATCCCGGAGTCTGTGTCTGACCCCGGAGTCTGTGTCTGATCTCGGAGTCTGTGTCTGATCCCTGAGTCTGTGTCTGATCCCGGGGTCTGTGTCTGATCTCGGAGTCTGTGTGTCTGATCCTGGAGTCTGTTTCTGATCCCGGAGTCTGTTTCTGATCCCGGAGTCTGTGTCTGATCCCGGAGTCTGTGTCTGATCCCGGAGTCTGTGTCTGATCCCGGAGTCTGTGTGTATGATCCCGGAGTCTGTGTCTGATTCCGGAGTCTGTGTCTGATCTCGGAGTCTGTGTCTGATCCCGGAGTCTGTGTCTGATCCCGGAGTCTGTGTCTGATCCCGGAGTCTGTGTCTGATCCCGGAGTCTGTGTCTGATCCCGGAGTCTGTGTCTGATTCCGGAGTCTGTGTCTGATCCCGGAGTCTGTGTCTGATCCCGGAGTCTGTGTCTGATCCCGGGGTCTGTGTCTGATCCCGGAGTCTGTGTCTGATCCCGGAGTCTGTGTCTGATCCCGGAGTCTGTGACTGATCCCGGAGTCTGTGTGTCTGATCCCGGGGTCTGTGTGTCTGATCCCGGAGTCTGTTTCTGATCCCGGAGTCTGTGTCTGATCCCGGAGTCTGTGTCTAATCCCGGAGTCTGTGTCTGATCCCGGAGTCTGTGTCTGATCCCGGAGTCTGTGTCTGATCCCGGGGTCTGTGTCTGATCCCGGAGTCTGTGTCTGATCCTGGAGTCTGTGTCTGATCCTGGAGTCTGTGTCTGATGCCTGAGTCTGTGTCTGATCCCGGAGTCTGTGTGTCTGATCCCGGGTCTGTGTGTCTGATCCGGGGTCTGTGTCTGATCCCTGAGTCTGTGTGTCTGATCCCGGGTCTGTGTCTGATCCCGGAGTCTGTTTCTGATCCCGGAGTCTGTGTGTCCGATCCCGGAGTCTGTGTGTCTGATCCCGGAGTCTGTGTGTCTGATCCCGGAGTCTGTGTCTGATCCCGGAGTCTGTGTCTGATTCCGGAGTCTGTGTCTGATCCCTGAGTCTGTGTCTGATCCCGGAGTCTGTGTCTGATCCCGGAGTCTGTGTGTCTGATCCCGGAGTCTGTGTGTCTGATCCCGGAGTCTGTTTCTGATCCCGGGGTCTGTGTCTGATCCCGGAGTCTGTGTCTGATCCCGGAGTCTGTGTCTGATCCCGGAGTCTGTGTCTGATCCCGGAGTCTGTGTCTGATCCCGGAGTCTGTGTCTGATCCCGGAGTCTGTGTCTGATCCCGGAGTCTGTGTGTCTGATCCCGGAGTCTGTTTCTGATCCCGGGGTCTGTGTCTGATTCCGGAGTCTGTGTCTGATCCCGGATCTGTGTCTGATCCCGGAGTCTGTGTCTGATCCCGGAGTCTGTGTCTGATCCCGGAGTCTGTGTCTGATCCCGGAGTCTGTGTCTGATCCCGGGGTCTGTGTCTGATCCCGGAGTCTGTGTCTGATCCCGGAGTCTGTGTCTGATCCCGGAGTCTGTGTCTGATCCCGGAGTCTGTGTCTGATCCCGGAGTCTGTGTCTGATCCCGGAGTCTGTGTCTGATCCCGGAGTCTGTGTCTGATCCCGGAATCTGTGTCTGATCCCTGAGTCTGTGTCTGATCCCGGAGTCTGTGTCTGACCCCGGAGTCTGTGTCTGATCTCGGAGTCTGTGTCTGATCCCGGGGTCTGTGTCTGATCCCGGAGTCTGTGTCTGATCCCGGGGTCTGTGTCTGATCCCAGAGTCTGTGTCTGATCCCGGGGTCTGTGTCTGATCTCGGAGTCTGTGTGTCTGATCCTGGAGTCTGTTTCTGATCCCGGAGTCTGTTTCTGATCCCGGAGTCTGTGTCTGATCCCGGAGTCTGTGTCTGATCTCGGAGTCTGTGTCTGATCCCGGAGTCTGTGTCTGATCCCGGAGTCTGTGTCTGATCCCGGAGTCTGTGTGTATGATCCCGGAGTCTGTGTCTGATTCCGGAGTCTGTGTCTGATCCCGGGGTCTGTGTCTGATCTCGGAGTCTGTGTGTCTGATCCTGGAGTCTGTTTCTGATCCCGGAGTCTGTTTCTGATCCCGGAGTCTGTGTCTGATCCCGGAGTCTGTGTCTGATCTCGGAGTCTGTGTCTGATCCCGGAGTCTGTGTCTGATCCCGGAGTCTGTGTCTGATCCCGGAATCTGTGTCTGATCCCTGAGTCTGTGTCTGATCCCGGAGTCTGTGTCTGATCCCGGAGTCTGTGACTGATCCCGGAGTCTGTGTCTCTGATCCCGGGGTCTGTGTGTCCGATCCCGGAGTCTGTGTGTCTGATCCCGGAGTCTGTGTGTCTGATCCCGGAGTCTGTGTCTGATCCCGGAGTCTGTGTCTGATCCCGGAGTCTGTGTCTGATCCCTGAGTCTGTGTCTGATCCCGGAGTCTGTGTGTCTGATCCCGGGGTCTGTGTGTCTGATCCCGGAGTCTGTTTCTGATCCCGGAGTCTGTGTGTCCGATCCCGGAGTCTGTGTGTCTGATCCCGGAGTCTGTGTGTCTGATCCCGGAGTCTGTGTCTGATCCCGGAGTCTGTGTCTGATTCCGGAGTCTGTGTCTGATCCCTGAGTCTGTGTCTGATCCCGGAGTCTGTGTCTGATCCCGGAGTCTGTGTCTGATCCCTGAGTCTGTGTCTGATCCCGGAGTCTGTGTGTCTGATCCCGGGGTCTGTGTGTCTGATCCCGGAGTCTGTTTCTGATCCCGGAGTCTGTGTGTCCGATCCCGGAGTCTGTGTGTCTGATCCCGGAGTCTGTGTGTCTGATCCCGGAGTCTGTGTCTGATCCCGGAGTCTGTGTCTGATTCCGGAGTCTGTGTCTGATCCCTGAGTCTGTGTCTGATCCCGGAGTCTGTTTCTGATCCCGGAGTCTGTGTCTGATCCCGGAGTCTGTGTCTGATCCCGGAGTCTGTGTCTGATCCCGGAGTCTGTGTCTGATCCCGGAGTCTGTGTCTGATCCCGGAGTCTGTGTGTCTGATCCCGGAGTCTGTGTCTGATCCCGGGGTCTGTGTGTCTGATCCCGGGGTCTGTGTGTATGATCCCGGAGTCTGTGTCTGATTCCGGAGTCTGTGTCTGATCCCTGAGTCTGTTTCTGATCCCGGAGTCTGTGTCTGATCCCGGAGTCTGTGTTTCTGATTCCGGGGTCTGTGTCTGATCCCGGAGTCTGTGTCTGATCCCGGAGTCTGTGTCTGATCCCTGAGTCTGTGTCTGATCCCTGAGTCTGTGTGTCTGATCCCGGAGTCTGTGTCTGATCCCGGAGTCTGTGTCTGATCCCGGAGTCTGTGTGTCTGATTCTGGGGTCTGTGTGTCTGATCCCGGAGTCTGTTTCTGATCCCGGAGTCTGTGTCTGATCCCGGAGTCTGTGTCTGATCCCGGAGTCTGTGTCTGATCCCTGAGTCTGTGTCTGATCCCGGAGTCTGTGTCTGATCCCGGGGTCTGTGTCTGATCCCGGAGTCTCTGTCTGATCCCGGGGTCTGTGTCTGATCCCTGAGTCTGTGTGTCTCATCCCGGGGTCTGTATGTCTGATCCCGGGGTCTGTGTCTGATCCCTGAGTCTGTGTGTCTGATCCCGGGGTCTGTGTCTGATCCCTGAGTCTGTGTGTCTGATCCCGGAGTCTGTTTCTGATCCCGGAGTCTGTGTGTCTGATCCCGGAGTCTGTGTCTGATCCTGGAGTCTGTTTCTGATCCCGGAGTCTGTGTCTGATCCCGGAGTCTTTGTTTCTGAGTCCGGGGTCTGTGTCTGATCCCGTGGTCTGTGTGTCTGATCCCGGGGTCTGCGTCTGAAGTAATAACCCCTAAAGAAAAAACTGGTCGCTCAATCCACGGCGGTTCGTGCGACATCGCTGCGCCCAATTGGCCGCCGCGTTTCGCCCGTGAAATATACGGCCAATTCGCTTTGCAGGATATCCTGTGAAGTACTTTGAGACGTCTCGAAGATGCGATGAGGCGCGATACCAAATGCGCGCGTTACTATTATTATGATTGTTACTTCCGCTGATCCGGTTGGAAAAGAGAAGGGTGTGTGCCCTGGGTGTGCCGCGGCCAACAACACTCCAGTTATATTACTCATCTGCCTCGCGGGGACTTGCTTCGCTTGTTGTGCAATATTATTCTTTTCCACCCCATCTAACTTGGGGTGCGAATTATCCCAACATGATCGCAGCATCCCAACCGGGGCCCCCCCACTGAGATCCCCATCCTCGCGGTCGATATCGCGCCTTCACGCCAGGTTTGCGCGCGGCAGTGCCCCACAAACTGCCAGGGAGGGCAGCGACCGACCAGGACGCCCATTTTATTTCGTCGGCTGACTCGGCAGAGGGTGTTGTTCGAACTTGTCTACGGGACTCAGCGCTGCATTTACGTCAGTGTGGATTGTCAACGGCCCGAATTCCACCGACTGGTATTTTTTTTTAGTGAAGTAGAGGGACGCACCCCTACCAACCTAAATCTGGGGAGTATTGGGCACAGCGTTGGCGCGAGCCAAGGCTTGGGAGTAACCGCTGAAGTCTAACCAGCAACGCTTGCCGTTGCCTCGCTGGTCTCCCGGGGTGGGGGGCGCGAAACCTTAGGCAGGTTTCCTTTACTCCGTGTCACTCTGTTTGCCGAGCAGTAAGTAAGGGAACCTGGTTGTTAGTCCCTTGAAGGATTTCTTTCAGGAGGTCATAAACCCTATATAAAAAAAATGCGGTCACTCACTCACTCCACAACGGTTTGTGGGACGTTGCTGCGCGCAATTTGGCTGCCGCGTTCCGCCCACAAAAATACAAAGTCAGTTCACTTTGCAATAAATCCTGTGAAGCGCTGTGAGACGTCTCAATGATGTGATAATAATAATAGTCCTTGCATTTGATATAGCGCTTTTCACGTCGGGAAGACGTCCCAAAGCGCTTCACAGAACACACTGTGAAGTGAATTGACTGTAAATTTGTGGGCGAACGCGGCAGCCAATTGCGCACAGCGATGTCCCACAAACAGTCGTGGATTGAAAATGACCAATTTATTATTGTTTTGGGTTTTGGAGGGATTATTATTAGGCTCTGTGTGGAGTAAGGAAACTTGCCCAAGGTTTCGCCCTCTGCCTGGAATTGAACTCAGGTCTCTCACTTGCAAAGCGAGTGCTCTAACCACTGAGCTACAGGACTAAGTCTCTATATCAAATGCAAGGATTGTTATTATTATTACTGATACCTTGGTTTTTGATTGCACCTTCAGGCATCGCCCTCCTAATGCCCCGTCTCCCATTCCCATCTCTATAAAAACGCTTTGAAGAGACGTTTAGCCTTGCGAAAGACGCTGGATGTCGTGAGATCCTTTTGTCTTAAGCGCGTAAGAATTCCGAGACGAAGGAAGGCCCAAGGTCCGTCCAGTTTGCCTTCCACATCCTGGCAGTCGCATGACATGTTGTGTCCCAAACTGTATACTGTTGTCCTGAGATGATATTCCCGAACAGAAATCTTATCTGATTTGTTCTTGAAGAGCCGACGCTTTCTGCTTCAACCGTCAATTGTGGAAAATGTTCTCAATTTGGAAACCAGTTAACTTTTTTTAAGAACTGCTTAGAACCAGGTTCCAAATTAAAGCTAAATTTAAGAATTTTCCACAATTCTGTGTCATATACGCAAAGACTAGATGGAAAGTTTGTCCTCAGTGCCCCTGAGCTAAGGAGTTAAACTATTATACATTGCAGCACAGTCCTGCTGACAGCCGGGAGGTGAATGTCTAAATGATTAGTTTATTGGGTGAAGTTTCTTCTTCTTTTTCTGTTCGAAAACCACTACGGGATCATTAACGTCCACCTGAACGACAGGCAGATAGGACCTCGGTTTAAAGCCTCATCCGAAGGGACCTACGCCATCAACGGCAAGCGATGTGGTCATAGCTGGTTACCCCAACGCAACGGGTTTAGGCGTATGTCCATTTGTGTAAAGGGAGCAGAGTTTTGTCAGGTTCTGCAGCCAGGGTTAAGGTCTCACTACAGGAAGTAGAATACAGGTGCAGAGTTGCTTGCGGTCTGGAGTGAGCTGGGGGGAATGTAGAGCTGATACGATTGAGTGTTGTGATTTCAGGTTCTGCCACCATGGATGATTTGAGCTCGGATTCGGACGACGCCAAGCTGACTACCAGCCGCAGTGACAGTCGGGTAAGGAACCACGTCCTATTCAAATTCTCTTATTTATGTAAGAATAATAATGCTTGGATTCAGCCACCCATCCTGTCTGAACGTCTCAAAGCGCTTCACAGCTAATTGTTTTCTAGCCCAGTGACTGCGTATTTGTAGACACTCGGCTGTGCGCAGTTGGCTGCCGCGTTTCGCCCACAAAGGCGCAGTCGGTTCACTTTACAGTATATTCTGTCCAGCGCCTTGGGACGTCCTCCCGACCCGAAAGGCGCTATACAAATGTAATGTTGTTGTTGTTGTTCTTTACAGTATAAACCGTTTGAGACATCTCAACGACGTGATAAGGTGCTGCATCAAATTCAGGCTTATTACTATTTTTAGTAAAGGCAACAGCCTGTTTGCGGAACTTTGCTGTGCACAAATTCAAAGTAGCTCCCATATTTGCCTACAAATTTGCACACAGGTGTCAGTCAGCCTGTCTTAGTCACTGCTGAGTCGGAAGGATGTGGGTTCAAGCCCAGTGTTGGGACTTTGAGCTCACGCTCTTGGCAGGGAATGCAACAACAACAACAACAACAAGATTCCATTTACAGAGCGCCTTTCACGTCGGGAGGACGTCCCAAGGCGCTGCACAGTTGGGTCGGGACCCGAGCAGCGGGGAAATGGTCAGGGTGAGGGGAGGGAAGGGAGGGGGCGAGGAGGGGGTAGAGAGTCGAGAGAGGAGGTGAAGGCACAGACGGTCAAAGAGAAAGGTGTTGAGACCGGCCTTGAAGGAGGAAAGGGAGGAAGCGGCGAAGGCACTGGGGGATAGAGTTCCAGAGCCTCGGGGCTGAGAGGCTGAAGGCCCGACCACCGATGGTAGGGCGGTTGGGGCGGGGGATTCCTGTGAAGCGCTCATAAGTCGCTACATCAAATGCAAGGATCGTTATTATTGTTATAAGTTTAGACGATTCATACCCAGCAAAATCCCACCGAATAGCCACGGAGTGAGTGACCGCTTTTATTTGGAGGATTGTCGGGCAGGACAACGAGAGAGAGAAACCTCCCTTTCTTTTCCAATTGCGTCTTGGGTTCTTTAACATCCACCCTGAACAGGCAGACTGGTTCTGCCCCAGGGAAAGCCCAATATTTCCAGCGCTGCTAAGTTGCAGTGGTGTCTCATGGAATAATGCAGCACGGAAACAGCCTACCGTGCCGGTGTTTGTACTCCACCCTCTCCTCCACCCCTCTATTCCCCTTTTCCACATCCCTCTATTCCCCTCTATCCACACCTTTCTATTCCCCTCTCCTCTCCTCCTCTAATTCCTTGGAGCTGAACTGGCTTCAAAGGTGACGCGTTTGGCAACGGAAAGTTGGAATCGAGCTCAGCCCTCCGTGACGATCTTTAGTCCGGTTACTGAGCCAGGGGGTTCCGCAGTAATCCAGGGCACTGCTGATGACAGCACAGCCCGGCCACAGCTGATAATAATAATAATAATAATCCTTGCATTTGATATAGCACTTTTCACGTCGAGAGGACGTCCCAAAGCGCTTCACAGAATACACTGTAAAGTGAATTGACTGTATATTTGTGGGCGAACGCGGCAGCCAATTCCGCACAGCAATGTCCCACAAACAGTCGTAGATTGAAAATGACCAATTTATTATTGTTTTTGGTTTTGGAGGGATTATTATTAGGCTCTGTGTGGAGTAAGGAAACTTGCCCAAGGTTTCGCCCTCTGCCTGGAATTGAACCCAGGTTTCTCGCTTGCAAGGCGAGTGCTCTAACCACTGAGCTACAAGACTCCACAACGTGCACCTAATCGAAATCCTTTCATCTTAAACCCCTCGATCAGGTCCCCTATGAGTCGTCTTAACTCCAGAGAGAAAAAAAAAGCTCTGACTTGTCCACTCTTTCCAGACGTGCATGTCAACTCCTCGGAATCAATCTGCGCCTCGCTCGTTCTTGTAATAAAAATAATAACCTTGAATTTGATATACAGCCTTTTCACATCGTTGAGACGTTTCAAAGCGCTTGACAGGACGTACTGTAATGTGAACGTTTATTGTGGTGACCAGTTGTGTGTTCAGTAGCCCAAATAGTAATGCGGTCGTTTCTCCCTTTTGCTCTCTTTCAGAGTCCAGCGGAATCTAAAAGGCCTGCTGTACCGAAGCCAAAAAACAATTGTAAGTACAGTCATCGGCATGGCTTTGTCACCTTAGTAATGTGTCCCCTCAGCACTGTCAGCTCAGACAGTCCGTGTTAAATGTACAGGGTGTTCACAAAGTCCCTTTAACTCCCGCCCACCCCCGTTTTTTTTCTTTACAATGAATTTTTATTTTCTGAGACGACAGCGGAGCTGAAACAAGCTGTCAAAGATGCTGTCATTCGACCAAACACAGTCACTTCACTTTATAGTATATTCTGTGAAGTTATTTGAGACGTCTCCAAGACGTGATAAGGTGGTGTATCAAAATCAAGGATTATTATTACTAGTATTATCATCCTCGTGAGCCAAGCTGAGTTTAGTCCTGGTCTTCCGACTGTAAACGTGCTCTCACATGTCTTTTTTAATAAGTGTCTTATTTCTATTTCCTCTCCCTCCTATAGTGGAAGCAGCTGAGATCTGGTGCTCCCGCATTCCTGATGATCAGATGAAGGATTACTGCCACACCATAGACTTGAATATTTTATGGCCCTTTCTGTTCACCCGGAATGAAAAACCTGACCGTTATATACAGTGGGCATTCACAGCCCAATTCATCGATGAGGTGTAAGTCCTTTGTGGTTCCGGGTTTATGCAGTTATTAGTTGCCTTTAGCGTTCCTTTTGTTTTGCTCAGCTGGGTGTCTGCCTTGCTTAAGAGTCTCCTAAATCAGATTGCTTGTGCATGTCCCTGTGTCCCTGTGTCCTCACCTCTTTGACTTTGAGCTCACTGTCTAGGCTGACGCTCCAGTGCAATGCTGGAGGGAGTGTTGCTTTATCAGAGACGCCATCCCTTGGATGAGATGTTAAACTGAGGTCCCAGTGTTCAAATGAAGATGAAAGATCCTAAAGCACTTTGCGAAAAGAGAAGGGAGTTTCTCTCTCCTGGTGTCCCAGCCAACAATCCCCCAGATAAAATTGGTCACTTGCTCCACGGCTGTGTGTGAGATATTGCTGTGTCAAGTTGAAAGCCTACAAAACATGCAGTCATATTTTTCAGTGAACCCTTGAAGCGATCAGATCGTTTGATGGTGTGATAAGGCTCTATATCAGAATGTGGGATCATTATTTATTATTAATCTGGTGACTCTCTCTCTACAAGCTGTAGATTACTAAGAACTCCGCAGCTCATGTCCTCTCTGGCACCAAGCTCCAGGAACCAATCGCCCCCACCCTCGCCCGGCTTCACTGGCTCCCTAATCCCCCAGAGGATTGAGTTCAAGACCCCCGTCCTCTCTGCGACCTGCTAAAACATTCCGCTCCCTCCGTTCGACAGGGCACAAGCCTGCTCCATGTCTCCCATCCTGCCCGCTCCATAATTCAGCCTTTTTTGCCCCCACCCTCTGGAACTCCAGCCAGGAGCCCTCTCACCTCACCCCCTCCTTTGCCTCCTTCAAGGTACCTCTCAAGACCTTCCTCTTTGACAGTGCCTTCGTTCATCTTCCCTCCCCCCCCCCCCCCCCCATCCCTTTGCCCTCCATCCCCTCTTGATCCAGCTTGGATGCTACTACTTATTTGTCCAGCGCCTTGGAATGTCCTTCCCACGTGAAAGGCGCTGTGTAAATGCAATCTGATGTTGTCGATGAGGTTTGATGTCTCGCGTGATTACATTTTCTGCCCTCGTCAGGGATTATGATGCCCTCGGATTAACTATGGATAAGCTGGACCGCGTGGAGCTGCTGGAATCAGTGCTGAGATTCATGAAGAAACGAATTGTAAGTACGGTTTGGCGAACTGTGCGAGCTTCAGGTCGGTGGCTCTAATGAGGGTCAGGTCAGTCATTGCAATGTGGCAGGTGGGACTTAAACTCACATGGTCTAAGATGACGCTCCATTGCAGCGCTGGGGGAGTGTTGCATTGTCGGAGGTGCCGTTTTTCGCATGAGATGTTAAACCGAGGTTCCCGTCTGCCTGTTCAGGTGGGCGTTAAAGATCCCGCGGCGCTGTTCGAAAAGAGAAGGGAATTTCTCTCTCCCGGTGTCCTGGCTAATAAATCCCCAAATAAAATTGGTTGCTCACTCCGTAGCTGTTTGTGGGATGCTGCTGTGTGCAAACTGGCTGCTGCGTTTCTCTACAAATAGCACAGTCACTTCCATTTCACAGTAATTCCCACATAAAGCGGTTTGAGATGTCCTTCCGACATGATATGGTGCTATACCAAATGCAAGGAATATTATACATGGAATCTTTCTCCCCGCTTTATCTTGGTTTACATTCCTCGTCCTAAATTATCCTAAATTTATAATAATCCTTGCATTTGCATTTAATAATCCTTGCATTTGATATAGCGCCTTATCACGTCTTTGAGCTGTCTCAAACCGCTTTGCCGAATATACTGTAAAGTGAATTGGCTTTATATTTTGTGGGTGAAACTCCTCCTTGGGGGGCAGGTAAGCGGGTTTTCCTTGGAGCTGAACTGGCTCCAAGGTGGCATATTTGGCAAAGGAATGCATGTTCCATTCCAACAATATACCGCTGGAACTTCCACGTGTAGGTGGGATGCATGGAATTTCGAGTTCGGAGACTCCTTAAGCACGGTGATGAGTTTCTGCATGTGTCAGACACCCGGCTGACCCCCCAAAAAAACAAATTTGGCTACTCATCTTATTGTGTGCAACTAGGTGTTTGACTGCATAACAAGTTAGTTAGATTTTGTGTCACACTTAGAGGCATTTATTTGCACTTTCCTATTATTAGCCGTCGTGGGAAAACGGTATGCTTATCTTGAATTGAATGGCAATTAGGAGTTCCCTGCATCTCGTGTTTGTGTTGAGAATCGAACTTCAAAATATTGGGGCCTTTGTGACGCTCCTTAATCAGAAATTTTCCTCAACAAGTAATAAGATTTTCCCAAACCTCTGCTGATTTCTTAACCGATGTTTCAATAAGAAACGTGGAATTGGCGGAAAAAAAATCACAGCAGAAAGTCATTCGATTTGGCAATTTGGCAGAAGCGCATTTCTTCTTGAGAAATCTGGAATATTTGAATATAATGATGAATATAATGATGAATCTAATAATAGAATCATAGAGTATTAGAGCACAGAAGGAGGCCATTTGGCCCATCATGCCTGTGCCAGCAGCTCTTGGGAGTCCCACTGCCCCGTGCTCTCCCCATATCCTTGCAAATTTTTCCTTTTCAAGTACCTATCCAATTCCCTTTTGAAAGTTGTTACTGAATCTGTTTCCATCACTCTTTCAGGCAATGCATTCCAGACCGTAATAACTATGCAAACAAATTTCTTTTCATTTCCCCTCTGGTTCTTTTGCCAATTTTTGTAAAACTATGTACCCTGGTTACTGAGCCACCTGCCACTGTTTCTTCCTATCTACTCTCAAAACCCCTCATAATTTTGGACACCTATTAAGTCTCCTCTTAACCTTCTCTGATCTAAGAGGAACAATCCCAGCTTCTCAAGTCTCTCCACATAACTAAAGTCCCTCATCCTTCGTAAAACTCTGGCAGATATCTTCTGGACCCTCTCCAAGATCTTGATATCTTTCCTAAAGTGTGGTGCATGGAATTGGACACAATACTCCAACTGAGGCCTGATCAGTAACAATTAAAGTGATACCAGAACTTCCTTGCTTTTATACTCTATAACAATAATAATTGATATAATAACAACTGATAAAACAATAGAATATCTGGAACGCACTGCCTGAAACTGCTTGATCTGAATTTCTGCCTGAAAGCAGTTTCAATAATAACTTTCAAAAGGAAATTGGATATATGCTTGAAAAGAAAAAATCTGCTATGGGGAAAGAGTGGGGGAGTGGAACTAGTTGGATAGCTCTTTCAAAGAATCAGCACAGGCACTCCTTTGCTGCAGGATTGTATGCTTCTATATGATTGTATAAATATCACGAGTTGGATAACTGGGTTCTTGCAGCAAGGTATATGGCAAGTATTTCTCACAAGTTTCTCTGAACTCGTCTCTTGTAGAAATCCACGAAATTTGTCTCCTGTTTATTGGATTTATTGGATAAAACACAAAAGGTAAGCGAAAAGGCAGATATTACTCCTATTTTTAAGGAAGATAACAAAAGTGATTCAGGAAACTACAGACCAGTAAGTTTGACGTCCATGGTGGGTAAAATTATGGAGACTCTTATTAAGGATAAAATTATGGAGCATCTGGACAGAAATAAAATCATAAATGATAGCCAATATGAGTTCTTGAAGGGAAGGTCTTGCCAATCTAATTTGCTGGTTTTCTTTGATGGTGTGACAAGGGAGCTTGATAACGGTAAGGCTGTTGATGTTGTATATCTGGATTTCAGTAAGATCCTCAGATCCTCATCCTCACCTACAAGGCCATTCACGGCCTTGCTCACTCCTACCTCTCCGACCTACTATCCCCCTACTTACCTGCCCGTACCCTCTGCTCCTCTGGCTCCGGTCTGCTCCACATCCCCCGCACTAACTGCCCTACTATTGGTGGCTGGACCTTCAACCTCTCAGCCCCGAGGCTCTGGAACTCTATCCCCCAGTGCCTTCGCCGCCTCCTCCCTTTCCTCCTTCAAGGCCGGTCTCAAGACCTTTCTCTTTGACCGTGCCTTCACCTCCCCTCTCGACTCTCTACCCCCTCCTCGCTCCCTCCCTTCCTTCCCCTCACCCTGACCATGTCCCCGCTGCTCGGGTCCCAACCCAACTGTCCAGCGCCTTGGGACGTCCTCCCGAAGTGAAAGACGCTCTATAAATGCAATCTTGTTGTTGTTGTTGTTGTTGTAAGGCCTTTGATACAGTTCCTCTTAAGAGGCTGGTACTAAAAGTAAAGAAAGAGGGAATCAGTGGAGGTATATTACAAAGGATATGCAACTGGTTGACCGGAAGAACCCAGAAGGTGCTGGTATAGGGAATGTCATCACACTGGGAAAATGTGACCAATGGAGTTCCACAAGGGTCTGTTGTGAGACTTCTTTTGTTTAATATTTTTATCAGTGATCTGGAACTAGGAGTCGCAAGCCCAGTGGCTCAGTTTGCAGGTGACATCAAGCTAATGAAAGTGGTAGATTGCGAAGCTGAACAAGATAGGTTACAGGAGGATTTGAACATACTTGGGAATTGGGCAGATCGGTGGCAGATGAAACGTAACATGGAGAAATGTAAAGTACTTCACATGCAGACAAAAAATCCAGGAAGAGACTATTAATTGAACAGAAGAAAAATAATATGTATGTAAAATGAAAAGGACCTGGGGGATCTGATTGACAATAAACTGAAGCTCTCCCAACAATACTCTGTGGCAGCGAGTCAAGCAAGGTGTTGGGATGTATCGAAAGATCGACAGCAAGCCGAAATAGAGGGGTAATCCTGCCATTGTATAAATCTTTGGTGAGACCATACTTGGAGTACTGTGTATAGTTCTGGTCACCGCAGTACAAAAAGGATATTGAAGAAATCAAGAAGGTACAAAGTAAGGCAACCAAGACGATTGAGGGAATGGAAGGACTGAGCTATGAGGAGCGACTGAGGAAATTGGGCACGTTCACGCTGGAAAAGAGAAGATTGAGAGGCGACATAATTACTGTCTTTAAGATTCTAGAGGGGCAAGACAATATTGATCATGACAGGCTGTTTCAACTCGTCCAGGATAATAAAACCAGAGGGCACGGCCTGCGACTGAAAGGGGGTAAATTCAGAACGAATCTAGCCAAACACTATTTCAGTGAACGAACAGTGAACCTGTGCAACAAGCTCTCCAGGGACACGGTTCAAGCAGGAAGTGTTGATTCTCTCAAACACAGATTAAGATCGTTTTCTTTTAGGAAATCACACTATGGGATACAGTACGTGGGTAGTTTGGGACACATGTGCATGCGACCGCCAGGAAGGTGGAAGCCGAACTAGATGGACCTCGGTCTTTTATCGTATGACGTTTTCTGATGTTCTTAAAAGAAAATTCCTTCAATAAAGGAATTTCAACCTGAGAGGACATCACTAAGTTCCGGTGTTAACCTGGCTCAGCCGGTCGCTCTCTCTCCGCTCTCGAGTCAGACAGCTACGGGCTCGGGCCGCTCACATCAGGTATCTGAGCTCACGGTCTAGGCCAGGGGTGGTCGAACAGTCGGCCCGCAGGCTACTACATCTGGCCTGGGTGGGGGGTGGGGGGGTGGGCGATTGATTACATCCGGCCCGCGGGCCGCTTCCAGCTGCATTGTCCAATGAGCAGATGGAAGCCGATGAGCAGGCCCCGAGCCAATCATGGCTCCCGAGACAGACAGTCAACAACAACAGCAACAACAACTTGGATTTGTATAGCTCCCTCCACACCAGACGGCGCCTCAGAGCGCTTTAACGCGCGGCTTAAGGGGCCGCTGCCTTGTCGGAGGCGCCGCCCTTCAGAAGTGGGGACGAGCCCAGGGCCCGACTTCAGGCGGCGGCCTGCGCGGATCCCACCAGGCCGCTGGAAAGGAGGAGGGAACCAACCGCCCGCGGTTGCTGTAATTCGGTCGGTCGCAACTCGGCCGCTTGGGCGAACTCGCCGCACGAGTCGGCGGCTGCGGGCCTCCGCAACCCGGCAGGCAGTCGCCACGCACGCGAAGGGCTCCGGCGCCTTTTGGATCTTGGGCATCGAGTGGCAAGGAGCGATGATTCTTTAAAACAGCAAACGTTCCAAAAGTTCGCTTACCCCGTCACCTCTTCATCTTCCTCTCTTCCCTTCTTTCTGCCTTTGGCTGTTGTGTCTTGAAATTTATTATGATAATAATAATAATCCTTGCATTTGATGTAACGCCTTATCTGGAGCTAAATGGAGTTGAGGTACACATCAGCCGCGATCTGATAGAATGGTGGAACAGGCTCGAGGAAGGGGGCTGAATTGGCTTACTCCCTTTCCTATGCTCCTGATTTTGCTCCACCTCAAATTTGAAGGCCCCACGGCCTTACGGGCTAAGACTAGATGGAATTCAGGGCATCTGGCCTCTTGAAAGTTTCTTTGGTCCGTGTGAACTTGGCGTCTTGTGGGAGCTGCTCTCAGACTGGCGGGGGTGGGGGGGGGGGGGGGGGGGGCGCGGAGGGTAGCTCCGGAACTACTACTCCTCCTCTCCCTCTTGACTCGTTCCTTCCCGTTTCCGCAGGCCAACTGTGACCTGGATGGTGTCATTGCCCTGATCGAGAAGACGGGAGAGTTCAACTCGTTGCGAGGAGAGGTCAATTTCAGAAAGAGGAGGTTACGCATGACAGCCATTGCCATTTGCTGCTTTCAGTGTAAGTAAAGCGCCCCAAGACGTAAGGGATGAGTCCAGCCCCGGCTCGCTAACTACGACCTGAGTCCTGTTCACGACTCTTGGTGGACTGCGCGGGGAGGAAGGGACCTGTCTCGCGCAGGGATCGACCAAGCCGCTTTGATCTCTCAATCCACGACCGTTCGCGGGGTCGTTGCTGTGCTGCAGTTGGTTGCTGCGTTTTGCCCACAACATATACCGTCCAAATATACTTTGCGGGATATTCTGTGAAGCGCTTTGAGCCGTCTCAACAATGTGATCAGATGCTATATCAAATGTAAGGGTCGTTATGATTATTATTATTATTTCTGCCCACAGATGCTTTTTGTGTAAAGATGGCGGCCGTAGATAATGAGAACCTGCACTCGCTAAAGAGTTACGTAGGCAGTGAACAGGTACTGTACAAGTGAGAGTAAGAAATGCGGGGTAGAGATATTAGTTGTGTGTGCGAGTCTCGGTCTTTCTTTCCTTCCCTCTTTTTATTCCCTTTCCAAATATGGAAGAATCTTGTCACGCCATCATGTTTCTTCACGTCTTATCTTCTGAGTTTTGTAATTTAGCGCAATCTGACTCGATCATAGAACCTTACTTTCGGAGCATAATGTCCGTGCTGATGAACGGGCAATCTATTTAGTCCCATTTATCTCCCACCCCCACCCCCGCCTCAACCCCTGCAGATTATTCCTCTTCAGATTATTATTATTATCTATCTAGTTTTCTCTCAAGCATAATATTATGTTAAGCATTCCACGACACTGCCCTGCATGAGGTTCCGCTATATAAATTGCAAGTTGTTGTAATCTGGATCCTGCCTCAACCACTGCAGTTCACAGGGTGTTCTGCTACCTAACAACTCTCTGACGAAAGGTCTCCTCGTCTACCCCTTTCCTCCCTTATGACCTGTCTGAAGATTGTGCGTAAATGTGGACTAAAGCTTGACGTGCAGAAGTGAGTCGTCGTACGGAGTTAAAGAGACTTATTTTTAAAATGGCGAAACACTGCTTTTCGAGCCACTGAAAATAAGACAGCGATGGGAAGAGGGCAGGGCAGTGGGATTGATAGTACAGGTGTCCACAAAGTTCTCTTATCTCTATGTTTTCCCTACAGTGCACTGACCCACAACTGAAACATGTGGGTCTAAATGATGGTATTTAGAAGTACTTAACTCCACAGCTCCTGTCCTCTCCCGCACGAGGCTCCGTGACCTATCACCCCCCACCCTCGCCCGGCTCCGCTGGCTCCACTGGCTCACCATCTCTCAGAGGATAGAGCTCAAAATCCTGGTCCTCACCTTTAAGGCCCTCCACTGTCTTGCCCCTTCCCACCGCTGTGACCCGCTAACCCTTTGTCAACCTGTCCGCTCAGCAGGCTCCAGCCCACCCCGCCATCGGTGGTCGGGCCTTCAGCCTCTCTGCCCCAACTTCATTCCTTTCGCCTCGCTCCCTCCCTCGCCTCTTTCAAGACATGTCTCAAGATCATCTTCAACCTTGCCTGCAGCCACCCGATCTACCCTCCCGTATCCCAACCCCGCACAGCTCAGGTCCAGATCCCTGACTGGGTGGGTGAGTGAGTGTTTTGTAATGGGGGTGGGCGGGCGGGGGGTGGAGTAAGAGGACTTTGTGGACACCCTGTATATAGCATGTTCTAAGAGCCAGTGCAGGCTGGGTGGGCTTTCTTCCGCGCTGTAAATGTCTATGAATCTGTAGGTTGGTGTGGATGAGAACGGGAAGGTCTTGAGCAACGAGCAATGAAACGTGGGCGATCTCAAATTTCTCTTTATTTTGCCAGTTGAAGAAAAGCGAAGACTATAAAACCAAAGGCAATGAAGAGTTCAACAAAGGAAACTACTCAGCTGCTGTCAGCCTATACTCCAAGGCAATAGATATGAGGTACGTGCTGTTTTGAGGAGTGTTAACGATTTCCAATTATAGTGACTTATTTATTTATATAAATGTAATGTGTTGTTAACGTAGGATTTTAAAACATGCAGAATTTAACGTTGTTGAATTCAATCTTAACGTTGATCTCGGGTTCTGTTTGTCCTGGAAAGAAACGTACAGAAAAACAGCTTCAACATCGAGGGCTGTGTTTAAGAATTCACCCAATCTTGGACGTTCTGAAATGCTATATTAATAATAATCCTTGCATTTGATATAACACCTTATCACGTCTTCCGAGACGTCTCAAAGCCTTCTCAGAATATTCTGTAAAGTGAATCGACTGTGTATTTTGTGGGTGAATTGCGGCAGCCAATTAGAGTTTGTGGGACGCTGCTGTGCGCGATTGGCTGCTGCGTTTTACCCACAAAATGCACAGTCAATTTACTTTACAGTATATTCTGTGAGGGGCTTTCAGACGTCTCAACGATCAAATGCAAGGATTATTTTATTAATAAATCTACACCGGCCAGGTGGAATTGCTCTACCTAAGTTAGCTGTTGCATTTGCCCACAAAATACACAATCACCACACGTGACAGTGTGTCCTGGGAAGCTCTTTGGAACATCCTCAAGCTGTTGTAAGTGATTGGAACAGAGTGCACTGAAGGAGAATGGTGTGAAATTCTAACTTACACTTGCATGCAACTCTGACTCTGAGGCTTTGAGCCAAGATCGCAAGATTGGTCTGGATGAAGAAGACCCTTCAGCCCATCCAATCTCATCCCTCCAGAAAGCCCACCCAAATGCCTACCCCACCCCCCCCACCCCCATCACTGCATCACGATGCTTTTCAAACGAGTCCCAGTATCCTGGCCTCAACCACCCTTCCTGGTAACCCTGCTCCAGTTGCGTTTCGTCCACAAAATACACAGTCAGTTCACTTTACGGTATATTCTGTGACGCACTTAGACATAATGACGTGATAAGGCTCTGTACCAAATGCAAGGGTTATTATTATTATTGTTGATTTCCCTTCTGGGTAAAGAAAAGCTTTCTGGTGTCTGTCCTGAAATTCCTCTGTGTAACTCTAAACTTAGGTCCTCTTGTTCTACTGCCGTGTTGCATCCTAAAGTCGATGAACTCCCCCCTCTCGTCTTCTCTCAAGACTGAAGAGCCCCAGCTTGTCCAGTTCATAGCTCAGTCCTCAAACACCAGAGAGCATCCTCGCTGCCCTCCTCTGCACACTACCTCTAGGGCCTAGGTAGTCTCTCTTTGTGTTGTGGTAACCAGAGCCATGTATAGTATTCAAGGTGCAGCCTGACCAAAGCACTGTACTGCCTGAGTATGAAGTGTGAGGATCTAAACTCAACTGTTGTAGCCCAGCGTAGAATTGCAGAGAATGTAATAAACATGAAAACACTTATATTATTGTTATATTGTAACACGCCATTCGGCCAAACCAGTCTGCTGATTATTAATCGTTAAGACACTTATACTCTACTCTCTTTTATTTTCTTTCAGTCCAATCAATGAAATTCTATATGGAAACCGAGCCCTCTGCTTTTTACGTATAGAAAATTACGGGTAAGTGCGAAAAACCCATCGCTTTGAAATGTTTTGATACGATTCCTCCTGACGTGAAAGCCGCTCTATAAATGGAATCTTGTTGTTGTTGTTGATAAGTCGCTGAGTTTTCAACCTGAGCCTCTGCAACATTGCCCCTGTCCGTCCTTCTCCCCTATAAGCGGGGATCCTGTAGCGCATCGCAAGTCTGTATAGAGCATTGGGTAGAGCACTCGCTTTGCAAGCGAGAGGACCTAGGTTCGATTTCTGGGCAGAGCAAAACCCTACGCAAGTTTCCTTACACTATACTTCTCTGTTTGCCTAGCAGTAAGTAGAAACCTGGTTGTAGTCGATTGATGGATCGCTTTCTGGGGGTAAATATCCCTTTTCCCCTGTAATAATCCCTCTGTCTGTATACGTGTATCTGTACACGTGTGTGTACACGTGTGTGTCGGTGTATGTGTGTGTGTGTAGACACGTGTGTGGGTGTGTGTACACGTGCGTGCTTGTGTGTGTGTGCGCATGTGAGACGCGTTGGGCAATCCCGGAAAGCAGTAGGCGCCGATTGGCAAAAGCCAAGGCATGTGTGAGAATGTTTCAGCGTGTGGGTGAGTGTGTATGCGTGCAGGCGTATGTGAAGATGTGAGTGAATAAAGATGTGTGTGCGTATTTGTGAGAGCCTGTGAAACATGTCGGGCAACTTTTTGTTAACCAAACACCAATGGGTTACGCGAACAGACTTCAGAAGCTCCATTGTGATAGCTTCGGGAAACAGTACAAGCAGTCACCAAACCGGTTCGACTTGCCCATATTCTAAAGCAGTTCCTCATTACTCGCTGGGAATTTTGTGCCCGCCTGGCTCCGTCAGTAGCACGCTCGCCTCTAAGTCAGAAGTTTGGGTGGTTCAAACCCCCACATCAAGGGCTTTGAGCTCACAGTTCAGATTGGCGCTCCAGTGCAGTGATTACGTCACTGGTTGTAGTGTCAATGCTCTCAGACATTTCATACTGACCGTTGCTGCTCACCGGCAAGCTCACAGGGAGTTCCTGGTACCAGCCATCCAGTTAGGGAGGATTCAAACCTCCACTTGTCGGATGTCAACTGTTCTCCTTGTGGGAAAGGTAAACCAGGTCTCCTCGGGGCTGAGCTGGGTCTAGAGTCACAAGCTCGACAACAGAATGTGAAGGTCTTTACAACAACAACAAGATTACATTTGTATGGCGCCTTTCACGTCGGGAGGACGTCCCAAGGTTCTGGACAGTGTACAGGATTTCAGACCCGAGCTGGGGTCAGGGGGGAGAAGGGATGGGAGGGGAAGGGGGTGGCCGATGGTGTGGTCGAAGAGGAAGTTTTGAGGCGGGACTTGAAGGAGGCTAAGGAGGGGGCAAGGCGGAGTGACTGGGGGATGGCGGTGGACGAGGTGATGTGAGGGTGGCGGCGGACGAGGCAGAGGTGGCTGAACGTATCCCCTCGATTTTGGATTCGAGGAATTCCAGCATCTCCTCACAGTTGGAGTTTGAGGAGAGGATGGGCGAGGCGTGTGAGGGTGGGCGGAGGAGACGGTTTGTGGTGGAAAAGAGAAGCCGGGGGCTGTCCTTTGCCAGATAACCTTGGAGTAGAAGGAGGATTTGGCGGTGGCAAGAGCGCAGCGGTAGGTATTGGTGTGGTGAAGCCAAATCTGCTGATGGACCATTAATTTGGATTTGGTCCAGGCGCGTTCGGCAGCTCGCACTTCTGCCTTGAGGGAACGGAGATGGCTGGTGTACCAGGGGGATTTACGGGAGCATGAGGCAGTTCAGGAAGTGGGGGGAGCAAGGGAGTCTAGAATGGAGGAGAGGGAGTTGTGGAGAAAAGAGAGTGAGGACGGGAGATCGGTCAGTGAGGCCCAGAGGTGTAGGAGTTCAAATGACTCCAGGGCAGTGGAGAAGGAGAGGGAGGTGGTCCGAGATGGCTTTATCGATGATGGTGGTGTCCGAGACAGTGAGGCCCCGGGTGATCACCAGGTCAAGGGGGTAACCACGGACGTGGGTGGGGGAGTGGATGAGGAGGGAGAGGTTAATGGAAGAGAGGAGGGAGGAGAAGTCGGCAGAGGAAGAGTAGGAGGGGTAAAGTGGAGGTTGAAATTGCCTAAGATTAGGAAGCATTCAGAGCAGAGGGAGAGGGAAGATAGGAGGGTGGAGATGTCTGAGATGAAGGTGGGGAAAGGCTTGGGGGGACGGTAAACAAGGAGGATTTTGAGGGAAAACCTGGAGAGGTGGTGGAAGGTAAGGTGTTCAAAGGAAGGGAAGGTTCTGGAGGAGTAAGGGGAAAGGCCGAGGGGGGATTGGGAGATGAGAGCCACTCCACCGCCACGGAGATTAGGCCGTGGAGTTTGGTGAAAGGTGTAACCTGGAGGTGTGGCCTCGACTAGTGGGAAGGTGTCGCCTGGGGTGACCCAGGTTAGTTGAGGGCGAGGATGTCGATGTTTCCTCGACGGTGAGGTCATGGATTGTGAAGAACTTGTTGGTTAGTGAGCGGACATTCTGCAGACCGATGCGGAGGGGACAGTTAGTGGTAAGAGTGTGGGGGAGATGGTGGGGTGAGGGGCTGGGCAGACGGGTTAGATGGGGACGTGAGTGAGGGAGGAAAGGTTGGCTCCCGTGGGTGAGGGCAGGTGGGCCTTGCGGCGGGAGTGTGGGAAGGGATAGTCAGGGTGGGTGCTGTGGGACAGCCGACGGCGTCTACCACGGAGGGCACGACGGAGAATGTGAAGAGAGGAGCAGAGGGAGGCCGTGGGGGAGTCGAGGAGGGATAGCAGTCGAGGCAGGCAGAGGGAGAGGAGAGTCCGATTCCTGAGCCAGGCGGGACTGCAGTATTCCAGGGCACTGCTGACAACCAACCTGGATCATCGGCAGGACTTGGAAGGGCAGACCAGTCACTGGGGGAAGGGAATCTTCCCACTCAGCTCCTGTTAACCCTGCAAGCCAAAGCCCCAATGGGTAAGGTGGTCCTAACTGGACAAGCAGCGGGAAAGCTTGCCAGACAGCACGCTCAATGGCAAACTGGTTAGCTGGTTAGACTCCAGCAGTTACCCCAACGCACACACTGGGGTCCACAAGCTTCGGCTCCGGCCAAACCATGCCAACTACTTCCCAGGATTAGGTAAGCAAGGTACGTTACCCTGGACGGAGAGTGAGCATCCCATTCCGGACACAGGGAAAGTTTAGATAGGTGGCAAACATGTGTGGAACTCAGTCTAATTCGGATACTTACAAGCACAGCGATGGGTTTCCATGGGTGGCAGACACCTGGCTGACCAAATAAAATGCACGTGTCTATATCCTGCAGTATCGAGTCTCAGGTAGTGAACACAGTGGATGTTTTAACAAGCGCTGGTACCTCAGACAAAGGTAGCACTGTGACATAAACTATTACTGTCTGTCACAAGGTTCTCAGCTCTGTGAGGATCTCAAAGGGCTGAGAATCCGCTGCTGGTGTTCTTTATGCCCTTTCGAGGGCTTCCCTCCCCCGGTTGACGGTCAGTTTGTGGACATGACACCTCAACTGGCACTTCCAATTTGGCCATTGCGTTCCTCTCACTCCCATCATCTTTTTTAAAACAATAGTCATCCTCACACTTGAGTCCCGTAGCGCAGTCGTTACAGCAGTTGCCTCGCAAGCGAGAGGACCTAGGTTCGATTCACGGGCGGGGCGAAACCTTAGCCAGGTTTCCTTACTCCACACACCCGGTTACCTAGCAGTAAGTAGGAACCTGGTTGTTAGTCGAATGGCGGATCGCTTTCTGGGGCAAAAATCCCTAAAAAATAGTCAAATCAAACGACTGTTTGTGGGACACTGCTGTGCACAATTAGCTGCTGTGTTTCACCCACAAAATACACAGTCAATCCACTTTACAATATATTCTGCGAAGCGTTTTGAGACGTCTCAACGAGGTGATGGGGTGCTGTTTGAAATGCAAGGATAATTAATATTTTTCCTTAAACACACAGAAATGCACTCGGTGACGGAAAAAGAGCCACTTTGTTAAAGTCTGATTGGCCGAAGGTGAGAGCTGTGGTTTGTATATTTGTAAAGCCCCAGCCCCCGACCTCCACCCCCCCCTCACTGTGTTATTGTTAACACATCCCAACTCCTCTCCGCTTCCTTTTAAGAATGGCGGAAAACCGTCCCAAATTCACTTCGTGCAGAATTTTGCAAGCCTCGATCTTAGATGCAAATGTTTTGGTTAGAGCACTCGCCTCGCAAACGAGAGGGCCTGGGTTCCACTTATACCTCCCCCACCAAGGGGGCGTTTCACCCACAGAATACACAGTCAATTCACTTAACAGTATGTTCTTGTGAACCGCTTTGAGACGTCTTTGAGACATATATCAAATGCAAGGATTATTATTGTTACTAAGGCCGAGACCGCGTGGACATGCCTAGCCTCGTGCTGCAGAGTATGAGTGAGTGGTGCCGGTTTGCTTGACCTTTGTGAGTGTGACCCATCGATCGGCACTGAACGTTTCCAGTGTTTGTTGTGCGTTCGGACATGCGACACTGAAACTGTTTACCGTATCTCTATTCCGCTTGTGATGTAAATGTTCTTCCCAAGTCGCGGGTGGAATACCTCTGGCCTCGCTCCCCCAATCACCTGCCCCCAATGTCAGAAGTTCACAATACAGTCATGCCCCAAAATAGCGCTTACTACTACTATTATATTAATAAAGGCTCCCCTTTTGGTCTGGAAATTGAATGTGGCGCAGAATGGTGCAAAGTTCTTCAATCCTGTCTTGATTTGAGCCAGTTTTTCCACCGTTTGTAAAAGGTTGTTGAATGTCCCACAAACAGTCATGGAGTTAACAAGAGCAACGAATTATGTTTGTACAGTGCCCTTCACATTGGAAGGACGTCCCAAGGCGCTGGACAGTCGGGGATTTGGACCCGAATTGGGAGTTGGGATCAGGAGGGGGGGGAAGGTTGGGGGTAGGAGGATGACCGAAGGCCCGGTGGAGGAGGAAGGTCTTGAGACCTTGCCTTGAAGGATTCAAGGGAGGGGCGAGGCGAAGGGCCTGCGTAAGACTAGGTGGAATTTGGGGCCTCGGCAGTTTGAGAGCAACAAAACCAGCCACGGATGTGGCAGCTCGGTTTGCTCGAGCGGGTGTGTAGCTTGTGTTGAGTTTTGTAGCGTACCAATTGGTGGCTCATCCCAGACGACCCTTTTCACGCTAGTGATCTTCTTCCCTACCGCTTTCCCTCTCCCCCCCCACCCCCTCCTCCCTTCCATTCAGCTGACTGGGGCTTGTTCCCCGGCCTCACCACCAGCCGCCCAGCAATCAGTTCCTATGTCCTCAACCTCTGGAAATCCCTCTATCTACCACTCCATCTCTCGTCTATCTTTTAAGACCTACCTCAAAACCTACCTCTTTGAACGCGCCTCTCCCTCTCCCTCCCCCCCCACCGCCCCACAAACTCATCCGACCCCATCCCTGTACAGCTCTGAGATATTTCCCTACCTGTAAGGTGCTGTATATTAATTGGTCTGGATGCAGAAGACCCTTCAGCCCATCCAATCTCATCCTTCCAGAACACCCACCCAGATGCCTCCATTCCCCCCCTACCCCACAATCATTGGATCAAGATGCTTTTTAAACGGGTCCCAACCACACTTCCTGGTAACCCTACTCCAGGTGTGTTTCACCCCAAAAATACACAGTCAACTCACTTTACACTATATCCTGTGAAGCGCCTTTGAGATATCTCAACAACTTGATAAGGCGCTGTATTAAATGCAGGGATTTTTATTATTAATATAGAGCCCTATCACGTCGTTGAAACGCCCACTGTAAAGTGAATTGACTATATTTTCCAGGCAAAAGTGCACATAAATGTCAATATAAGATTAGACTAGAGAAGCTAGGATTGTTCTCATTGGAGCAGAGAAGGTCAAGGGGAGATTTAATAGAGATTTGTTCAAAATTATGAGGGGATTTGGTAGAGTGAACAGGGAGAAACTGTTTCCACTGCCGGGTGGGTCGGTAACCAGAGGACACAGCGAGTTGTTCGGATCTCAAATGCACTTCCTGAAAGGGTGGCGGAAAGCCGACTCGATAACAATTTTCTAAGAGAGAAGAGGATAGCTATTTGCGGAGGACATATTTGCGAGGCTACGGGGAGAGCGCGGAGGAGGGTGGGAGGCGGGGTGAGATTAATTTGCGTAGTTCTTTCAAGAGTCGGCACGGGCACGACGGGCCAAATGGCCTCCTTCTGTGCCATATAAGTCTACGGTTCTAAGTGCGGGTTGTTGTGGATGACTCTTAACTTTGATTTGCCAGGGTCACTATCGTTTCTGCACTGCCTTGTTTTCGATGGGGGAGCATCAGCGGGCCATCAGTGCCAACATCACAGCACAGTCGCTGTGCAAGCAAAACCAAGAGGGGTTTCAGGACCTCGTCCAGCAGAAGAAAAAGTTCACCAGAAGACAACAGGAAGCAAGCCGTGGTATTGGTTTTTTAACCCGTGTATTTTACGTGTTTGATGTCGGGGTTGTCATGATGATAGAGCGACAATTCTTGCGTTCGAGGCAGCCTTGAAGCAGTTCGCTCGGTTTCTGTTTCAGCCAGTTTGCGCGCAGAAACGTCCCCGCGAACAGACACGAAGGGAGCGACTGATTTTTCTAGGTGGAGTGGGGGGTTAGGGTTAGGATTGGGGGGGTGGAAGGGGAGATTGTCGGCCAGGACACTGCAGTGGCAGTTTGGGGGATGTTTAATGTCCACCTGGCCTTGGGGACTGAATGAGACAACAATAGACCTCACCCTGGGGGACAACAGTTAGATTCTGCGGGACTTTTCGGGCAGACTTGGTTTAAACAACATCAACAACAAATTACATTTACACATGACAGCACAGTCGCTGTGGTGTGGCAGAGAGCAGTGAAGGACACCGGAGTGAATCCAACTCCCAGTAGGGTGTGGCTCAACACCCCCAGCTTGGCTGTCAGAGGGCGAGGCTTATTATTTTTTTAGTGAAATAAATAGAAGTGCACGTTCGGCAGCTAAGCACATACAACTCCTAGTCACTGCAGGATCGCCTGCCTGGAGCAGTGAGTTTACTGGTTAATGTGGTGCGCGCGTGTGTGTGCGTGCACGTGGTGTGGTGTGGCGTGTGCCTGTGTATATGCCTTTAGCCTTGGGTGTGTGCATCAGGCTTTTAGGCTTCCTGCCCACCCCGCCCTCTGGAACTGCCTCCCTCGCCTTCTTCAAAGCCCGTCTCAAGGCCTTCCTCTTCGACCGTGCCTTTGGCCATCTTCCCACCACCTTTGCCAGAGCGAGAAGCAAGAGTTGCGGAACGGTGAGAAAGCAGTTTCTCCAGACCAGCTAGCTCCCGGTTACAAGTTGGTCACCCACTTACTTTGTGGCTGTTTGTGGGATCTCTCAAAGCGATTCCTCAAGTTTCTGTAAAGTGCAGTGACTGTGTGTTTTGTTGGCGATCGCAGCAGCTTACGCAAAATTGGCTGCCGGGTTCGCCTACAAGTACCCGGTCACTACACTTCGCAGCAAATAGCTGTTCGGAGATATCTTGGTACTGACACCACTGTATCAGATGCAGGGATTACAACAACGATTTTACATTTATATCGATCCTTTCACATTGGGAGGATGTCTCAAAATGAATTATTGATATTATTAGTAATTACATATTAACTTCCTAACTATGTATGCGCTGGTAATGCATTAGAGAGTCGATGTTGCCTCTTGACTTCCGTTGAGTATCTCTCTCTTTCTCTCTCTGCGCCTCTCTCTCTCTTTGCCACTGCCTGCCTCTCTCTCTCTCTCTCTCTATCTATCCCCTTCTCTTCTTCCACCCCCTCCCCCCCATCCCACAACGCCCACCCCTGTTCTGGTGCGTCTCCCTATTAATATGAAGAGATTAGGGAAATGGGATCCCAGTAGATAACTACAGTGTGGGTGGTGGGGTAGCAAGTTCCAGCACAGTTATAATGAGCCAAATGCTTCCTATGCTTTGCTTCTTTGACCCTCTCTCTATATTAGTGCTTATGTTGAGCATTGATGCCTCAGAGTGTTCATGTTGTTTGAGGCCTGGTAATGATGACTGTCGTTGAGATTGTTGGTGAGAGTTCACGCTTGTGTTTATTCCTCTTATTTATTGTCCTTTTTACGCTCTGAAAAAGCACAAGTGAAGAGTTTTTTTTTTGGAGGTGGGGAGGTTGGGCTCTTCATTCCATTAATCAAACATTTGTTTGTTCTTTAGATTGTGGAAAACCGAGGACGGATAGGTTAAAGAATGAGACGTTTGCTAAAAAGTGAGTCAGCGACACAGATTTAAAATAAAAATAATTGGCAAAAGAACCAGAGGGGAGGTGAGGAGAATTATTTATTTTCTTTAACCCAGAGAGTTGTCACGATCTGGAATGCACTGCCTGAAAGGATGCTGGAAGCTGATTCAATGATAATTTTTAAAGGGAATTGGATAGGTACTTGGAAAGCATAAAATTGCAGGGCTGTGAGATAAGAGCGGGGGAGCGGGACGAGTTGGTGGCACTTTCAAAGAGCCGGCAAAGGCACAATGGGTCGAATGGCCTCCCAAGATTGTAGGAACAGCAAGCCGTCTAGCGTTCTGAGCCCTTGTGTAAAGTCCCAGCCAGAATCGGACACAAAAAGCAAGTGTGGTTGTGTATAGGGTTCTTTTGCAATAAAATATAGGATGCCTACAGCGCAGCTGAAGGAATGAACGTCGCTGAACTAGCGCTAGCTCTCCCACTGGAGCTCTCAACCCTGGTCCCATTCCCCTGCTTGGAAAGAGCACCAGCACGGACACAATGGAGAAAAAGTAGGGAATGGGATCAGAGCGAAGAGCTCCAGTGAGAGAGCGAGCACCAGCACAGACACGATAGGGAAAGAATAGGGAATGGGATAAGAGAAGAACGCTCCAGTGGGGGAATGAGCATCAGGCACAGACACGATGGGAGGGGAAAAGCAGGAAATGGGATGAGAGAGCTCCAGTGGGGGAGAGAACACCAGCACAGACATGACGGGGAGAGAGCAGGGAATGGGATTAGAGTAGAGAGCTCCAGTGGGGGAAGCGAGCACCAGCACACACACGATGGGCCGAACAGTCTCCCTTTCGGCTGAAAACCTGTGATTCCAACTCTTTAACACGTTCAAACGATTCAAGGATTCCTGTTAGACCAAGACGTGTGTTGTGTTTTCAAAAGGACTGACGGTGGTCAAGCCTCAGAGCTGAGCTCCCGGGAGTCAAAGGGCGTTAAAGATGCCTGCAAGCACGAAAAGGACTCAAACACTCGGGTGCAAAAGGATGTGGGGAAATGTGAGACCGACAGCAAGGTATTGGTGACGAAGTTGTGGCAGCGAATGATGAGTGACAGATCTTTGGCTGTTGAGGAGACTAATTCAACTTGCGGTGTATCCCGCGAAGTGCTTTGAGATGTCTCGAAGAATTGATAAGGCGCTGCATCAAACGCAACGATTCATTTTTGCAAAGCTTGATTCCGGGGGCCCTGCCAACATTGTCAGCGGGGCCCCTGGGCTACCGAAATTAGTGGAAGGATGTCTTACCTTGCGGTGCAGCTATTGCCTGGAGGGTGGCCGGTGTGGGCCCAGAGAGGCCAGGGATTAGCTGTGGCGAGTTGTCCCATCATGTCAAGGCACCCCCCCCCCCACCCCGCGCGGGTTAGGGTTGCACGTGCCCTATTGCTGCCAGTGGTTTGGGCATTAATTCTTGCCTGATGCATTCAGATCTGCAAGGTTCCTGCAAGATATCACCCTTGCGGCTCTTCAAGATCCTTCCACTTGATCAGGCCCTATAATTGTGTAGTCCTGTAGGGTAGTGGTTAGAGCGCTCACCTCGTAAACGAGAGGACCCGGGTTTCATTCCCGTGCAAGTTTCCTTACTCCACACGCCTCTGTTTGCCTAATAGTAATTAGGAACCCAGTTGTTTGTCGGTTATGGTCCCTCAAAAAAAAATTAGTCACTCAATCCACGGCATGTTTGTGGGACACCGCTGTACGCAATTGGCTGCCACGTTTCGCCCACAAAATACGCAGTCAATCCACTTCACAGTCTTATTTTGTGAAGCGCTTTGAGACGTCTCAATGACGTGATAAGGCGCTATACCAAATGCAAGGATTATTATTTATTTATTTTAAGAAAACGAGTTCTTTTTTCTTTCCCGTCCTACAGTCTTCTTCCACATAATGCAACGTTGTTAGTGAGTTAAGTCGGGTGTGTGTGTGTGTGTGTGTATGTATATCTGCATTCAGTTCTTTGAATGAAATCAACCACTTGTTCTATTGGTTTTGCCCATTAGCAACCTGGATCTGTCACGGATTTAGAGGCTAACCGGGACGGTACCACTGGCCACTCAATAGGTAACTGGATTTTCTTTTGGAGCCTTGAGACCAGCTCAGCCTTTTATGCAGTTGCAATGCCCCCTCAGTCGGTGGCGCTCTCACTTCCGTGTCCAGATGGTTGTGGGTTCAAGCCCCGACGATGGCATTGGAAACTCAAATCATCTAACCTGACGCTCTAGGGAACCCTTCCAATCCCAAACCCCCCCCCACTCCGGGTGGGAAATTGAATAGAAATCATCTGCCTGTTCAGGTGGACGTGGAAATCCCTTGACACTCATTGAAAAGAGAAGGGAGTTTTCTCTTGCATACATGGAATCCTGTAGCTGAGTGGTTAGAGCACTCGCCTCGCAAGCGAGAGGACCTGGGTCCGATTCCCAGGCAAGGTGGAAACATAGAGCAAGTTTCCTTACTCCACACGCATCTGTTTACCAAGCAGTAAGCAGTAACCTTGTTGTTATTCAATCAGCGGATCACTTTTCCAGAGGTAATAAACCCTTCAAAAAAAAAAATAACAAATCGGTCACTTAATCCACAACTGGACTGTTTGTGGGACGCTGCTGCGCGCAATTGGCTCCCGCGATTCGCCCACAAAATATAGTCAATTCAATTTTACAGTATATTCTGTGAAGCGCTTTGAGAAGTCTCAAAGACGTGATAAGGCTCCATATCGAATGCAAGGATTATTATTATGCATGTCCACATTGGGCCACTGAACTCACAGTCTAGACTGACGCTGGGGAAGCTGTGCTGTCTGAGGTGCGGTTGAGACGTTAAACCGAGGCCCCGTCTGCCTGTTCAGGTGGACATAAAAGATCCTGTGACACTGGTTGAAAAGAGAAGGGAACGTATCTCTCTCCCCCGTGTCTGGGCTAACAATCCCTGAGTTGAAATCGATTGCTCACTTCATGGCTGTTTGTGAGACATTACTGTGCGCAAAATACACAGTGACACCTTTACAATAAAATCCTATGCTTTAAGATGTTTTGTCAATGCGATAAGGTAAATGCAAGAATCGTTCCTATAAATTGGCTGTCACATTCACCGCCAAATAGTTCCTAAAGGACTTCTTCACAAGCTGCTCTGGAAGGCCTTTGAGGCATCTCGATGTTATGGGTTCTCTGTCAAATACAAAGGTTTTATTGTTTTACAATAAATTGTTCTCTATTGTGATTCCTCTCACATTAAACGAGTTTTTATCTACCAGAGGATGCAGCTGTCAAAGAGCAAAAGATAGAAATCAAAGCAAAGGATATCTCAAACGGAAAACCCGAAGGAAAGTCCAGGTAGGTTATTTCTTCTTCCTGAGAGCTTAGTTTTGTTCGCTAGGAAGATAAGATGGTGAGAGCACTCGCCTCGCAAACGAGAGAACCTGGGCTCGATTCCCAGGCGGGGTGAAACTATAGGTACGTTTCCTTATTCCACGTGCCTCTGTTTACCCATCAGTAATTAGGAATCCAGTTGTTAGTTCCAGCCCATCATTTTCATGGCAGATAATGATCCGTCACCATGTTTGGTGCTACATCGTCCGTAACATGGATGGAGTGAGGAGGAAGTTACTGGTATCAGACATTGTTACACTTCACTCACCTGCAACGGAAAATAAAAATTCATTGCGAAGTGAAAAAAGTGTGTGGGGGGGGGTTAACAGGACTTTGTGGGACGCCCTCCCGACGGGAAGGGCGCTGTACAAATGTAACGTGTTGTTGTGGACAATTGGCTGCCGCGTTTCGCCCGCGAAATATACGATCAATTCACTTTACAGTATGTTCTGTGAAGGGCTTTGAGACGCCTCGAAGACGTGATAAGTTGCTGTGTCAAAAATGCACCGTGTGCCATGTCCTCCAGTCATTTAAGCACGAGGAAGGTTACTTTTATTTTTTCTCTAATCCCCTTTCTTTGCAAATTGGATTCTCCCCCATCAGAGAACAGCCAAGACCCCTAAACCAGCACGTCTGCCCACACGGCAAGAGCATCTCCAAGAGGAGCCAGGAGAGAAATGGGTCAAAGGCCCCTCCCCAGCCAGCCCCGGAAAAGGTGACTGTCGTAAAATGCCGTCAGATCTTATATGCCCGGCTCAGTCGGTAGCACTCTCGCCTCTGATACTCACCCGCACAAAACTCCGTAATCGCATCACACCAGTCCTTGCCAGGCTCCGCTGCCTCCCAATTACCGTACGGATCTAATTCAAGATCCTCTCGCTCGTTTTCAAATTCTTTCAATCCCTGGCACCTCCCTATCTATCTGATTTGATACCCCCACCCCACTCCACCGCCCGCTGCCTCCGCTCAACTGGCTCTGGCTTCCTACTTGACTGGCTCTGGCCCCCAGTCATCTCTCATCCTCTCTAACTCCACCAGGCCTTTCAGCCACTGTACCCCAAACTCTTGAACTCTCTCCCTCGAGCCCTTCGCCTTGCCCCCTTACTCCCCGCTTTCAAATCCTGCCTAAAGACCTTTCTTTTTGATCGTGCCCCTTCCCCACCACCCCCCTCCCGCTGCCCCTGTCTCGGGGTTAGTCTCCGCCACTGTCAAGCGCTCCATGACGCTACGCCCCTCGAAGGTCGCTGTATACACGCAAATGGTTGTTGGGTTAGAAGGTTGTGGGTTCGAGCCCCACATCGGAACCTGAACTCGCATAGTCTAGGCTGTGCAGCGCAGTGTTGCACTATCGGAGGTGCCGGCCTTCAAGTAGTAAAACGATAAGCCGCGGTGCCAGAGCCACAGCGACGCTGACTGAGCCGAGGTTGCGATCGCGGAATTGATAAAAAGCGAGCGAGAGGCTGATGGACGGGTTCCTCTTCTTTGCCAGGCCCACGACTCGACCCGTTTGGTGGAGAGGCTGAAGTCTTTAATTCAAGCGGGGCACACAGCCTTATCAAGCCAACGCTGCCGCAATGCAGAGCACGACTTCCTACAGGCGCTCAAACTGCTTGATCCCACGAAGTTAAAGGTATGAGCTTAGTCCTTCGGATGAGACGTTAAACCGAGGTGCCATCTACCAGTTCAGGTGGACCTTAAAGATCCCGCGGCGCTATTTGAAAAGAGAAGGGAAGTTTCTCCCAATGATACTCCGAATAAAATTGGTCACTTTTATTTCCCTGTGTCCGGAATGCGCACTCTCTCTCTTCCCAGTGGGACGCATTCTTCTTACCTCGTTCCGCAAAGTATTAGGCGCAGGTTGGAAAGAGGCAAAGCTTGGGGGGACACCAGAGTGTGCGTCGAGGATAACTGCTGGAGCCTAACCAGCTAAAAATACATAGCTTGCCATTGATAACATGGTCCGGCAAGCTTTTCCGCTGCTTGTCCAGCTAGGACCACCCTACCCGTTAGGGCTTTGGGTTGTTCACTGCTTTGTGCAACTGGCTGCTGATTTCTCCAACAAAGAACACAGTCACTCCACTTTACAGTATATCCCGTGAAGTGCTTTGAGACATCTCGACAATGTAATAAGGTGCTCATTCAGTGCAAGGATGACTATTTTGTTAAAAAGATCGCTATTTTATAAGAAAGAATGACGTCATAACCCCACATCTCTGAATTAACCAGATACTAAAGTAGGTTTCATTTGTTGTAACATGTCCGTTCTTTGTATTTCTTTTTGTTGCTCGCAGGAGATTTCGTTGTCGACCACTGATTATGTGGTGCTGATCTATGGTCGTGCCTGTGCTCTCCTTGGTATAGGACACCCCAAGGTAAGCTGTTGTGAAGTGATTCAGGAATACTCCTCCGGGTGAGACGTTAAACCGAGGTCCCGTCTGCGCCTGTTCTAGTGGACGTTAAAGATCCCGCGGCGCTGTTCGAAAAGAGAAAGGAGTTTCTCTCTCCTGGTGTCCTGGCCAACAAATAAAATTGGTCACTTACTCCATGGCTGTTTGTGGGACACTGCAGTGCACAAACATTTCGCCCACAAAACACACAGTCACTGACCTTTACAGTATATCCTGCAAAGCGTTTTGACACGTCTCGATGATACGATAAGGCGCTGTATCAAATGCAAGGATTATTATTGTTATCACTGTGTTCCGTTAACCTAAATCAATAGAACACAGTGGGTTAACATTTGAATTTGAATTCGGCACGTTGAATTATTCTCCTAATTTTCACCACGTTGGCCTAATATCTCTCTGCCTCTGGTCTGGCCTCCTCTTGCTGGGGTAAGGTTTCATGCCCAGTGGTTGCCCTCTGGTACCCTTTTTAACCTGCGCAAACCAGCTCGCGACCTACACTGTCTGGCTAGCTTCTCGCTGTTTGCCGAGCTGGGACCTTTAGCAGTTGGATTTGTTGCTCCAGTGAAGAGCAACATCACCTGTCAATGCAGTTGATCTCAGTACCAACAATCTTGTGACAAATGATTACATATTGATGAAGCGACCATTCTGTTTTTCAGCCTTGGGCATATATTCAATCATGTACCTTTTTTTTTTATCTATGGTCAACTTGACCACTAGTTCCTTTCCACTCATATCCAGTATTCCCAAAGGAAGTCATTATTTATAAACATACAAGAAAGAAGTATGCTACTTATGGTCAAGTCGACCATCAAAGTTCCTTGCTACTTGTATCAGAAATTATGTTATAAGCGTGCAAGAAGCATATGTTATAAACATTTCAGATTATATTTAACACATTAATTATAGAATCCTTACACCATTGATCAGTGTTTTGCCCAAACAGGAACTCGACGAAGCAGAACATCAGTTTAATCGTATCTTGGTGCAGTATTCAGAAGAGCGGTTTGGAAGCTTGGCTTTCTACGGGCTGGGCAGAGTGTGCTTCAAACAGAACAGGTCAGTGAAGGGAGTAAGTGGCTCTTGATTTGAGCATTCCCTATGAAGAGGCCCAATGGAGTCCCGTAGCTCAGTCGTTAGCTCGCTCGTCTTGCAGGCGAGAGGACCCGGGTTCAATTCCCAGGCAGGGTGAAACCTTAGGCAACTTTCCTTACGCCACGTGCCTCTTGTTTGCCTAACAATAAGTAGGAACCCTGGTTGTTAGTCAAATGGCCGATCGATTTACAGGGGATAATCATCACTAACCGCCCACCCTTCCCAAAAATAATTTGGTCACTCAAGTCATTTTGTGGGACGCTGCCGTGCGCAATTGGCTGCCGCGTTTCACCCGCAAAATACACAGTCAGTTTACTTTACGGTACATTCGGTGAAGCGCTTTGAAACGTCTCAACGACTTGATAAGGCTCCATATCAAATGCAAGGATTATTAGTCGTAGTATTTTGACGATGTGATAAGGCACAGTATCAAATGCAAAGCTTGTTAAACATCCCGGTGACTGTGGCTGCTCTTCCCATCTTTAAATCACTTTATTTCCAGATTTACCGACGCCCACAGCACTTTCACCAAATCCCTCACAATGGTGAACCGTAAGATTGTTCCCGGGATACTGACCTGGCCCAAGACAGCCGTGATCATTGAAGAAACAGACAGTGGACGTTTAAAGGTTGTGTTTTTTTAAAGATATTGTGCATTTGTTCATACGTGTGACCCGACTTTTTTTCCATTGTAGATCTTGCCCCCTCAGCTGGTCAGCGATCTAAACTCTGTCACTGATTTGGGTCCCTTTTGACCTTTCAGATAGCATTGGAGGAATATATTGTAAAATGCCGATTTCCTCCGAAGTCAGATGCCATTTGCCGCTACCAACATTGCCAGGGACACCCCAAAGTCCAAATCTACTTCTCAGACCCAGACTTTAAGGTACTTTGAGTATCATTGTTATTATTATTATTATTATTATCAATGCATTTAAGAAAAACTGCGCTAAATACATTTTGGGAGAATAGAGGTTTGTAGAAGGGGATAGGAGGGGTGAGGGCTTATGTGGCATATACACACTGGCACAGACTCACACTGAGGTATTATATGTAATTCTGTGCTCTCATCTTTATTTGCCGTGAGGATTAGATGACATCCCGAATGCTGAAGATCTAGATTTACATTGTGTTGGACTGACAACAACAAATTACTCTTGTACAGCGCCTTTCACGTCAGGACCTGAGCTGGGGGTTGGTATTCAGGAGGGGTGGAGGGCAGTAGGGGTTAGGAGGATGACCAAAGGTGCAGTCGAAAAGGAAGGAGGCAAGGAAGGGGCAAGGCGAAGGGACGACTGGGATGGAGTTCCATAGGTTGGGGGCAGTAAGGCTAAACGCCTGATTGCCGATGGTGGGGTGGGCCGAGTGGGGGGGGGTGTGAAGCAGGCCGCAGCCCACCGAGCTGAGAGAGCAGGCAGGTTGGTATGGGGCAGCTATTAGACAGGCAGAAATTCTTTAGTTTGTGCATATGACTATTGACTACCAGGTGTCTCGTATCTCAGGGCTTTATTCGGGTGATGTGTTACCTGAAGTGTCACGTGGAGTACCACATCAACTGTTGGAAGAAGCTGAAGGCAATAGCCTTTGAGGATAAAAATGACAAGGTGAGCAACTCTCGTGAGCAACAAATCATCTTTTCACACTACGCCACAAACAAATCACCCCTCCCCCCAAAAAAAAAAATGTTTTTGATTTGTTCGCGGTGTAGTGTGAAGTCGTGAGAAAGTTTTTGCAACACAGAATGGATAATTTTATGGTTGACTGTCATTCCCGAATTACTATTTTAAGAAGCAACTCCTCTGCCTCCCTCTTTGCCTCACCCCCATATTTTATGATAAATCATTTACTATTTCAACAACAGATTACGTTCGCACAGCGCCTCTCACATTGGGAGGATGTCCCAAGGAGCTGGACAGTCGGGGATAACATTTTGAAGGAGGCAAGGGAAGGAGGCGAGGGGAAGGAGGCGAGGTGAAGGGACTGTGACATAGAGTTCCAAAGGTTGGGGGCAGAGAGGATGAAGGCTTCAATGCCGATGGTGGGGCTGGAAGGTCGGGGGACAAGGAGCAGGCTGGAGCCCACTGAGTGGAGGGAGCAGACAGGTCTATAGGGGGTTAGCAGGTACCAGAGGTAGGGAGGAGCAAGTCCGTGGAGGGCTTTGAAGGCGAGGACGAGGATTTTGAACTCGATCCTCTGGCGGATGGGGAGCCAGTATCCAATATTGTTTAGATTAGAATGGTGGCCAAACTCGCATTTCCTCCCTCTCCCCTCTCCCCATACACCCTGACGGCAGTCTCTAATCACTGTCTGATTCTGCCTGAATACTTTGCCTCCTCTCTGTCTGCAGGATTTTCTGAGGAGTGCGTGTTTCACTCCTGACTGCGGGGGCAAAATCTCAAAAATTGTCATCTTCAGCTCGAAGGGTCTGATGAAGTGTGAGGTAGGAAGATGTTACGTCACATGTTATTAAATGCTCCGAGGTGCTACCCTGCATGAATATCACTAAATAAATCCCAGTTGCTTATTGTACATAAAGCGAAAATCCACATAACGTTAATAGACTGTTTCTAAAACAGTGCATCTTTAATGTTTATTTTAGTTGTATGAAATTCAGCCAACAAATATGCAAAATTTGCAAACACTTTCAATACTAGAGTCGCCCTGTTACAATCTTATGCTTATAATACAGTAAAACTTGCATATATCTTTATAAATCATTCAAACGGCTAGTTTGTACATTCATCCGAGTCCTGTTCAGTTTCCTTTCGAAACCACGTAGATTTCTTTGCACTACTCATGTTAATCACTTCCTAACACCTGCTCCCCTACCCTCCATTGCTCCCGCACCTACCGGCTGCTTTGAATCACCGCCTGCGCACTTACCAGCTGTGTTGAATTCCACAAGCGCAGTGTAGATTATTGATTAAATCGGATTTTATAAGATTTATCCAGTTGGCCTGCAGCTCAGACTTTGCGTAAGTCTCATTAAATGTTATGGTCCCAACTGATACGACTTGCGTGAGTTTTACTTTAATATGTAAGAAGCATTGCTTTTAAGTGTCTTATTTCCTTTCGAAATATCTGGTGCATAAATATCAGAGAGATAAGCGTCAGCCTGGCTCAGTCGAGAGCACAGTCACCCCTTGAGTTGGAAGGTTGTGGGTTCAAGCCCCACCGTGCACTTAGCGGCCCAAAAACATAGAAATTTACAAAGCAGCAATGATATCTGTGCCAGCTTTCTCCGTGAGCTATCCATCTAGTCTCGTGCTCCTGCCTTTTCCCCACACCCTCTCATACCTCTCCCCTTACAAATATTCCTCCAATTAGGATATTTATCTAAACTTCGAGCCCAAAGTCTAGGCTAACACTCAGGTGCAACTGCATTGTCAGAGGTGCAATCCTTCAGATGGGATGTTAAACCCGAGGTCTTGTCTGTCTTTTTAGGTTGATGTTAAAAATTTAGAATTCCCCACACCCCCCCTCCCCCCGCCCTGAAAAAATTGGTTGTTCACTTCATAACAATTTATGGGACATTGTTGTTCACAAATTGGCTGTTGCTCTTACAATAAGGAAATAATCTTCACATTTGATTAGAGTCTTTTGCGCTACAAGGTTGTCTCAGAGAGCTGCATAGGATTCACTGTAAAGTGTAGTGACTCTGTATTAGAGGCGAACCTGGCAGCCAATTTGCTCAACGCAAAAGTCGCACAAACAGCCATGAATCGTGCCCACAAATAATAATAATAATAATCCTTGTATTTGATATAACGCCTTTCACAACTTCAAGACTAAGCGCTCTGAGACGCTCCTCTGCATGGAGAGCACTATATAACTGTAAGTTGCTATTGTCTCAAAGCGCTTCACAGAATATACTGTAAAGTGAATTGACGGTGGCGAAATGCAGCTGCCAATTGCGCACAACAGTGTCCCACAAACAGTCGTGGATTGAGTGACCAAATTATTATTATTTTTGAAGGGAATTATTACCCCCGGAAAAGCAATCTGCCAATCAACTAACAACTGGGTTCCTACTTACTGCTGGGTAAACAGGCGTGCGGAGTAAAGAAACTTACCTATGGTTTCACCCTGCCTCTTGACTTTGAGAACAATTTCCTGTGTAGCACTTTGAGATGTCCCTAAAAACTAAAGGGATTAAGGAATATGGGGATAGGGCAGGTAAATGGAATTAGGTTAGAAGATCAGCCATGATCTTATTAAATGGCGGGGCAGGCTCGAGGGGTCTACTCCTGCTCCTATTTCATATGCTCTAATGTTATTGGAAGCTACAGCTAGACACAAGGATTATTGTATAACTGCTGTGAGTCGCTCAGTGAGTTTTTCATTCCGAAAAAAACGTTTCCGCGTTTGTTAAATCACTGTCCAGTGGCGAATTGGTGACAGAGTGCTGTAGTTTAGTGGTTAGAGAGAGGACCCAGGTTCGATTCCCGGGCAGAGAGAAACCTTAGGCAAGTTTTCTTACTCCACCCGCCTGTTTACCCAATTGTTAGTCGATCGGTGGATCGCTTTCCTGGGGTAATAATACCTCCAAAAAAAAAANTGATTTGGATGCTCAATCCACAACTGTTTCTGGGACACTACTGTGTGTAATTGGCGGCTGCGTTTCACCCACAAACATCTACTGTCAATTCACTTCACAGTATATTCTGTGAAGCGCTTTGAAACGTCCCAATCATGTTATATCAAATGCAAGGATTATTATTATTATTATTATTAAAGCTGGTTGTGGGAATCCTTGATATGCCTCGAGGTAGAAATAAATACTTGGTGCCTTTACTCTCGGGAGTTAAATAACTGTGTTGTTCTTGTCCCTTTCTTCAAGTTTGAAGCTAAAATGGTAAGAGACACGGAACCTCCGAAAGCTGTCATCAAACAGAAATGCTCGAGGTAGAGATTTACAAGTCACTCAAATTATTGCTTTCAAAATGTTTCAAGGCTGTGTGTGTGGAGCATTGGAAGGGTTGGAGTATTGTGTGTACCCAACCACCTCCTCTCCCCCCCTTCCCCCCCCCCACACCCCCACCCAAAAAAAAAAGTCTGCCTCTGTCGCCCACCAGGAATCTGTTCCCTTCAGAAACTCATTAAACACCATTCAGCCCCGTGTTCCTTTTCCAAGCGTAACGTGAGCTGGATTGCTTGGTCAACATGTGCCTCTCAAACAACGTTTGATATTAAATAACACATTTATTATTTATTTATTGGCCATTGTTGCTCCAAATCCCTAACTGCCCAGTGCTTTGGGACTTACCTCCTGACGCGAAAGGCGCTGTTTCAATGTAATTTGTCGTTGTTGGCGCATTGTTACACTCGTTGGTTGTTAATTTTATGGTCTTGCGAATGAGACAGCCGTAAAGGGAATGCTCCAGCTTCGCTATTCCTCCCTGTTTTCTACTGGTTTTATTGAATAATCCTTGCATATGATGCAGTGCCTTTCACGTCATGAGGACATCTCAAAGCGCTTCGCGGGAATCACTGTAAAGTTTGCCGGTATTATTTTTGCTGGCGAACATGGCAGCCGATTTGCACACAGCGACGTCCTGTAACAGCTGTGAAGTGAAAAACTAAATCTGGGGAGTTGTTGGCCTGGGCGGCGGGGAGAGGGAAACTCACTCCTCTTTTCGAATAAAGAGCCACGGGATGTTTAACGTCTACCTGAACAGAGACAACAGGAGGAACTCGGGTCAACGTCTCAACCGCAGGAGATGGGACCTCAGACAACGCAGCACAGTTTCTCCAGCGCCCCATCAAGGTAGCAGTCTAGACTGTGAGTTCAGCGTCCCAACATAGGTGCTTGAACCCTCAACCTTACAACCCAGGAGGCGAGAGCCCTCCCAATTGACCCAGGCAGACATGTTCCCCTCCTTGATCCCAACCAAGTTCAGCCCCAGTTTCAAATGAGTTGGTATAAGTGTGTCGGCCTGACTCAGTGGGTAACGCTCTCGCCTCTTGAGTCAGAAGGTTGTGGGTTCAAGCCCCCACCTCGGGACTTGCAGTCGCACAGTCTATAAGCTGACGCTCCAATGCAGCCCTGCGGGGGTGATGCATTGTCAGCGGTGCCATGAGAGATGTTAAACCGAGGTCCCGTCTAACTGTCGTTAAAGACCCCGTGGCGGTAAGTCGAAAAGAGGAGGCAGTTACTCCTGGTGTCCTGGCCAACAATCCCCCAAATAAAATGGGTCACTCACTCCATGACTGTTCGTGGTGGGACACTGCTGTGCGTAACTGGCTTCCGTGTTTCACCCAAGCAATACACAGTCACAGTATATTCTGTGAAGCGCATTTGAGGCGTCTCGAACGACACGACAAGGAGCTGTGTCAAATCCAAGGATTATAATTATTATTATTAAGAGATTAATATTTATTATTGATGTGACTTACCTTGGTCTGCCTTGTCTCACTGCTTGTTATTTTTCACTCCCTCTCATTATTACTTTCCTTTTGTTATTCGTCTCTCTCCGTGTCTGTCGCTCCTTCTCCCCCCCCCCACCTCCACCCTTGCCCCCATCTGTCCGTTAGTACGTGGCTTATGGTCTGGATTAATTCATTCGTGGCGTTCGTCCACAAAATACACAGTCATTGCACTTTCCAGTAAAATCCCGTTGAAGTTCTTTGAGGCGTCCTCCCTGCGTGAAAGGCGTGCATCAAATGTAGGATCATTATTATAATTTATTCCCCCCTCCCTCCCTCCCCACCACCATCCAGTGCTTTCAAGTTGAGGTTTAAAGAGGAGCGTAAACTAAAGAGGAAACAGTCAAGAAAAGAAGCATCTCGAATCATCGCTGAGAGACAGGCAAAGGAAAGTCACGCAAACATCGGCAAATGCGAAGAGGCCAATTTCAAAATGGGTATTAAAAAAAAGAGATTTATTCCAATATTGAATAGAATCATAGAATCTTACAGGAGAGAAAGAGGCCATTCGGCCCATCGTGCCAGTGCCGACTGTTTGAAAGAGCTACCAACTAGTCCCGCTCAACCCCCGCCCCCCATAGCCTTGCAATTTTTTTCCTTTTCAAGTAAATATCCAATTCCCTTGTTACGTTATTATTGAATCTGCTTCCAACGCCCTTTCAGGCAGTGCGTTCCAGACCGTAGCAGCTCTCTGCGCAACTTTCCAGTCTCACGTCTGCCTGGCTGGATTAGTAGCACTCTCGCCCCCGAGTCAGAAGTCAGCCCATCGGGACTTTAAGCTCACGCATGGGGTCGGAGATGCCGTCCTTCAGATGAGATCTTAAACCCAGGTCCCGTCTGCGCCTGTTCACTGCCGTGTTCTAGATCTTTACAGTATATCCCGTGAAGCCGCTTTGAGGCATCTCAATGACGTGTTAAGGCACTGTATCAAATACGAGTAGTATCACCATCACTATTATTATCTCCCGAACTCCCTCTCCTCCAACCCCCAGCTCGGCGCAAACCCTTACCTGTCCAGTGTCTTGGGACGTCCTCCCAGCGTGAAAGGTGCTGTATCAATGTAATTTGTTGTTGTTGTTGCTTGTGACGTTGTGTGCTCCTTTTCGTGAAGGTCTGTCTCCCTCCCGGAGCGCTCACCGAGACTGGATGCTGCAGCTGGTCAGCGAGAACCAGGAGCAGTTGCAAAGCGGGGTTCAGGACTTCTCGGGCCTGCTCCCCGAGTTGCTGTCGTCTCACGTGCTGAGCGAGGAGGACTCTGCCGCCATCTTCGCCGGAGCCTGCGAAGCCCAGGAGGCCATGGGGAGGCTCCTGGACCTGATCGTGCACAGGAATAACCGTGTGCAAACCAGGCTGTTTCTCTACGCCCTCACCAAGTGCCAAGGGGTCGATAACAAGCTCCTGGAGTGGATCAACCGCTTAAATAACACAAGTACGGAAAATGTTGTCTGTTTCGAGAACAAATTAGATAGATCTCCACTGGAAGGTAATATTTCGGGATCCGTTATATAGTTTGGGGCACGACTTGTCAAGCGACTGCCGGGATGGTGGATGGCGAATTAGATGGACCTTGGTCTTCTTTTGCTGAGCAAGTTCTTATCTTCTAATAGATTCTATAATTCTAGATAATAATAATGATAATAATAATCCTTGCAGTCGATGTAGCGCTTTTCCACGGCATTGACTAATCTCAAAGCGCTTCACAGGATATACAGTAAACCTCCCGTATGTCGTATCAGTTTGGACCGTATATTTGATGTGACTTGTGCCGCAGAGTACGAGTTACGTCAAACTTGCATAGAATATAAACTTTCTTGAACGGGACTTGGGCAGATGTAGAACTTGGGTGATTATACGATTCATACAGATCAGATTCACGTGAGTTTTGCTGTACTGTAAAGTGCGGTGACTGTGCGTGCTTTGTGGGCGAAACACCGCAGTCATTTACATGCAGCAGTGTCTTATTATTATAATTATTATTATAGGACCACTGGGATCACCCTTTGGAGCTTTGGCTTTGTACGGTGAAAGGGAACCAAGTGGGGGAATAAAATCCCTCACTGGGAACGCCCGGCTGCCAATGGCTGTGATTCAGAAGTAGTTACTCTTGTCGTTTCATCCCCTTTTCCAGGCCTCAAAGCCGCAGAGCTGTTCGTATTGCGCTACTCGCACTGTATAGAGCGGTTGGATGCGGGCCCACTGCTGGAGGTGTTGGACGAGGCAGGGATTATCCTGCCCCGGAGAGTCACGGCACCGAACACATTGTGGAGACCCTAAAAATAGTCTCGCCAGTGAACACCCGTACTTTTATATGGATATTGGAGAAGAATAGAGAGAATTTCCCTTCCCTGCACAACGCTTTAGACGAATATTTTAACGTAATGGGTACGTGCTTCGTCAGTAATAATCCTTGCCAGTTGATAGAGCGCCTGATCACTGCGTTGAGATGTCTGAAACTCCATCCCCCAGTGCCTTCGCCGCTTCCTCCCTTTCCTCCTTCAAGGTCGGTCTCAAGACCTTTCTCTTCAATCGTGCCTTCAGCTCCCCTCTCGACTCTCTACCCTCTCCTCGCTCCCTCTCTTCCCTCCCCTCACCCTGACCATTTACCCACTCCTCGCTCCCTCCCTTCCCTCCCCTCACCCTGACCATTTCCCCCGTGCTCGGATCCCGACCCAACTGTCCAACGCCTTGGGACGTCCTCCCAACGTGAAAGGCGCTCTATAAATGCAATCTTGTTGTTGTTGTTGAAAGCGCTTCACAGGATACGCTGCAAAGTGTAGTGACTGCATTTTGCGGGCAGCCAATTGTGCGCACAGTGTCCCACAGATAGCCTAAATGGAGTCAGTCGCCAATTTTATTTGGGGGATTGTTGCCCAGGACACCGGGAGAGAGAATAACTCCCTTCTCTTTTCCAATAGCGCCGCAGGATCTTTACAATACAAATTTACATCTATACAGTGCCTTTCACGTCCGGATATCATCCCGAGGCACTTAACAATCCTGGTCTGGCACCTGACCTGAGGGGTGGGGTGGGGGTGGAAGACGACTGTAGCTGGAAGGTCTTGAGGAAGGTCTTGAGATGGACCTGGCAATCGCTGGCAATTGCCATCGAGCATTAAAGGGAATCGAACAAAATATACTTTTAAGATATAAAATATATATATATATATACACACACACAGTAAAACTCACATAAATCTGATCAGTCAGGACCATCACATTTGATATGAATTACGCGAAGTCCGAGTTGCAGGCAAACTTGTATAAATCGTACAAAATCCAATTTAATCAATAATTTACACTCGTAATTCATTGCAGCCAGTAAGTGCGCATGTGGTGACGGATTAATATGTCATTCCCCGTGCGAAAGGCGCTGTGTCAAATGCAAGAAATATTATTACTATTGCGTGTTATAACTTGTGCTGGTTCCCCCCCCGCTTCAGATGCTCCGTTTATTGCACTAAAGAAGCAAGAAAATGAAGAATTATCTGTGAGTTTGATCGTGGTTGCTCTTTAATTGGGAATATTTGGAGCTTAAAATCTTGGGGTTGCGATAGTTAATAAATGCGATAGTTAATAAAGGACCTGAGGCCAGTCCTCAAGGTGATGAAGTTTCAATGAATAAATTGCACTGAATTTTGTGGATTTTTGTTGTAAAATATTTGTAATTGTCTGTTTTTTTGCCCCCCACATCCCACCCCGGTGCAGAATATTGGCCTGAAAAGTAAAATCAGGAACAGAAAAAAGAAGTTAAAAGATCCAAAGGTTAGCCTGCATTTGAGAACTAACTGTGTGTGTGTGTGTATCTGTCTTGTGTGTGTGTGTAGCTGTCTTGTGTGTATCTGTCTGTGTGTTGTGTGTATCTGTCTGTGTGTGTGTGTGTGTGTGTGTGTGTCTGTGGGGGGGAAGGGGGGGCAGAGGGAAGGATTTTATCTCCCAGCGTCCATGTTGGGGAAAGGGATTCAATGCTCACAAATATTCTACTCACAATCTGCCACGGCCACTCAGGTTTCATACGTAGGAGCGTTCAATGCAAAAGCAAGGATGTGACGTTGACTTTGTGCACCAGCAGAGGTTCCTGTCTGATTCTGTATCAGCCCGACTCAGTGGTAACTCTTTGCCTCTTGAGTCAGAAGGTTATGGGTTCTAGCCTCACGTCAGGACTTGGAATCACATAGTCTAAGGAGACGTTCTAATGCAGTGTGTTTGGGGTGGGGGTGGGAGGGGGGGTGTTGCATTGTCAGAGATGCCATCCTTCAGATGAGACGTTAAACCGAGATCCCATTCTACCTGTTCAGGTAGATGTTAAAGATCCCGCCTACGCTACTTGTATAGAGAAGGGAGTTTCTCTCTCTCTCCCATTGTCCTGGTCAACAGTCCCCCAAATAAAATTGGTCACTCACTCCATGGCTGTTTACGGGGCATTTCCACTTTGCAGTATATCCTGCGAAGCACTTTGAGATGTCTCGATGACATGATAAGGCGTGAACTCAAATGCAAGCATTATTATTATTATTATTACTATAAGTGCTGGATCCCTGTCATTTGCCCACAGCCTTTCCACGTCCTATCTAGCATTTTCAATACCGGAGGGCGAGAGGAGGAAGATGAAGAAATATTCTCCGATGATGGGAACCTGTGAGTACTCCCACCGTGTCAGTCTCGCTTTTCGTCTCTAGCTCAACTAGAGCCGTGCATCTTGACTGACCCTCCCTCTCTCAATAAGTACCTCTTTGGCTGCACTCTCTGCCATCTTTCCCCTCCCTCCTTCCCTCCCTCCCCTTTCACCCTGATTCAGGTGCTCAGCAAGTATTGTTAAGCTCCCTGCGACGTCCTCCCGACATGAAAGGCCACCCTCTGCATAATGTAACTACAATAAGAGCCACTCCACTCGGCGTCAATGGCTTAAACTCGTGGAGTCCTGAGGTGTTGTGGTTAGCGCTCTCGCCTCGCAAGATGGAGGACCTGGGTTCGATTCCCGGGCAGGGCCAAACCTTGGGCAAGTTTCCTTAATCGACACGCCTCTCTTTTACCTAGCAGTAATTAGGAACCCGGTTGCTAGTCGATTAGCTTTCGGGGGGGGTTATAATCCCTCCAAAAAACACATTTGGCCACTCAATCCATGACTGTTTGTGGGACGCTTCAGCGTGCAATTGGCTGCCACGTTTCGCCCACAAAATACACAGGCAATCCACTTCACAATATACACTTTGTGAAGCGGGTTGAGACGTCTCAATGACGTGATAAGGCGCTGTATAAAATGCAATGATTATTATTAGTATTATATTACAATACAATTCTCTTCACTCAGCAGCACTAACGGTGGCACTCAGTATTTTGGTTCATTCTCAGTTTATGCTGTGGTCTAACCAGCTCCCACCCACGCCCCCCAAGTTCTCTCAGTTAATAACTTCTTTGCCTCTTCTTGATCCTAACGCTTGATACAAATCCCTTCACACCCTGGCATCTCCCTATCTCTCTGATCTGCTTTGTCCCCACTCCATTACCCTCTGGCTCCAGCCTCCTGCTCGTCCCTTGTCCCCTCCGCTTCACCATCGGTGGCCACGCTTTCAGCAACTACACCCCAAAGCTTAGGAGCATTCTCTCCTCCAATCCCTCCGGCTTGCTCCCTCCTTCCCCTCTTTTAGATCACGACCTTCCTCTTCGACTGTGCTTACGGTCATCTCCTCCCTCCCCAGACTCGGCATCAGGCTCCGCCACTATTAAGTGCTCAGACACTTCCGTCCGTCCATCAAGGGCACTAATAAAATGCATGTTGTTGTTCCCACTTGCGAGATTCACTTCAACAATATGTATGCTCTTCACGTCCTAAACCTATCAAGTGCATTAAACTCCGAGATCTCAGATTGATTCACGTAGCTGCCCTCTGTTTACTTCGTTTTTTAAGAAAAAAAACCTTGTAGCTTTGAAAACCTTGTGAGAAAATGCTGACTATTCAGATATTTTTAGGCTGGCGCCAGTAGGTCTGAAAGCGCGGCACATTGTGTTTATTGACACTGTAATGCACTCCAGAACCAGTGTGATTCTATTAACTAACTGTTAACCCCAATGTTGCCCTGGAAAAATAATACAGTACAATACAAAATTACTTTTGTATAGCACCTTTCACTTTGGCCAGGCACTGGGAGAAACTCCCTTCTCGTTTTGAATAGTGCTACGGGACAAAATATTACAGTCACTTCCTTTTACAGTATATCCTGGGAAGCGCTTTGAGACGCCTCCAACGACATGATAAGGCGCTATATCAAAATGCAAGGATTTTATGATTATTATTATCTTTACTGTCCACCTGAACAGAAAGACGGAGCCTCAGCTTAAACGTAAAGAATCTTTGCCTACCTGTCCTTGCGGCTCATCTTAATGTCTCACTGTTGTGAAGTGCCTGTAAGTGCTCCAGAACACTACACTGCGTGAAGGGGGCTATACAAATGCAAGTTGTTGTTGGGGCGTCAGCCTTGACTCGGAGCTCAAAGTCCCGACATGGAGTTTGAGCCGTCTGACTCAGTGCCATTCCAGTTGGAACCAAAAGGTTCCAAAAGCCTCAAAGCGCTGCACAGAATATCCCGTAAAGTGAATTGACTGTGTATTTTGTGGACGAAACGTGACAGCCAATTGCACACAGCGGCGTTCCCACAAACAATCGTGGATTGAATGACTGCAATTTTGGGGGGAGGGATTATTATCCCCGGAAAAGCAATCCGCCAATCGACCAACAACCAAGTTCCTACTTACTGCTAGGTCAACAGAGGTGCGCGGAGTAAGTAAACCTTGCCTAAGGTTTTGCCCTGCCCGGGAATTGAACCCGGGTCCTCTCGCTTGGGAGGCGAGCTCGCTCTAACCCCAACGCTAAGGGACTCTACTCCACTCTATCCTAACTCACCTTAAACTCATCCGGCTGCTCTTTCCAGTAGTATGTGGATGAACTCTGCAGGGTCCTTTATGGTACCGGAATATCTTCGCGACCAGTTGGAGGAGTTTGAAGATAACCGTGACCCAACCCGTGAAAGCCTATATGAGTAAGTGGCCTCTAGACAATAAAATAATGATCTTTGCATTTCTATCCTGTGAGGACATCTCAAAGCGACATCTTCACAGGATACACTGTGAAGTGTAGTGACTGCGTGTTTTTGTCGGTGAACGCTTTGGAGCCAATTTGCGCACGGCAGAGGCCCATTAAACAGCCACGGAGTGAGTGATCAGCTTTACCTGGGGGGATTGTTGGCCAGGACACCGGGAGAGAGCAACTCCCTTCCCTTTTGACCGATGTTGTATTAAGGAGCAATTTACTGTTTAAACGTGAATTAGGTTGACATTCCGTTGCAGAGCCGGGAGAGGGGAAGAAGCCCCAACAAGTAAGCTGAACAAGCAGCGGGAAATGTTGCCAGACAGTGCTCTCCATGGCAAGCTATGGGGTTTTAGCTGGTTAGACTCCAGCAGTTACCCCCAACGCTCACTCTGGGGTCCCCCCCAAGCCTTGGCTCTTGCCAACTTGCGCCTAATACTTTCCGGAATTAGGTAAACAGGAGTGCGTCCCTCCAGGAAGAGAGGAGAGAGTGCGCAATCCATTCCGACAATCTATCTCTGGGATTTCCACGTGTAGCTGAGATGCTTGGAATTCTCAGCTTGGTTTGGAGACCCTTAAGCATGGCGATGGGTTTGTCAGACACTCGGCTGACCCCCCCACCCCCCCCAAAAAAAAAAATTGTTAATGTAGATGCGTGTTGTGGTTTGTGTGTGGGGGGCACGGGGGGGGGGGGACGGGACAGAGGTTTTGCTCAGAGCGCCACATCCTGACGTTTCCCCCATTTCCCACAGTTATTTTTCCCAAATCCTGGAGGAGCACGGACCGCTGGCGCTGGACGACCCGCTCCTGGTCAGCGAGTTTGAGAATTTCCCGGGAGAGACCCAGGAGCTGGTGTGCAAAGCCGGAGGCCTGATGTCCTTCCTCCTGGAATCCCTGCGTTTTGTGATGATGAAGGGGATGGTGGGGCTGATGAAGCACGCCGTGATGATGAAGAGCACGGCCGCCTATCAAGAGCCTTCGGAAGCCCCCAGCGACCCCCCCAGGACGGTGGCTCACCTGAACCCAGCAGCTAAGGAATTTAAACCCATATCTTCACAACAATCCCAAGTGGCGTTTCCGCTGACTACTTATTCCCTAACCGATGAGGAAAACTTTAACAGACATTATAGCACCGACCAGGGGACTGATACTTCAACTGATAACGTATATTACTCTATTAATGCATATTCTGATTTAAAGCCAGGGGTTTTAAAGCCTCATTCATCCATCTATAAACCGAACACCAGCTGTCCTGAGGTGGATCATTATTTAATCTCTTCTACATCGCTGCCCGGCACAGACTCCTCATTCTGCGTCCTCTCCACATCTCGCTCTTCCCCAGTACTGCCCGTTTTTGCCATAGGACATGACATCTCTAACTATAATTATGTATTTGACTCTCTCGACCATCGTGGGGAGCTGGGTTCAGGATCGTATGATGACGGGACTGGCCCGTTGCCCACATCAGGTGACGATGCGTCATTAATAAATTTATTTGAGGGGACGTTTGCCCCCCCGGGCGCTAACCCCTGTGTGTCAAAAAGGACAAAAGGAGGTGGTGAGGAGTCGAATAGTTCCAGTAACCAAACGAAGAATGGGTGTAAACCGAGACCATTACTAAGGACTATAGGGTACAGGTAAGGATTCGAACGCTGATCACCCTCTCGTTTTTGGGGTTGGTAGATTATACGGAACAACAGCAATTTATTAGGGCACACGGCAATTCCCCCCCAGTCACCACCCATACCCCACCCCGCCCTGTCCTCCATGTAGTTGGTGACCTGCTAACCCTACACAGACCTGTCCTCCCTCTGCATCACGGGCTCCATCCAGCCTGCTTCATGTCCCCCGCTCTGCCTGGCCCACCATCATCTGCAGTTGCGCCTTCAGTCTCTCTGCCCCACTTCATCCTACAGTCCCTTCGCTTCGTTCCCTCCAGCTACAGCCTCCTTCAGAGCCCGCCTCCAGACCCTCCTCATCCTCGACCGCTCCTTCGGTCACCCTACTATCTCCCTGTCCCTCCACCCCTTCCAATCCTGTGGAAATCCTTGACTCCAAAGCCTTGAGACGTCCTCCCTAAATGTAATTTGTTGTTTTGGCTCCTTAATTATAGTGGGCGCCAGGGAAAATGGCCACCGCTGACCTCAGTTCCTGGCAGGACACCAGCCGCGGGCCATGTTTACACTAACCCCAGGTCCAAATCCTGCCGCCGGTCGACACATGTCGCCCTGGCTCAGTCAGGGGCACTCTCATCTTAGTCAGGAGGTTGTTGCTTCAAGCGCTCAAGCCGGGAGTTTGTACTCACGGTCTCGGCTGACGCTCCAATGCAGTGTTATGGGTGGGGGGGTGGGTGGGTGGTGGTGGGGGGGGGGTGGGGGGCGAGCGCTACGAAGTCAAAGGTGCCGTCTTTCGGAATGAGATGTTAAACCGTGCCTCCGGGCATCCGTGCCTGTTCAGGTGGGCTTTTAAAGATCCCGTAGCACTATCGGAAAGGAGAAGGACAGTTTCCCCCAGGTTGACAATCCCCCAGGTAAAATTGGCCAATGGATCACATATGGTCAGGCCACCGATACCCTCATCCACATTCAGACTCGACTGTGCCAACTCTCCACTCGCCGGACTCCCCAACTTTTCCCTCGACAAGGACTTGAACCAACATTGTTTAAGTGCAGATTAAGTGATGATGTACTCTCACTCTCACACACTCTCTCGCTATCTACCATGGCATTGCCTGTTGAAAGCCTTCACATCTGGTTTTCTTGTAGGTTTATCAGGAATCCTCGAGTCATGTCAAAGTCAATACAGATCCATTTCAACCCTTTGAAAATCAGCAGGTAAGTGTCCCTTCGAAAGCAGCAGACACGGGAGGAGACCATTCATCCTGTTCTGGTCCGTGTCAGTGTTTGTTCACCTGCCAAATACGCAGTCACTTCACTTTATAATTACACCGTCCCTCCACTTTCCAATACACAGTCCTTCCACTTTACAAATAACAATAATCCTTGCATTTGATTATAGCGCTTTATCACATCATCGAGACGTCTCAAAGCGCTTCACAGGATATACTGTAAAATGGAGTGACTGTGTATTTTGTGGGCGAAATGCGACAGCGAATTGCGCGCAGCAGTGTCCCAAATACACAGTACCACGACTTTACAGATAGAGTAAACTGATAACTCATCGCTCCAAGGGAAAAGTGCTCAGTGGCGAGTTATCAGGAACAGCGAGTTAAATACATAAATAAACGCAGCCGGGATATTGACAGCGGGATGACTTAATTGGCAGCGACACATTAAGCCAGGGTCGAGTTGTCGGGAATTTATTGTGCACGGCAGTAAACATTTCACTTTACAAATACAGTAATCAGTAGCTTCTGATAACTCGTCGATCCAAGTGGAAAAGGCTCCGTGACGAGTTATCAGGAGTTAGTCATACGTATAAATACATCAATAAATGGGGCCAGGATATTGACGGCACAGTGACTTAATTGCTAGTGACATGTCAAAGCAGGGGCGAGTTTACTGTACACAGCAGTTAAAAATATCAATGGCTTGCGGGAGGCGGCGGGGGTGGGGGAATGTAAACTCAGCAACGATCATAAGGTGGGGAGGAGGGGGTATTCAAAAAATAGCTGTCGTGCAGATGTGATGTCCTGAATGACCTCTCGTGGTCGAAAGGTGTCACTGAAGGTCTCTCTGATCATTTGACCAGGGGGATATTTTGAGGATTGAGAAAGAGCACAACGTTCTACAGAAGCAGCTGCGAGAAGCAGAGGAAAAGTACAAACAACTCTCTGTCCGCAGCCTGGAGGAGGTCAGTGCGCTGGAGGCAGAGGTGGCCCAACACGTCCAGAGAAATGAGGTGAGATCATTTCGTTATTTGCGTTCCGCAGATAATCCTCAAAAAAAAATAATGCCGTCACTCAATTCACGACTGTCTTGTGCGCAATTGGCTGCCCCGTTTCGCCCACAAAACACAGAGCCTTAAGCGTATTCTGTGAAGCGCTTTGAGAACGTCTCGAAGACCCGATAAGGTGCTATGTCGAATGCAGGGATTATTATTTTTTATTGTTTCTGTTTCTTTGTAGTGAAGTCGCACACAAACAGTGATACGTGCATTTGATCTAATAATAATAATAATAATCCTTGCATTTAGCTGCCACGTTTTACCATCAAATACACAGTCAATCAGTCCACTTCACTCTGTATTCTGTGAAGCGCTTTGAGACGTCTCGACCACGCGATAAGGCGCATTATCAAATGCAAAGGTTATTATTATCATTATTATTTGATACTGCGTATATACCTGATATACTGCAAAGCGGAAATGTCCCATATACAGCCGTGGAGCGAGTGACCAATTTTATTTGAGGGATTGTCGGTCAGGACACCGGGGGAGAGAGAGGGGAACTCCCTTCTCTTTTCGAATAGCGCCACGGGATCTTTTAACATCCGCCCGAACAGGCAGACGGGAACCTCATCTTGAAGGACCTTACCTCCGACAGTGCAAAGACACCCGTCACCCAGCGCTGAACTAGAGCATCGGTTTAGACTGCCCCGTCTTAGAAGCCCCAACTTGACTCGGAGGCGAGAGTGCACACCGCTAAGCCAGGCTGACCCCAACGTACCCGGATGTGCCACAGGCAGAGAGAGAGAGAGACCCTATGTTGGGGTACAACTCTCAGTGCCTTCGTCGCATTGCGCTCGTGAACCACAGGCCCGCCTGGTTGGCAGATCTCCACCGCAAACACTATTTACTGCCTCGGTGACATTTGAACGTCTCTCTTCGAACAGCTGCTCAAATCCGACCTTCAGTGCTTCCGCCAAGCCGCAGAGAGCGAAGCCAAGCGAGGGCAGCTGGAGCGACGAGAAAACCAGGAAAGTTTAAAGCTGCTGAAATCCAGGAGCAAAGAGCTTGCCAAAATGAACGAAATGTGAGTAGCGTTTGTGGGAGCTAAAGGTTGCACGGCTACAGCGACAGAGACTCGCTGCTGAATTAACGGAGGGAGCAAAGACAGATCGCAAGGGGTGTATCGAGCTTCTCCCATGAACTAGAGGAGAAAGAGTTTAATAATATTAGTAATATTCCTTTCATTTGATAGAGCACCTCATAACATCGTGGAGACGTCTCAAAGCGCTTCACATAATCTATCGTAAAGTGACTTGACTCTGTACCTTGCGGGTGAAATGCAGCAGCCAGTTGCTCATCACAGCAGCGTCCCACGATCATGGGTTGAGTGAACGCATTTTTTTNGTGTGTGAAGGGATCCACTAACAACCAAGTTCCTACTGACTGTGAAGGCGTGTGGAGTAAGGAAACTTACCTAAGGTTTCGCACACTTTGGTGGCTTTGCGGACCACAGAGTGTTTAGCCGGCTAAAACCGGGTGGCTTGCCGTTCAGAGCGCTGTCTGGCAAGCTTTCCCGCTGCTTGTCCAGCTAGGACCGCCCTATCCGTTAGGGCTTTGGCTTGAAAGGGTTAACAGGAGCTGAGTGGGAAGAATCTTTAGTGGGCCTGAGTTCAGGAGGCTGAGAGCAGGACAATTATCACCAACAACTACTTGCATTTATATAGTGCCCCTCACGCAGGTTAGCGTTCCTCTGGGTGGAATAGGATGGAGCTTCCAACCGTGTAAACCTGACTTTAAAACTTGCTTTATGTTTTTCTCTCCTCCTCCGCCCTCCACCCCCCTTCTCCCTCCCCCGCACCCCCCCCCCCCCCCCCACACACACACACACACGCACTCCCTCCCCGAAAAAGGTACAGTCAAAATATTGAGGAAAAGATCCAGCTGTGTGAAAAATGCGTTGAAGAATTTGAGGAGATAAGGTCAGTCGAACACCTCACTCTCAACACTTTCTGACGTCGGTCTTTGTTTCTCGATGCTTGTTGTTTGCCACAACTGATGCCCGTGTTCTCCTTTGACCCTCTTCAGTATCCAGTCTTCAGTAGAAAAGATAAAGTTGGAAGACGCTACTAAAAAGAATCATCAACCATGTCAGAATATTACTAAGAGGGCGACTGAGGCAGAGGTAAGGCATTGATAGAATTACATTGAATTATAGAATAATAATAATAATAATAATCCTTGCATCTGATATAGCGCTTTTCACGTCTTCTAGACGTGTCAAAGCGCTTCACAGAATACACTTGTAAAGTGACTGTATATTTGTGGGCAAAATGCGGCAGCCAATTGCGCACAGCAGTGCCCCACAAACAGTCGTGGATTGAAATGACCAATTTATTATTGTTTTTTGAGGGATTATTAGAATAACATAGAACATTCAGCACAGAAACAGGCCATTCAGCCCAACTGGTCTATGCCATCGATTATGTTCCACATGAGCTTCCTCCTGCCCTTCTTCAACTAAGCCTATCAGCGTAACCTTCTATTGCTTTTCTCCCTCACATACTTATTTAGCTTCGCCCTGAATGCATCTATGCTATTCGGCTCAACTCCTCCTTCCACTATCCCACCGCTCTCTGGGTAAAGAAGTTTCTTCTGACTTCCCTATCTGATTTATTGGTGCCTGTTTTATATTGATGGGCCCTGGTTTTGGTCTCCCCCACAAGTGGAAACATCTTCTCTATGTCTACGCTATCAAAACCTTTCATAGTTTTTAAAGACCTGTATTCGGTCACCCTCACCCAGTTTCAGTCTCCGTCCTTCCCATTCCCCTCACCACCCCACCTCCATGTTTTCTCTCTTCTCACCTCAATCTGGCCAATCTTTCTCTGCCCACCCACCCCTAAGTTAATAATAATAATAATACTTCCATTGGATGCAGCACCTTATCATGCTGCGTTTTGAGCACAAAATATACAGTCAATCCACCTTACAATAGAATCTTTGAAGCACTTTGAGACTTTTAGATGCGCTAAGGCACTATATCAAATGAGAGGATATTCTATTATTATCACGTCGTCGAGACGTCTCAAAGAGCTTCACAGAATATATTGTAAAGTGGATTGACTGCATATTTTGTGGGCGAAACCCGGCAGCCAATTGCGCGCAGAAGTGCCCCACAAACAGTCGTGGATCTCTTTTGAGCGATTATTACCCCCGGAAAGCAATCCGCCAATCGACTAACAGCCGGGATCCGACTTACTGCTAGGTAAACAGAGGTGTGGAGTAAAAGGAAACTTTCATAAGGTTTCACCCCTCCCGGGAATCGAACCTGGGTCATCTCGCTTGTGAGGCGAAAGCACTGACCACTGCTCTACGGACATCCTTCCAGAATTCTCAATGTTCTTTTATTCACTCCATGTGTGTCTATCTCAGGTGTCTGTGCTGCAGAACTGGCAACGCGTAGGATTATTTTTCCACCACAAGGCTGTAGAGGATGCGAAAAGCCACCTGAATAGAATGAAAACCATGGCCTCCAGGTGAGTCTGGAACCAGGGTCTGCTCCTGAGGGGATTTCTTCCTATTCAATTGCCAGGTTGGATCAGAACCACGTGTGGAGCGGGGGTTGGGGGGAAGGCAAAGGGAATCAGTGAGGGGCGTGCGGAGGAAGAGTGTTAAAAAGTGTGAGAAAGGAATAAGGAATTGAGATTAGGATTGGTGGCTTTTTTAAAGGAACAAATCCCGACCTTGTTACAATGAGCTCCCCGCTGTGTGTTGAGTATAATAATAATAATTAATAATCCTTGCACTTGTTCGAACGCCTTATCACGTCGTCGAGACCTCTCAAAGCGCTTCACAGGATATACTGTAAAGTGTAGTGACTGAGTATTTTGTAGACGAAAGGCGGCAGCAATGTCCCACAAACAGCGGTGGAGTAAGGGAACAATTTTATCTGGGGGATTGTTGGCCAGGACACTGGCCTTTTCTTTACGAATAGCACCACGGGATCTTTAACATCCACCTGAACAGGCAGATGGGGCCTTGTTTTAACCTTTCATCTGAGGGACGGCACCTCCGACAATGCAACACACCCCCAGCACTGCATTGGAGTGTCAGCTTAGACTGTGATTCCTAGTCCTGAGGTGGGCTTGAACCCACAACCTTCTGACTTAAAGGTGAGAGTGTTACCACTGAACCAGGCTGACACCGTTCCTAGGGTTCCTTTGAAGGTGTAGGGTAGGGAACACTGGAGTGGATTGTGGCACCTTATCTCTCTCTCTCTCTCTCTCTCTCTGTGTCTCACTCCTTAAGTCCCGAGTGTCCACATTGTAAGATGTATGGACTGTGACGTGGTGTAAACTGAGGATAAAAGAGTCGTCGTACTCTCGTCACAAAATACAACTCTGTGCAATCGATACAGAGCCCATCCCGGCAAATCTCTCGCGGTTTACACGGTAGCAATAATTATAATAAGTTTATAATGATCCTTGCATTTGATACGGCGCCTTTACATGTCATCGAGGGCACTTCACAGTAAACTGTAGTGACTACTCTGTAGGCAAACCCAGAGGCTAATTTGCGCACAGCAACATCCCACAAACAGCCGTGCAGTGAATGACCTATTTTCTCAGAGGAGCGGGAGCAGGTGGTGGTGGGTTTATTAGCCAGGACACCAGGAGAGAGAATTTCCCTTCCCTTTTCTATGAATGAATTTGTATCAATATAACTACCCTGACATCGTGATAAGGTACTGGATCAAATAAAGAGTCCTGTAGCTCAGGAGTTAGAACACGCCCCTCGCAAGCGAGAGGACCTGGATTCGATTCCTGGGCAGGGCGAAACGTTGAGCAAGTTTCCTTACTCCACACGCCTCTGTTTCCAGGGGTAATAATCCTTCAAAAAAAAAAATTGGGTCGCTGAATCCACGGCTGCTTGTGGGACGCTGCCGTGCGCAATTGGCTGCCTCGTTTCTCCCACAAACATATACCGTCCATTCACCTTACAGTATATTGTGTGAAGAGCCTTGAAACGTCTCGTAGGCGTGATAAGGCGCTATATCAAAAGTATTATTATTACAGTAAATGACTAATTTGCTGTATCAAATCGTCTCTCTCTTTCCGTGCAGTAACCTCTCCTCAGCTATCCCTCAGCTACACGTGTCCCTGGCTGCCTGGGAGACCTTCCTGTTGCAAGTCAGCATTCAAATCCAGCAAACAGAGGTGAGTCTCTCTTCTCCAGCGCACAGAGCCTCCACCCACCCAGTTACCGGTTACCAAACCCACCGGCAAGACAGGCCAGACGGTATTGCCGGAATCGCCAGGCGAGGCTTTTTTCAAGTCGTGTGAAGTGTTACGAGAGTTACTGTGGCGTTGGTTCGAGGTTAATAAGAGGTTCATTGCGGTGCAGATGGATTTCAGGTGTCAGTCTGGCTCAGTCTGCAGTGCCCTCGCCTCGCTTTGCCTACAAATTACAGTCGGTCCACTTAACCAGTATACATCCCATGAAGCGCTTTGAGACGTCTCAACAACGTGATAAGGCGCTGTATCAAATCCAAGGATCATTAGTATTATTTTTACGAATCGTATAAGCACCCCAAGTCGTACACGTGCCCGAGTCCCATTCAGTTTCCTTCCAAAACCACTTCGATTTCTTTGCCCAAGTCATATTTTATAAATCTTTATTAACGGCTAAATCTAGGTCCCAAAACACATCTTAAATCCTACACAAATCGTCTCCTAGCTCATAAAGCCGCTACCGCACTTACCGGCTGCTCGTGCAGTGTTTCGCTTGGAACAAGCACGGGGAAACGAAAGTGCGCTTCCTGGCGGCAGGGATCAGCAGGACAGTCGTGTTCTCTGTTAAAAGGAACACGGGAAACGAGGTACGGTAAAACTCACAAGACGTGTCGGTCGAGACCGTAACATTTAATGCGACTTACACGAAGTTCCGAGTTGCAGGCAAAACTGTATAAGCCGTAGAAAATCCGATTTAATCAATATTCTACACTGCGCGTGCGGTAGTTTGTCTTTGCGGCCACTAGGTGCGCACGGGGTGACGGGTTAAGACCGCGTGCCCCGCGATTCAATGCTCCTTGACCCGTCGCCGCGTACGCAGGCTACCGGCGAGAATCCATTGAAACGCGGGACGTGAAGTTCTTCCACGCGCGATCCACGGGTCAGAACATCCGCGATTCGCTGCGGCCGGTAAGTGCGGGAGCAATGGCGGGTAGGGGTGAGGCGTTACGAGTCAGGAGGTGATTAACACGAGTGGCGCAAAGAAATCTTAAGCGGGTTTCGACCGGAATCTGAACGGGACTCGGGTGGACGTACGACTCGGTCAATTATCCGATTTATAAAGATAAGGTTTACGTGCGTTTTTACTGGACTCGTTTACAGCTACGTGTTAGTCGTGTAAAATCCGACTTGCGCAAGTTTGCCCGTAACTCGTGTTTCGCGTAAGTCACGTTGAATGTTACGCTCCCGGCTGATCAGACCCGTGCGAGTTTTACTGCAGTCCGCGGGGAGCAGACAGGCACGTGCGGGCCAGACTCGCAGCTGGAATAATTCCTCTTTTTCCAGAACCGATTCGAAGATCAGATAAAGGCAGTGAACGGCGGAATCCCCCTCGGCAGCCTCAACCCGGTGTTCATCCCCAGCCTCCCATCAGGACCAGCCAACACAGTGAGTGGGTCTGTCCGTCCAAGTCCTGCCGATGAGCCGGGCTGGGGCTGGGCTGTCGTCAGCAGTGAGTGCCCTGGAATACTGCGGACCTGTCTGGCTCAGGAACCAGACGAGACCATCACAGAGATTCCGACATTCCAGTGCCAAACATGTCACCCTGGAGCCAGTTCAGCTCCGAGGAGACCCCATTTATCTCTCCGAGAAGATAATCGCTGGTTGGTTTTATATGACATCCAACATGCAGGTCTGAGCCCTCAGTGGGTGGATGACAGGTACCAGGAACTCCCTGTGAGCTTCCCGACGGCAGCGCAGTTCGGGGTGATGCGTGTGATGTTTTGTGTGTACGGTGCCATTGTTTTCTACGGTGTTGAGACTCTTGCCTGCTTTTTGTTGGACACGATGTGTCTACATGACCGTTAGCCGCTGACAGTGTCAGGACTGCCTTGTCTCGGGCGAAACCGCTCCCTTCCAGTTTGCGTTTTTTGATCTTCGGGAGTCCTTTTAGATCAGTGGTTAGAGCACTCGCCTCGCAAGCGAGAGACCTGGGGTTGATTCCCGGCAGGGCGAAACCTTGGGCAAGTTCCTTACTCCACACGCCTGATAATAATCCCTCAAGATAAATAATAATTATAATTTGGTCACTCAACCCACGACTGTTTGTGGGACTCTGCGCAATTGGCTGCCGCTTTCGTCCACAAACATACAGTCGATTCACTTTACAGTATATTCTGTGAATGTTTGAGACGTCGAGAAGACGTGAAAAGCGCTATATCAATTGCAAGGATTATTATATTCGATTTGGGTGACGAATGCGGACTAAACTCCCTGCTAAACCAGAATTAATAGCGGCAAACCGGATTTTCCGAGTAAGTGCTAATCCTTGCATTAACATTTAAAATAAGTTTTTAAAAATATATATATATAAATCCTCCCTAATATTTAATGAGTGTTTTAGATTCAAAAACGACTTGTTTGTGGGACGCTGCTGTGCACATTTGGCTGCCGTGTTTCGCCCACAAAATATTCAGTCATTTCACTTTACAGTATAATCCGTGAAGCACTTTGTGACTTCTCAACAATGTGATGAGGCGCTATATCAAACGCAAGTATTATTATTATTAAATAAATCAATAAATAAATTAAATGGGAAGGAAAACTAACAATAGTTGTATACAAAGTTGTGTCTCAAAGACGTGTTAAGGTGCTAAATCAAATGCAAAGATTACTATTTATTATTATTAACATGGAGCGTCTGTGTGCGTGTGTTTGTGTGTGCGCGTGTTTGTGTGTGTGTGTGCGTTTGTGTGTTTGTGTGCATGTGCATGTGTTTGTGTATGTGTGTGCGTGTTTGTGCGCGTGTTTATGTGTGTGTCTTGTGTGCGTGTTTGTGTGTGTGTGTGTTTGTGTGCGTGTGTGTGCGTGTTTGTGTGTGCTTCCTATACCCTCAGCTGCTGTTTGACAAGCCGCCCATCGATGATCCCGCCATCATACACTATTCGTCATCGTCGTCGACTGTCCCGTTCCACATGCAGCAAATGTCAATGTCACACATACAAGCGCAGACCTCAGCCTTTCCGCAGGCCTCCTCCAGCTCCGCCTCCTCCACCTCTCTGATGAATCTCCTGAACGTACCTCCTGCTTCACCCAAAGCCCCCGGGCCAACAAATCCAACCCACCAAACCCTAACCCCTGTGCCGCCCCTGGCCAAACCCATGCCCTGCGTCTTCAACGAGGGGACAGGGAAGGCCTGGCCGGACCTGCTGCCCGGCTTCCAACCTCAGCTTCTTCAACGTCCGTCCCCTTGGTCTCCCGTCAGCCAGCAGCGGGGGATGCCCGGCGTTCCCGAGAGCGGGGCCAAGCTGCCGGGAATCCTGACGGACCCCCAACCCGCTCACGATGCCTGTGGAAAGCCTCAGCCGCACAAGAACAGCTTCGAGAAGATCATGGACTGTCTCCTGGGCATGTTCCCCCATTACACAAGGTACATTTTAGAGTCGTTCCGCCTTTAGTCCTCGGTCGGCCTCTCACGCTCACGCTATCGGGTGAGATGCATGGAATCCTCGGTTTGGTTTGGCTACTCGTCCTCGTGGTGATGGTCTTCCCCCATATGTCAGACACTCAGCTGACCCCCCCCCCCGAAAAAAAACTTACAAGAAGAATGTGGCAAAGTCAGTGTTAAAAGTTTCGGACGTCAGGAGCATGTTACAGATCTGAATTGAGTTAAAGATCCCACAATACGATTGGAAAAGATAAGGACACACAGTCACTGCACTTTAGAACAATTATTTGTGCAATTACACAACACTGGTGTGTTTTTTTTTCTGTGTGTATCTGACGCGTGTGGAAACCCATCACCGGGCTTCAGAGTCTCCAAACCAAACTGAGAATTCCTCGCATCCCACCTACACATGGGAATCCCAGAGATAGAGCGTTGGGATGGATTGCGCACTCTCTCCCAGCTGCATTGAATTACGCAGGCGCAGTGTAGATTATCGATTAAAATCGGACTTTATTCGATTTACTCAAGTTTGTCCGCAACTCGGGCTTTGCGTAAGTCATATTAAATGTTATGCTCCTGACTGATAACGATGTAAGTTGATTTTTACTGTATTTTAGGATTCAGTTCTCCTGCTTGTGTGTGTTTACAGGAGAGTTTTGACTGAGTTTATCTGCGAGGTTCGCAGGGTGAATGACGGATCCCTCTCCGGTTTGGCTTACGAGGAATGCATCGCTCGAGTAACTGAGCTCATCCTTAATCAGCAGGTGAGGACCAGGGTGAGAGGCCAAATGTCATCCATAATTGAAAGCATCCGCGCCCTGAGATTCCAGCGTCTGTACCATCAGTACTTGCCGTCACCTTACTGAGCGACCGAGAGGGGAGGGATGAGGCAGGGGATGAGTGGGCACAGCTATCGGGAAAGACTTGCGGAGTCCCAGAGTGTAGTTGGCTAGCGCGCTCGCCTCGCAGGCGAGAGGAGCCAGGATCAATTCCTGGACAGGGTGAAACCTTGGGCGGGTTTCCTTGCTCCACACGCCTCTGTTTACCAAGCAGTAAGTAGGAACCCTGTTGTTAGTCGATTGGCGGATCGATTTCCGGGGTATAAGTAATCCTTTCAAAAAAAAAAATGATAAAATAATTTGGTCGCTCAGTCCACGACTGTTTGTGGGACGCCTCTGTGGGCAATTGGCTGCCAGGTTTTGCCCACAAAATATACGTCAATTCACTTTACAGTATAATCTGTGAAGCGCTTTGAGGCATCTCAACGAAGTGATAAGGCGCCAAATCAAATGCAAGGATTATTATTATTATTATTATTATCAACTGGACCAGTGCCCTTCCTATTCCTTCCCTATTCCCAGTTGTGAAGTAGCTTCTGGTTGCGGAATCCTGGCTTGAGGCCAGGGGACTGGGACTGGTTTAACAAACCACTCGATGCTGTGATAAAAAGCGTGGGGATTTGGAAAAGGATGACATCAAATGGGCTAAAAGACCTCGTTCACCCAAGCCCCGCCTTTGAACAGCGGCAATAACAACAAATTATCTTTCTATTGTGCCTTTCACGTCGGGAGGACATCCCAAGGCAGCTTGGAAGCCAATATGGCTATGGCAAGTTTAACGATGATTTTTTTTCTCTCGCTCTCTCTCTTCCCCCAACGTTTAGGCTCAGTTTGCAGCCTCGAGTCACCAGCAGACCTCGAGGCCCCAGTCTCCTCGAGCCCCCGGCACTGCCAGCCCACAGCCAGGCTCCAACGCCGGTCACCAGACCTCGAGACCCTCCACCCCAGCAGGTCCCAACTCCCCCAGAGCAGCGTGCTCTGCCTCACAGGCTTGGAGATCTCTGCACGTCCACTCTGCCTCCGCGTGGGACAAGAAAGACACGGGGACGGTGAGCTTCCTACCAACCTTTACACTTCTGTCTTTCCTTTTCACCGTTCCCCCACCCTGCCCGCTCCAGTCTCGGCGGTCGGACCTTCAGCCTCTCTGCCCCCTTCCTCTGAACCCTCAGCCTCTCCCCCTCCCTTGTCTCCTTCCAGGTCCGTTCTAAAGACCTTCCTTTTTGGACCGTGCCTTCGGTTATCTTCACTCCTCTAACCCCGCCCCCATCTTGCCCTCCTCCGCCCCTCTCTAATCTCCTCTCTTTCGCCCACAAAATACAATTCACTTTGAGATGTCAACAACAACAACTTGCTAAACCAGTCCCTGCTTCCTCAGCATAAATGTGTAGCCCCTCACCCAGGATAGGGTCCCAGAGAGCTCGACACGTCTCAACGGCGTGATAAGCCTCTCCATTAAATGTAAGGATGATTATTATTATTATTATTACCCAACCCGCAGCTCGGGTGCAAACTTCTCATTGTCCAGCCTGGGCCCGGGGGCGTCCTCCAGAGCGCGGAGGTCGACGAAAAGGAAAGACAGAAGTGTAAAGTGGGGGGTCGGGAGCTCACCGTCCCAAGGTCCTTCTTGTCCAGCGAGGAGGGAGGCAGGGTGGACACGCAGAGATCTCCAGGCCTGTGAGGCAGAGCGCGCTGCTCTGGGGGAGCTGGGACCTGCTGGGGTTGGAGGGTCTCGAGGTCTGGTGACTGGACCCTCCCTGGCTGTAGGCTGACAGCGCTGGGAGCTCGAGGTCTGCTCAGAGCTCAGTCCCCAGCTCAGGTGCAAACCCTCGACTGTCCAGTGCCTCGGTACGTCCTGGAGTGACAAAAATTCCCTTACTCCGCACGCACGCCTCTGTTTGCCCAGCAGTAAGTCGGAACCCGGTCGTTAGTTAATTGTCGGATCGCTTTCCGGGACTGGGGGGGGTGGGGGTGGGGGGGGAATAATCCCTCCAAAACAAAATCCACGACTGTTTCTGTGCACAATTGGCAGCAGCGTTTCAATCCACTTTACAACATATTCATCCAAGTGTGAAGCACTTTGAGACATCTCAACGGCGTGATAATAAGGTGCTGCACCCAATGCCGGGATTATTATTATTATTATTATACCTCGTCTTAGCTTGCGAGAGCATTTTGTCTAAAAATGTAAGCTTTTGCACGTTTTTGGGTTAAAAAAAATAAAAAATAATTATGGTTGGGAAATTCTGGTTGCGCAGGCTTTGGACGAAGACCCCTGCATAATCTGTCACGAGGATTTGTCACCGGAGAACACCTGCGTGCTCGAGTGCAAGCACCACTTTCACGTGTTGGTAAGTCGCTGCTCGCTCCCCTCCTCTCCCGCCGCGGCCAGCGTGGGGGTTAGAGGCGAGCACCGGTCGCTAACCGCTGTATTGCCCTGCTGCTCATTCGCTTGCGGCTCCCTATACCTCGCCCCTTCCTTCGCTGCTTTCAAGACTTTTCCTCTGTCATCGTGCTTTCAGCCACACACACACACGCACACCCAACCCTATGGCGTATTGGTCAGAGCACTCGCCTCGCAAGCGAGAAGACCCGGGTTCGATTCCCGGGCGGGGCGAAACTTGAAGCAAGGAAGTAGGAACCCTTAGGTGTTAGTCGACCGGTGGATCGCTTTCCGGAGGTAATAATCCCTTAAAAAAAACAATTGTTTGGGGACTTTGCTGTGCGCAGTTGGCTGCAGTGTTTTGCCCCCAAAATATACATTCAATTTACTATACAATATATCCTGTAAAGCGCTTTAAGATATCTTAACGGCCAAATATAAGGATTCCTTTTATTATTTTTATCACCTTCCAACCCCCAGCTCGGGTGCAAACCCATGACTGTCCAGGGTCTTGGGACATCCTCCCGTCGTGAAAGGTGCTGTTTAAATGTCATTTTGTTGTTGTTAAATCACTCTCAATAACCCCCATTCCACCCACCCTCACCCCACCCGGAGCTCTCTGGTGACCAGTGTACTGAGTGTGTTTGCTGTCTGGGTTGCAGTGTATCAAGGCGTGGCTGAGGGAGAACCGTACCTGCCCAACCTGTCGTGTCCACGTGCTGCTGCCCGAAGACTTCCCCACGCTGCCCGGGAAAGCCAGAGTCGCCAACTCTTCGCCCTCTCTCTAACCGGATTCTCCGAGCCCCGGGGTTATAAACACAGCGGAGCGCAGATGCTTTTTATCCACGTGCTCTTGTTTGCTTCGGTGTTTGGTTGCTGTGCGTGCGTTTCTGTGTGGTGTTTGTGTGTGCATGTGTTTGTGAGCGTGTGTTTGTGTGGTGTGTGTTTGTGAGCGTGTGTTTGTTTGCGTGTGATGTTCACACTCGCGTTCAAATCCCTTCCCTCACTCCCCCACTCCCCAATCCATCACCAGGACCTCCGCTCAACTGCCACTATGCCCCGAAACTCTGGAACACTCTCCCTCAATCCCTCCCCCTCGTACCCCCGCTTTTCTCCTCTTTGCCTGTGCTAACAGACACCCCCCCCCCTCCCCACCGCCGGCTCAGAGTCGGGCGCCTTCCATTGTCAAGCGTGGAGGGAGCAATGTAAGTGTAAGTTGTTGTTGGCGTGTGTGTGTATTGAATCTACGTGCTTGTGCTTGTGTGTGTGTGTGTGTGGGGCGGGGGGGGGGGGTGTAAGTGGGGTGCGATGATGAATACTGGTGATATTCTGGGGACCTGGGGGTGAAATGGTAATCGTTGACAAGCTACGGTAGTATCGCACGGTGTCAAAAAAAAAAGAAAGGGCAACCCTGGGTGGGGGAGCTCGGTTTCCCCTGCTTTTAAGGCTTTAAAGTGCGTGTGTTTTAGTGGACTATTGAGACCAGACGCGTCTCAAATCAGAAAGGAATGAGGTTTCATAATGGGGGGGTGGGTGGGTGGGTGAGGTTAAGGAACCAAATGGATCGGTAGGTTGGGGGGGGGGGGGGCAGTGAGCATCATCTTAATAACCTTCCACGAGTTATTGGTGTGTCAGGGTCATGCAAGACCCCGTTCTTTGCGCCCCCCCGCACCCTCCCCCAAACCGCCACTTGTGTCAATCACTGCCACACAGTCCCAATTAACAGACCATTGTAAGAGCATAAATCAGAATGGGATATAAATCGAATACCGGCCTTTGTAATCTTATATATATTCTACGTATCGTAAATCATATTTATAATTCCTTGCATTTGGAACGGCGCCTTTCGCGTCGGGAGGACGTCCCAAAGTCGCTTCGCAGAGCAGACTGTGAAGTGGAGTGACTGTGTGGGAGAAGATGAACTGCCTTTTAAATCTCGACCTGTTTCTTCTTTGTTTGTTTGTTTGTACGGCCTTTTATAGACTACATTAAAATATAGATATTATATCGTGACGGTGCTCTGTGGAGGTCAAGTGTGCATACAACCAAATTGGGCTCTCTCTCACCTCCTTCTCCGACTGTTGATTTTTGATTCCGGTGGGTGGTGTGTGTGTGTGCGCGCGTGTGAGAGCGCGCGCTTTCTATAACGTCTTGTGTGTACGGGCAGCATGCGTGTTGTGCATCGAGAGAGCTCGTCGTGGGTCCATGATCTTGAGATGAATTTTATTTAATTATTAAACTTTTTAAATCTTGTCCACTGGGTCCAGCCTTCCTTTCCGTTTCCCCGTTACCTCGAAGAACGTTAAAGCTGACCCGCAAATCCCACTCTCTCCCCCTCTCTGCGTCGGGCACAGTGGATGCCAAAATTCCACCCAGGCTCGGGGATGGGACATTTTGGGGGTTGACTGGGTGCTAACCGAGTAACTTGCCAGCGAGTGGCAAGAGACCTTGCCCCCCAACCCCCCCAGTGAGCAGTCTGGCCCTCCCAAGTCCTGCTGACCGGCCAGGCTGTGGCTGAGCGGTCATCAGCAGTGCCCCGGAGTAGTAAGTATGTGGTTAAAACAAATCCCAGAGAACTTTACAGCGCAGAAAACAGGTACGTTTGGCCACAAGTCAGTGCTGCTGTTCAGTACTTAGCATAAGCCTCCCTCCGCCCTTCTATTCCGCTCTCCTCCGCCCTTCTATTCCCCTCTCCCACACCCCCTCTATTCCCCTCTCCCACACACACCCCCTCTAATCCCCTCTCCTATGGTTCACATTTCCTCTTAAATACATTTGATGCCTTCTGTTTAAACCGCAGCTGCTGGCAGCGAGTTCCACGCTCATTATACACTGTGTGAGTAACTGGCATGATATCATAATTATATAACCATCACACAACCAGTAAAGTTCTGACTGTTATGTCACCGCAGGTTTTAGGAGCTGCATAAATATCATGACGCGGTCACCCGAGTTATACCGCTTTCCGACAGCACTCAGTCGACGTTCCACGTTGGGACTTTGCACTCGCAGTCCAGGCTCCAGTGCAGTGCTGGGGAAGTGCTGCAGGGCGGGAGGTGGGGTCCTTCAGATAAGACGTAAAACCGAGTCCCATCCGGGATAAAAGATCTCCCTACGCTGTAGGAAAATAGAAGGCATTTTTCTCCTGGTGTCCTGGCCAACAATCCCACTCCCACCCCACCCACCCCAACCCCAGGTCCAACAGTGGTCATTCACTTCACGGCCGTTTGTGGGACATTGATGTGTGCCGACTGACTGCCGTATTTGGCCACAACACACAGCCGCTGCACTTCACTTCAAATCCTCTGAAGCACTTTTGAGGTGGTTTGGTGACCGTCTCAAATGCAGGGATTGTACTTTCTCAGTCCTTTAGGAACGATGTCAAGGCCTTGGGGAGGGTGCAACGGAGATTTACCAGAATGACACCAGGGATGAGGGGGCTTCAGTTATGTGGAGAGACGAGAGAGGCTGGGATTTTTCTCCTCGGAACAGGGAAGGTTAAGGGGAGATATAATCAGAGTTGTTCAAAATTACGAGGGGTTTTGATAAGAGTGAATAGGGAGAAACTCTTTCCTCTGGCGGGTGGGTCGGAAACCAGAGGACGCAGAATCAAGGTAATCGGCAAAAAGAACCAGAAGGGCGTTGTTACGGTCTGGAATGCACTGCCTGAAAAGGTGACAGAAGCAGATCCCGTAGCAACTTTCAAAAGGGAATTGGACAGGTACTCGGAAGAGAAAAATTGCAAGGGGAATGGGGGAGTGGGGCTAGTTGGTAGCTCTTTCAAAGAGCCGGTAGAGGCACAATGGGCCGAATGGCCTCCTTCTGGGCTGTAGGATTCTATGATCCTAACCCGCTTAGGGTCTTGCATACCTCTGTGACGTGGGTACTCCTTTCAGCGTTTTTAAGCTCGTTTGCCGCACGATGCCTGGCATCCCAGCGCTCTCTGTAGGAAGGTGTACGCTCAGATCCACTCAGCACCGTCCTCAAACCTCTCCAACAAACCCTGGGCCCGAGGCTCTCTCTGGTGACGCAGAGGCAAAGTGCAGAGGAACCGAGACTCACCAGGGCCGTGGGTAGTCCTCTCGCTCGTTTTCAAGTCCCTTTATGCCCCGGCACCTCCCTACCCCCTCTCCGACCTGCTTACCCCGCAAACCACAGCCCCCCACTCGAGTGGCTCCGGGCTTCTGCACGTCCCTCGTGCACTCTGTTCCACCGTTGGTGGCCACGCTCTCAACCATCACGCCCCGATACTCTGGACCATTCTTCCTCTATCCATCGGTCTTGCCCCTTCCTGTCCCCTCTTCATGTCGCCCCTATTCGACCGTGCCTATGGTCACCTCCCCCTCCTGATATACTTGCAATCGATGCAACTATACGTTGTCAAGACACCTCAAAGTGCTTCACAGGATTTTACTGGGAAATGGGTCTTTGCCCCCCAGTGACTGGTCTCCTCCATCTCATCAATGAACCGGATTCTGAACAACTTATATAGCGCCCCTCACTCTGGGTAGTGTCCCGCATTCAGCGAGACATATAGCTTGCCATTGACAACGCTTGCCGAGTGGTTTTAGCTGGTTAAACTCCAGCAGTTTGGGATTCTTCCAAACCTTCTCCTCAAGGTCTTTGGAATCAGTAAGCGGGTTAATAGTGCACATTCCGGAGGGAACTTTTTAAACTGTACAGGTGGCATCTGGAACATACGCCATCTACACGCTGCCTAGTTGGATCATTTTTAAGCACGGTGATGGGTTTCCACGTGCCACAAGCCCATGGCTTTGAGGAAGGAAGACATCCCACTCGGCTCCTGTTAACACGACAAGCCAAAACCCGAAGAGGTCCTAGCTGGACAAGCGGTAAAGCTTGCCGGACAGTAATATTAACGGCAAGCTATGTGGCTTTAGCTGGTTAGACTCCAGCAGTTACCCCCAACGCACACTCTGGGGTCCCCCAAGCCTTGGCTCCTGCCAACCTGCGCCTAATACTGTCCGGAATTGGGTAAGCAGGGAACGCGTCCCTCCAGGGAGAGAGAAAGAGAGCGCGCATTCCATTCCAACGATCAATCTCTGGGATTCCCACGTGTAGGTGGGAGGCGTGGAATTTTTAGCTCGGTTTGGATCCTCTTAAAAGCACGGCGATGGGTTTCCGCATGCTGATGGGGGGGGGAAAAAATCTCTCTCGGCTTGAGCTGTGGGATGGCCCCCTGATGTGAGAGGCGACGTACGTACGTAAATTGTTGTTTATTTCTTACAACCCCCTCCACCACACCAAAAAAAAACCTTCTCGCTCTCTCTCTCTCTCTCTGTACACACAAGTTTAGTAGAAAAGGTCAGGGTTGTTGGTCTGCAGGCCAGGGGTCATGCGGGCAGCAAAGCTGGTACAGTATGTGAATCAGGCGGATCGCCAGCGCCTCCTGTTGGCTCTTTGCTGTACTGCGGCTTCTGTCTCTCCCTCGTTCGCTGCGGCCATCGCTGCTCAGACCCGGGAGACCTTGAGCGGAAAGTTCTCTGTGATCAGGTGATCGTCCTGGAGAACCACGACCACGTTGACCTCAAATTCTGAGACAAACAAGGCAGCGACCGGCGTTAATGCAACAACTGGTATGATAGTACTTCTAATAATCCTTGCATTTGATACAGCGCCTGATCACGTCGTCGAGACGGCTCAAAGCGCTTCACAGGATATACGGAAAAAGTGGATTGACCGACTGTATTTTCTGGGCGAAACGCAGCAGCCAATCGCGCTCGGCAGCGTCCCACAAACAGTCGTGGTTTGAGTGATCCAATTATTATTATTTATTTTGGGGAGGAATTATTACCCCTGGAAAGCGATCCGCCGATCGACTAACAACCGGGTTCCTACTTACTGCTGGGTAAACAGAGGCGTGGAGTAAGGAGACTTGCCTATGGGTTCGCCCCGCCCGGGATTTGAACTGGGTCCTCTCGTTTGCTGCTTCACTGACAAAGACCCTTTGGTTCCCTCCCTTCAGGCAGTTCTGAATCCACGTCCTTGCCTTGCCTCTGATCCCCAGCGACCAGTGTTTGTGAAGGAGTCTTTCACGTACAACTTTGTTAGATGCCTTTTTGGATGGGGATGGGGTGGGGGCGGTGGGGGTGTGTGTTGGGGGGGGGGGAACCTCAGGCAGACACCCCACTCCGAGTTTGGGACTTACCCACTTTGAAGTTGGTGGTTTCCAGGGTGGGGCAGGTGAACAGCCTGGGAAACACCATGTAGATGGGGATCGCCAGCCCCTGGCAGATGTTGCCGTCAGCAATCTGGATATTCTGAATCTCCGTGGCATCTCTCGCGTAGCCCTCGGCACAACCTAACACAACAACAACAACAACAACAAATTTCAATTATATAGCGCCCTTCACTCGGAGTAGGGTCCCGGGGCACTTCACAGTGCCGGAGTCTGACAACGAGCCGAAGGGGGAGGGAATTATTATTATAATAATCGACTAACAACCGGGGTCCTACTTACTGCTCGGTAAACAGAGGAGTGTGGAGTAAAGAAACTTGCTTAAGGTTTCGCCCCCACCCAGTCCGGGAATCGGACCCGGGTCCTCTCGCTTGCGAGGCGAGGGCTCTGATCGCTACGTTACTTTACTTGTATTTTGTGCCCGTTATAAGATGGTTATTCTCCCCGACCCCTCGACTTGTACAAGAGCAAAACTCCGGATAACTTCAGCGTCTTATCACATCGTTGAGATGCCTCAAACGCTTCACAGGATAGTCTGTAAAAGTGGATTCTCTGTGTATTCTGTGGGAGAAAGGTGGGAGCGGCCAAGAGCACACAGCAGTGTCCCCACAAACGGTCGTGGATCAAGTGACCAAATGTTATTTTTCAAGGGGATTATTACCCCTAGAGATACACTAATCGACTAACAACCGGGTTCCTACTTACTGCTAGGTAAACAGAGGGGTGCGGAGTGAGGAAACTTGCCTAAGGTTTCACCCCGCCTGGAAATCGGCTTGCGAGGCGAGCGCGCTGAGCACGACACTAAATATAAAGCGCTTGTTGCTATGAAGCTGTGGGATGAACACAGTCTCCGCACAGGCACACACACACACACATACACAGGCGCACACATGTAGACACAGGCACACATGTGCTCACACCTACCGCAGGTCTCCACACGGACCAGCTGGAGCTCCACACTTTTGACAGGAACGTCCGAGTGCTCGACCACCAGCTCCCCGGTCAGTGGTTGGGTGATCACACAGTTGGTGGAGTCGAGGCGGCCCCGAATCAGGAATCGAGGCAGGGACGTCCTCTGGTAGAGAGGAGAGAGAGTCAGACAGTTGGGTGGGTGGGTAGGTGGGTGAGGGTAGGGGTTTGGTGTAAGACGTCCCGAGGAGCCTGATGGGCTTCCGAGCTGACAGTCCAGGCTGATGCTCCAGTCCAGGGTGATGTTGGAGCTATACTATCAGGGGGTGATGTTGGGGGGTGATGTTGGGGTTATACTGCCGGAGGGCAATGCGTTAAAACAAGCTCCCTTACCCCCAATGTTTGGGCGGACATTGGAAGATCTCCCACTGCTCGAAAAGAAGAGTTGCTTTCTCTCCCCCCCGCCCCCCTGCGCTCTCTCTTTCTCCCACTCCCTTCCCCCCCATCTCCCCCACCCTCTCTCGCCCCCTTCCCTCCCTTGGCCCGCACCACCCCTTCGCCCTTCTTCTCGCTCTGTTCCCCCACTCTCTCTCCCACCCTCCTTTTCACAATCTTTTCCCCCCCACCCACCCCCCGCCTCTGGGGGCTACTCACCTCCCGGACGTTCTGCAGAGACTCGGGGCTGATACTGAAATCCACGGGGCTGGGGCTCACCTTCCCTTTCTGAGGCTGTTCAAAAACCGAGAGGAACATTTCAATTCTTTTCAAAGCCGTGAATAAAAAAAATTCGGTCACTCAAACCCCCTCCCCTCCCTCCCTCCCGCCACCACCACCACCACCACCAATGCAAAGCCCATCGCCCAGCTTCGTCCCCAACACATGCCCCCACCATCCCCACTCCCCGGAAACCAACAAGCGGACATGGAGGTAAGGTGTTGGGAGGTAAGTTCTTCAGGCACCATCTGTAGCGTCCACCTTGGTTTAATGTCTCACCCAAAGGAAGGTATTTCCAACAATGCAGCTCTCTTCTCCTCTCCTCTTTTTTGAAGGGATTATTACCCCCGGAAAAGCGATCCGCCAATCGACTAACAACCGGGTTCTTGCTTACTGTTAAGTAAACAGATGCTTGAGGAGTAAGGAAACTTGCCTGATGTTTCGTCCCGCTTGGGAATCGAACTCACGTTCCTCTCGCTTGCGAGGTAAACGTGCTAACCACTACACACATACACACAGGACTCTGAACGCGTGACTGACTGAGCTGGGCTGACAGACTGAGAAATGACGGGAGCTGACTGCAGCAGCCTGGCTTAGCACGCGATCCGTGGGAGAAGGAGGAGGAGGAGGGGATGGGGAGGGGGAAGAGCGAGCAGTGTGTGGGGCGGTAGGGGGTGGGTGGGCGGGCGGGGGAGAGAGAGAGCGTAGAGAAGAGATGCAGCCACAATCCAGAGCGAGCCCAGGAGCACCTCGTCAGCCTGAATATTTCATGATCCCTTTTAACCCACGTCAAGTCCTTTTTTGGGGGCTGAGTAGCTCATGCAGAAGACATGCGGTTACATTATTGATGGGAGTGCAGGGCTGGGCTGGGCAAGGACACTCACAACTATGAAGCCTTTGAGAAGATGGGGGGGGGGGGTGGAGAGAAAAAAGGTCAGGGCGCTCTCCTCGCAAACAAGAGAACCCCGGGTTCGATTCCCGGACAGGACGAAACATTGGGCAAGTTTCCTTACTCCGCACGCCTCTGTTAACCCGGCACTAAAAAGGAACCCGGCTGTTAAGTCGATTGGCGGATCACTTTCCGGAGGGGTTATTAATCCTTTCAAAAACAAAATAATAATTGGGTCACTCAATCCACGACTGTTTGTGGGAGGAGGGGGGGGGGGGGGGGGGGAAAGAGGAGAGAGAGAGAGCGATTGGTGCCGGAACTCACCAGCGAGTGGACGATGAACTCGCAGGTCTTGGTCAGGTCTTTGGCCAGGAGGGGCCGTCGCATGTCACATCGGAGCGTGTACTGTAAACCAAAGCGGAGAGAGTCAGGGTCAGTTATCCTGTCGTCGTCGTCGTCGCCCCCCACCCCCTCCCCAAACACTAGGAGACATCAGAGGAATCCCCCTCTTCTTCTCCCCCCACCTCCCAGGACCTAGGTTTGCATTTGGGACTAAGTTGAATGAACTTGAAGAAGTAACTGGGTTGGGAGTGGGGGGGGGGGGGGGGGGAGAGAGAATACATTCACAAAGATTCAAACCCCATAATCTTCTAATCTGCTGTGAATTATTTTTGACCGCCCCCATTTGCCCCCTCCCTCACCGCCACCCACAACCCCGTTGCAACCTGCACCGTCCCAGCAGCTTCATCGATTGGTGAGTTGCCTTGTGTGTGTGTGTCTGTGTGTGTGGGGGGGGGGGTTGGACAGGTGTGTGTGTGTGGGGGGGGGGGGGTTTTGGACAGTTATGTGTGGCGGGGCGGTTTAGGACAGGTCTGGGGGGGGGGCGGGTTTGGACAGGTGTGTGTGTGGGGGGGCGGGTTTGGACAGGTGTGTGTGTGGGGGGGCAGGTTTGGACAGGTGTGTGTGGGGGGCGGGTTTGGACAGGTGTGGGGGGAGGGTTGGACAGGTGTGGGGGGAGGGTTGGACAGGTGTGGGGAGGGAAGGGTTGGACAAGTGTGGGTTGGGGTTGGACAGTGGGAGGGTTGGACAGGTGTGTGTGGTGGGGGGGGGGGGGGGGCGTGGTTGGACACACGCACTCGCCTGGATGTTGACGAAGACTCCATGGTACGTCTCGTACAGGACCTTGTTGTTCTTCACAGTCAACGGGAACTCGAAGGGGATCTCAGTGCGTCCGTTCGGCAGCTTCCCAGCCTTGGCCACCTCGATGTTGCTGCTGATCAGCGAGATGGGCTGTCAATCAGTCAATCAATCAATCAATCAATCAAACATCCAATTTTGGGGGTTTCAGCCGGGTGTCTGACACGTGCGGAAACCCATCCAAACAATATCCAAACCAAACTGAGAATCCCCTGCATCCCACTTACACACGGAAATCCCAGAGACAGATTGATGGAGTGGAATGCGCACTCTTTCTCTCTCTCCCTGGAGGGACGCCTCCTGCTCACCTAATTCCGGCAAATATCAGACGCAGGTCGGCAAGAGCCAAGGCTTGGGGGACCCCCAGAGTGTGCGTTGGGGGTAACTGCTGGAGTCTAACCAGCTAAAACCGCGTAGCTTGCCATGGAGAGCGCTGTCTGGCGAGCTTTCCCGCTGCTTGTCCAGCTGGGACCATCCCTGCCCGTTAGGGCTTTGGCTTACAGGGTTCCACGTGTGGCTGAGTGGGAGGATTCCCAGCCCCGAGTGACGACTCTGCCCTTCCAAGTCCTGCCGATGAATCAACCGTTTTGCCCCCACCCATTGAAACTCCATCCCAGAGCCCCTCCGCATCGCCCTCCCCTCCCTACTGTCCTTCAAGACCTTTCTTTTCGCCCACGCCTTCGGTCATCTTCCCTCCTCCACCACCTCGCTCGGCCTCCAGCCCTCTTGGGTTCCAACCCGAGGCTCGGGTGCAAACGACGTATTGCCCAGCGCCTTGGGATGTCCTCCCGACTTGAAAGGCGCCGTACAACAACAACAACTCACATTTATATAGCTCCCCTCATGCGGGGTAGTATCCTGGAGCGCTTGACGGTGACGGAGCCCGATGCCGAGCCCTGGGGGGGAGGTGACCGCAGGACCGGTCGTAAAGGAAGGTCTTCGGGTGTGATCTCACGATGGGGAAGGAGGGGGCGAGGTGGAGGAGGGATAGAGGAGGGATTGGAAGACGAATGTGAGCGTCTTGGAAGTCGATTCTCGTACGAACGCAATTTGTTGCTGCTGTGGTTGAAGCTCAGACAGGGCTGCGAATGCTCCATTACCTTGACAGAATTGTAAAAAGCCTCGAAGACCCCAACGCTCTTGGCACTGAGCTGCAAGTTGACGACTCCTTCCATGGTCAGAGTGATGCCCTGGTGCGGGACTGTTTCCTTACTGGATATTATCACCACGCCAGACAAGGTTTCCTGTCCAACACACACAGAGAGAGACACACACACAATGTTTGGTAATATTAATTATAATAATAATCCTTGCATTTGATATAGCAACTTATCACGTAATTCCAACTTACACCTACTAGGTATACAGAGGCGTGTGGCGTTCAGGAAACTTGCCGAACTTTTGGCCCGGCCTGGGAATCGAACCCGGGTCCTCTCGTTTGCGAGGCGACGGCAAGCTACGCGGCGTTAGCTGGTTAGACCCTGAGCAGCTACCCTTCGCGCACACTCTGGGTCCCCCGATCGAGTAACAACCAGGTTCCCACTTACTGCTGGGTAAACAGGGGCGCGTGGAGTAAGGAAACTTGCCTAAGATCTCGCCCCGTCCGGGAATCCAATCCGGATAACCAATACATTACGGGACTCCACACCTCCTTCACAGCGCCTTTCACGTCATTCAAACGCCTTCACTGGATGTACAGGAAAACTCACGCGAGTGGTATCAGGTCGGGACCAGACCATTTTAATATGAGTTACTCGAAGTCCAAGTTGCAGGCAAAACTGTGTGGGTCGGACAAAATCCCAATTTAATCGGATAATAGTCATAATAATTTCAGAAAGAGATCAGAAATGATCTGTCCAGGAGAGGGCAGTACCGATGCGCTTCGGTTGGTCGCAAAGTGCTCTACGATGCTGATGCTCCCGTTAATTCATTTAATCTCAGCGGTGATAATATTACTTCCATTTGAATACAACACCGGACCCATCAACACCGTTATCAAAGTGCTTCGCTGGGGAATTATTGTCAGGTGTAATGACTTGTATTTTTTTTAGGCACAGGTGGAAGCGAATTTGCGCACAGGGAAGGTCCCACAGGCGGCCACGAAGCGAACGGCCGGTTTTCTCAGGAGGATCATCGGTCAGGACACCAGGAGAAACTCCACTCGTCTTCGAAGGTACTGCCACCTGCCCAGCGCCCTCTCCGCCCACCTTCCATCACTGCACCAGGGAGTCGGCCGGGACCTATTTGGGTCAGCCCGGTGTCTGACACGCTCGGAAACCCATCACCTTGCTCGGGAGTATTCAAACCAGACAGAGTCTCTTAGAAATGTCCCTGTGAACGGGAGTACGCACCCTTTCCCTGGAGGGACCACCCTGTATTGCCTAGTTCCAGAGAACGCAGGTGTAAGTTGGCAAGAGCCAAGGCTTGGGGGGACCCAACTGCGTGCGTTATAATAATAACCATCCTTGCATTGGATATAAGGTCTTATCACGTCGTTGAGACGTCTCAAAGCGCTTCACAGAATATACTGTAAAGTGGATCGACTACTGTGGGCGAAATGCAGCAACCAATTGCGCACAGCAGTGTCCCACAAACAGTCATGAATTGAGCGAATTTTTTTTTAAGGGGAGTATTACCCCTGGGAGCTGGGGTGGGGTGGGGGGGGGGGAGAAAAGGTGGCGAGCGGGCGGGAAGAAACAGTGGGGGAGGGAGAAGCCCGGGTGAGCTTCTTGATGCGATATTTAAATGACTCTATATAAACTGTATTGATTCTCCAGCACAATGTCGCCATCCAATTAGTGGCTCCACTTAGAACGCCACTGCAACTGCCCAGACCGGATCCCCAGGGTTTAAGCAAATCAAGTGCAAAGTTATTGAGTTGTATCCAATACCAGGTCGGGACTTGGAATCACATAGTTTAAGCTAACGCTCCAACGCGGCGCTTGGGGGCGGGTTGCATTGCCGGAGGTGCCATCCTTCGGATGAGACGTTAAACCGAGGTCCTGTCTGCCTGTTCAGGTGGTCACTGAAGATCCCATGGCGTGATTCGAAAAGAGAAAGGAGTTTTTCTCTCTCCCCCGGTGTCCTAGCGACAATCCCCCCCCACCCCACCCCCCAAATAAAATTGGTCGCTCACTCCATGGCTGTTTGTGGGACATCGCTGTGTGCAAAAGACCCGAGCACTACATTGGATTATCAGCCTACTTATACGAGTGCCCAAAGCTGGGTTTGAACCCACAAGCTTCCGACTCGGAGGTGAGAAGTTAACAAAAACCTACATAAACATAACTTCCCCTTTGCACACTCCCTCCTGAACACACAACTCTCGCCCCCGAGTCGGAAGGTTGTGAGCTCAAGCTTCACGTCGGGGCTTAGAATCGCATAGGCTGACACTCCCAATTCGGCGCTGAATTGCCGGAGGTGCCGTCCTTAGGTTGAGTTGTGAGTTCAGGAGGGAGTGTGCAAAGGGGGAAGTTATGTTTATGTAGGTTTTTGTTAACTTCTCACCTCCGAGTCCGAAGATTGTGGGTTAAAACCCAGCTTTGGGCTCTCGTATAAGGTCTCGGCTGCTTGTTCAGGTGGACATTAAAGATCCTACGGTACGATTCGAAAAGAGAAGGGAGTTTCTCTCGGTGTCCTGGCCAACAATCCCCCAAGCGAAATTGCTCACTCGCCTCATAGCTGTTTTGGGGGATGTCGCTGGGTGCAAATTCTCTGCCATGTTCGCCTACAAAATACAGTCACTACACTTTACAGTAAATCCCGTGAAGTGCTTTGAGATGACTTCCTGACGTGTAAGACGCTGTATCAAATGAAAGGATTATTATTAATAGCCCCAACACACACGCGCGTACGCATGAAATATATAAGCACAACAAAGTACATGTGCTTAGCACCTTTCACGTCAGGAGGAAGACCCACTCACCACACCATAGCTCACAGGAAATAATCGCAGGGTTGGAGAATCTCTCTCTCCCCCCATTTGCTCTCCCTCCGAGTCTCTCCATCTATACACACACACACACCCACCCCCTCTCTGTACAAGTTGTCGCTCTCTCTCTCTCTCTCTGCATACACACACTCACTCCATTTTAATACGCCTTGTTGTCGCTCTTTCTCTCCGTGTCCACACACTCATCCACCGCCCCCCCCACCCCACCGGGGTCTATCTCTCTCTGTACATACACACTCACTCCATTCGCAGAACACCTTGTTGTCTGTTTGTGTGTGTGTCTCTCTCTCTGCGTACACACACACACACACACACTCACTCTATCTCGGTACACCTTGTTGTCGAACCATTGCAAATTTCCCTCCCCCATTCCCGGACCAGGACGGCCTTAGCATCCTACAGCGGAATGACCCCATTAGAATCTGCCACGGTTGATAGTGGGTCTACTGTGGAGTCCTGTAGCTCAGTGGTTAGAGCACTCGCTTTGCGAGCGAGAGACCTGAGTTCAATTCCAGGCAGAGGGCGAAACCTTGGGGCAAGTTTCCTTACTCCACACAGAGCCTAATAATAATCCCTCCAAAACCAAAAACAATAATAAATTGGTCATTTTCAATCCACGACTGTTTGTGGGACATTGCTGTGCGCAATTGGCTGCCGCGTTCGCCCACAAATATACAGTCAATTCGCTTTACAGTGTGTTCTGTGAAGCGCTTTGGGACGTCCTCCCGATGTGAAAAGCGCTATATCAAATGCAAGGATTATTATTATTATTATTATCTTGGGATACGGTATATAGTTTGGGACACGACGTGTGCACGCGACGGCCAGGATGGTGGAAGATGAACTGGATGGACCTCGCTCCTCTTTCGCCAAACAAACACTTATGTTCAGCACTTTGGGACATCCTTCTGACGGTGAAAGGCGCCACACAAATGTAATTTGTTGTCTTTCTCTTACTCTGTCCACCGTCAGGAGGATGTCCCAAAGTGCTGAACATAAGTGTTTGTTTACACAAATGTAATTTGTTGTCTTTCTCTTACTCTGTCCACACACTCGCCCACTCTCTGTACACCCTCTTCACTCTCTCTCACTCTGCATACACACACACACACACACTCATTCCATCTCAGGATGCCTCGTCGGTCTCTCTCTTTCTGTACGCACTCTGTACACCTGGTTCTCTCTCTCCCTCTCTCTGTATACAGACACACTCACCACCTCTCATTACACCTTTTCTCTCTCTTTGCATATACACACTCACCCCCTTCTCTATACACCCTGTTGTCTCTCTCTCTGCATATGCATACTCAACCCTTCCCTGTACACCTCTGTGTGTGTGTGTGTGTGTGTATACACACTCACCCCCTCTCGGTACACCTCTCTCTGTGTGTGTGTACACACTCACCCCGTCTCGGTACACCTCTGTGTGTGTGTACACATTCACCCCCTCTCGGTACACCTGTGTGTGTACACACCCCCTCTCGGTACACCTCTGTGTGTGTGTGCACACTCACCCCCTCTCGGTACACCTCTGTGTGTGTGTGCACACTCACCCCCTCTCGGTACACCTCTCTCTGTGTGTGTGTACACACTCACCCCCTCTCGGTACACCTCTGTGTGTGTACACACTCACCCCCTCTCGGTACACTTTGTTGGCTCTCTTGAGCCTCAGGTCCAGGGCTGTGACCATGTTCCATGGGCTGTGGGGAGTCTGTCACGTGATCAAAGGCGATACAGCGCGCGGGTCACATGGGCCCAAACACTCGCCGCTGAGTGGCTGAGAGGGGGTCACGTGGGGTCCCGTCAGCTGATTGTTGTTACATTGCGTTCCATTCCATCCCAACAACTTCCGGGTGGGTCTCACTGTGCACTCCCACCCTCACCCTCACCCCCACCCCCTCACCCCCACACCCTCACCCTCACCCCCACCCTCACCCCCACCCCCACCCCCCCACCCCCACCCCCACCCCCCCCACCCTCACCCCCCCCCACCCTCACCCCCCACCCCCACCCCTCACCCCCCCCCACCCTCACCCTCACCCCCCCACCCTCACCCCCCACCCTCACCCCCCCCCCACCCTCACCCCCACCCTCACCCCCCCCCCCTCACCCCCCCCCACCCTCACCCCCCACCCTCACCCCCACCCTCACCCCACCCTCACCCCCCACCCCCACCCCCACCCCCCCCCACCCTCACCCCCCCCCCCACCCCCCACCCTCACCCCCCACCCTCACCCCACCCCACCCCCCACCCTCACCCCCACCCCCCACCCTCACCCCCCCACCCCACCCCCACCCTCACCCCCACCCCACCCCCCCACCCTCACCCCCACCCCCCCCACCCTCACCCCCACCCTCACCCCACCCCACCCTCACCCCCCACCACCCCCACCCTCACCCCCCACCCTCACCCCCCACCCTCACCCCCCACCCTCACCCCCTCACCCCCACCCCCCCCCACCCTCACCCCCCACCCTCACCCCCCCCACCCTCACCCCCCCCCCACCCTCACCCCCCACACCCTCACCCCCCACACCCTCACCCCCCCTCACCCTCACCCCCCACCCTCACCCCCACCCTCACCCCCCCCCCCACCCCCCACCCTCACCCCCCACCCTCACCCCACCCCCCACCCTCACCCCCACCCCACCCCACCCTCACCCCCCACCCTCACCCCCACCCCCCACCCCCACCCCCCACCCTCACCCCCCACCCTCACCCCCACCCTCACCCCCCCACCCCCACCCTCACCCCCACCCTCACCCACCCCACCCTCACCCTCACCCCCCCACCCCACCCCCCCCACCCTCACCCCAACCCCCCACCCTCACCCCAACCCCACCCCCACCCCCCACCCTCACCCCCTCACCCCCACCCTCACCCCCACCCTCACCCCCCCCCCACCCTCCCACCCTCACCCCCACCCTCACCCCCCACCCCACCCCCCCCACCCTCCACACCCTCACCCCACCCCCCCCCACCCCCCCCTCACCCCCACCCTCACCCCCCACCTCACCCCCCCCACCCCACCTCACACCCTCACCCCCCACCCTCACCCCCCACCCCCACCCCCCCCCACCCTCCACACCCTCACCCCACCCCCCCACCCTCACCCCCCTCACCCCCACACCCTCACCCCCACCCCCCCACCCTCACCCTCACCCCCCCACCCTCACCCCCCCCACACCACCCCCACCCCCCCACCCTCACCCCCACCCTCACCCCCCACCCCCACCCCCACCACCCTCACCCCCACCCTCAACCCCCACCCTCACCCCCCCACCCCCACCCTCAACCCCTCCCCCCCCCCACCCTCACCCCCCCACCCCACCCCACACCCTCAGACCCCCCCCCCTCACCCCCACACCCTCACCACCCTCACCCAGGACCCCACCCCCCACCCTCAACACACCTCGACCCCTCACTCCCACCACCCTCACCACACCCTAACAGGGGGGGGGGGGGGGGTGGTATAGAGGAGAGACTCAAACAAATGCAAGAGATTCTCCAACCCTGCGATTATGAGCTATGGTGTGGTGAGTGGGTCTTCCTCCTGACGTGAAAGGTGCTAAGCACATGTACTTTGTTGTGCTTATATATTTCATGTGTATGCGCGTGTGTGTGTGTTGGGGCTATTAATAATAATGATCCTTTCATCTGATACAGCGTCTTTCACGTCAGGAGGTCGTCTCAAAGCACTTCACGGGATTTACTGTAAAGTGTAGTGACTGTATTTTGTAGGCGAACATGGCAGAGAATTTGCACCCAGCGACATCCCCCAAAACAGCTATGAGGCAAATGAGCAATTTGCACACTCCCTCCTGAACTCACAACTCAACCTAAGGACGGCACCTCCGGCAATTCAGCGCCGAATTGGGAGTGTCAGCCTATGCGATTCTAAGCCCCGACGTGAAGCTTGAGCTCACAACCTTCCGACTCGGGGGCGAGAGTTGTGAGTTCAGGAGGGAGTGTGCAAAGGGGAAGTTATGTTTATGTAGGTTTTTGTTAACTTCTCACCTCCGAGTCGGAAGCTTGTGGGTTCAAACCCAGCTTTGGGCACTCGTATAAGTAGGCTGATAATCCAATGTAGTGCTCGGGTTTTTTGCACACAGCGATGTCCCACAAACAGCCATGGAGTGAGCGACCAATTTTATTTGGGGGGTGGGGGGGGGGGATTGTCGGCTAGGACACCGGGGGAGAGAGAAAAACTCCTTTCTCTTTTCGAATCACGCCATGGGATCTTCAGTGACCACCTGAACAGGCAGACAGGACCTCGGTTTAACGTCTCATCCAAAGGATGGCACCTCCGGTAATGCAACCCGCCCCCAAGCGCCGCGTTGGAGCGTCAGCTTAAACTATGTGATTCCAAGTCCCGACCTGGTATTGGATGCAACTCAATAACTTTGCACTTGATTTGCTTAAACCCTGGGGATCGGGTCTGGGCAGTTGCAGTGGCGTTCTAAGTGGAGCCACTAATTGGATGGAGACATTGTGCTGGAGAATCAATAATAATAATAATCCTTGCATTTGATATAGCGCTTTTCACATCGGGAGGACATCCCAAAGCGCTTCACAGAACACACTGTAAAGTGAATTGACTGTACATTTGTGGGCGAACGCGGCAGCCAATTGCGCACAGCAATGTCCCACAAACAGTCGTAGATTGAAAATGACCAATTTATTATTGTTTTTGGTTTTGGAGGGATTATTATTAGGCTCTGTGTGGAGTAAGGAAACTTGCCCAAGGTTTCGCCCTCTGCCTGGAATTGAACTCAGGTCTCTCACTTGCAAAGCGAGTGCTCTAACCACTGAGCTACAGGACTCCACGAAATTCCAGAGGCTGGAGGCAATTCCAGTGACTGGAAGAAATTCCAGAGGCTGGAGGTATGGATTTGTAAAGTTTGGCCACTGATTATGGTTCAGAGACGTGCAGACGATGTACAGCAACCTGGAATTAGCCAATTGGAAGGGGCAAGTATGGGAGAGGTGGTGGGCAAAATGGGGACGGGCTGGGGCATGGAAGGATTCATGGGTAAAGGTGAGTTCCCCTACTTATGAAACCTCAACCAGCCATCAGACTAAACTCACCAAGACACAAACCAGCCTTCGGCAGAAGCCGTGATACCTCACGGCCTGTCTTCATCGTTCTGCGCAACACATGTTTCCCCCTGAGGGGGGTAAGCAAAATCTTCTTGGCGCTGAGCCGGTGATGTGCTTCAGAGCGGAATGTGAGAATCAAGTCCACCTCCTGTGACCGTCTCCAGTCTGGTACCTGAGCAGCGAGGGGCCACTGTATTCCAGGACACGGATGATGACAGCCCAGCCTGGCTCATCGGCAGGACTTGGAAGGACAGACCAGTCACTGGAGGCAGAGACTCTTCCCATTCAGCTCCCATTAACATAGGCAACTGTTGAAGAAATATGAGAAAGTACTTGTGCTGTGTGTCAGCCCGGCAAGGTGGTAGCGTACACTCACAGCTGAGTCAGAAGGTTGCGGGTTCAAGACCCTCGTGCTTGGGGTGCTGGGGATGTGTTGCATTGTCGGACGTGCCGCCCTTCAGATAAAACATTAATCCGAGGTCTTTTCTGCCTCTTCAGGTGGATGTTAAAGATCCCATGGAACTCTTTGAAAAGAGAAGGGAGTTTCTCTCTCCTGGTGTCCTGGCCAACAATCTCCCAAATAAATTTGTAACAAACTCCATGACGTCCTCCCGACATGAAAGGCGCTATACAAATGTAATCTTCTTGTTGTTTGTGAGACATTGCTATGCACAACTGGCTGCCACCATTGGAGGTCACCCTTTCAGCCACTACTCCCTGAAACTCTGGAACACTCTCCCTCAATCCCTTTGCGTTGTCCCCTCTCTCCCCTTTTTCAAGTCCCCCCTGAAAACCTTACTTTTCGACCTTGCTTACGGTCACCTCCACCCCCCACCCCCGGGCTCAGAGTCAGGCTGTTAAGCGCTCTGAAACACTACCCTGAGTGGAGGGCGTTCTATAAGTGCAAGTTGTTGGTGGTGGTGTTTCACCCGCAAAATACACGGTCACTACACTTTACAGTACTTCCTGTGAAGCTCTTTAAGATGTCTCGACAACATGACATCAAATGCAAGGATTATATCAAATGCAAGGATTATTATTATTATTATTACCAGTGTGGCAGCTCTATGGAATGGATGTATTTCTGAATGACTGTGCCTCTACTTCAGGATCTACCTATTGTTTGTGATCCTTATCTCTGTGATAAGTAACTTATGTATTGGACTCTGCACGGAGATCGTTCTGACAAAACAATTCAAAACTATCGCGTGGAACTCAGTGTAAATAAAAGGCACCAAACGATATGTGTTTGAAATGATTATAGGTGCATGAATTGCAGGAAAACCAGTTACAGATCAGGAGGTGAGAGAGAGGGTAGAGGAAGAGGTTGGAGGATGACCCTTTATCATGTTTAGCAATGTGTTCGAGGTTATCCTCGGGTAGGTATCTGTGCCCCCAAAGCTCCATTGTTTTCCGTTCTTCAGATGAGATGTTAAACCGAAGTCCCATCTGCCCGTTCAGGTGGATGTTAAAGATCCCGCGGAGCTATTCGAAAAGGGAAGAGAGTTTCTCTCTCGGTGTCCTGGCCATTAAATCCCCCATATAAAGTTGGTCACTCACTCCATAGCTGTTTGCGGACGTTTCTGCGCATAAACTGGCTGCTGTATTTCGCCCATAA